CTAAGGTCGTAGAGAGGTTGGCTCTTCATTTCCCTATAAGTTTCACATAAGAAGAGCTTCAAGACTTAACAAAAAAAGATTTACATTTAAACACATTCAAAAAACAAAATTAATTAATTTTTAGACCAAAGCATTGTTTTAACGAATTGTTTTTAATTAAAGAAGAGAAAAGTTTTAATTTCCATGAAATTTTTATTATTATTTCGATGTTTGTAATGCCATAAAAAAAAAATTTCGGTTTTCCGTGTAACAACAAATAAGAAAAAGACTTTTGCCTTACATGAAGTTGTTGAGAACAAAATTAAGATGAAGAAAATTTCGCAATGGATGTTTTGGAAAATGAAATAAAAGAAATTCAGTCAAAGCTCGGCTCGCCCTCTACACTCGCGCACCCACCAGTTGAATTAAACATTAATTTGTTCTTAAATAATTTATTGTTATCAAACATAATTAATTAATCTTAGCATGAAGAAAGTAGGAGGATTTTAACACAAACACACACACACACACACACATGCACACAACCACAAATACATTACCTTTGAAATTTCTTGTTCCCTTAAAATGTTCAATTGACGCTCGTAGAACTAATAATCACAAAATAAATAAAAATATTTATACATAGTTGAAAATTGGTTGAGATGAGAATGAAACCACATGACTTGAAAGTAAATTTGAAAGAAAATGATTAAAGAAATAATAATTTTTAGATATTACTTTTTTCTCTCCACCCACACATTACTTACTGATTCTTGAAACACAACTTAGTTACATTTAATTTAAAATTGTTTTAAATTTTATTTTACAATAATATTGCTAATGATTATTAATGCTTATGTCTAATTGATAAAGAATCGAGAAAAACAAAACAAATCTAACTGCCTATGGTTAAAAGTTTTAATGAAAATGAAAACTAAAAAATGAAGAAATTCAAAGTTTTTTTCAATGACTTTAGGAAGAATTACAAAGATCAATGCAAAGATATTTAAACTGAACTTAAATCAATTATTTTCTTTTCCGTGAATCTTAATATAGAAAGAAAAGAAAAATATAAACAAATAAATAATAAAGATTTGAAATCAGAAAGAATAAAATGTTGACGCTCGAAACAAAAGCAAAATGAAATGAAATGAAAATGAACGACGAAAGGAATATTTTATTTAATCAAATGAATAAAAACGGAAATGAGAAAAGTTTTTGAAAAATATAATTCGTAAAGACTTTTAGGTATTTTATTTTTCTTATTTCAAGATTATCTATCTGCAAGAAAAATATTCATTCGACTTTATGTGATTGCTCAAGGATGAAAGTGTTCATTATGCTTCAAAAGATTTTAATTTCTGTTTCTTTATCTCGAAAACAAAGGAGTAGAAAACTTCCTGGAAGTTCCGATGACCGAGTTAGTTGATCAAAGGATCGATGATAACTTTTTTGACTCAACATAAATTCATCAGTCATGAATTGAAACTCACACTAAGTTAATTTTAGACTACTTTGAAATCGGAACACAAAAATATCAGTCAGCAAAATCTGGATACGTCAATAAATATTCTCATCATCATTACTTCTTATCCTTCAGGATATTAATAAATCATAAATTCACACAACTGCGAAAAATTCTCAACTTTTATTTAAAATTAAAACGGAAAAGTCAACAGAGTTAAGTTTTCACTCATAATAAAACCTAAAAAACTCATAAATGTAACCAAAAAGTTTTTATTTGTTCCACATTTCGTTTTCCCATCGAATGCAACGAGGCAAGAAAATGTGAGTACTAAAACATGTTTTTTTGTTTCAAATCAAAGCCATTGAAAATGATAAATGGATGAAAATCAAGTTTGAGTCGATTTCTAAGAAATTAATTCTATGGTTGAACAAGTAATCGTCTCGCTTTAACTTTTATTTCTCCTAACTTCAATATTACATAATTCAACTTTGAAGTTCACGTGACGAAAAGTTAAAGTCAACAATGATTAATGATAATTTCTTGTTCAATCGCTACAGTTAATTAAATTACCTAAACTAGGTTAGAATGTACATAATTCATAAGACCTTCAACTTGACATCTTTGATAGGCCAGCATGTGGTTGCAAAATAATTTCCGAACAATCTCCAAGAAGGGTCGAAAATCGTTACGTTAGGAGTATCAAGTTACACATATCCAATGATGGTGATGATACACTAGACAAAATCAAGTGAGTGGCACATGAGAATCTGTTGACGAATAATTGGAACGCTCAAGACCTTGGCTACATAAATGTGTCGATCCATATCATGTAAGACAGACTTTATTAATAATAAATCGAAGGAAAATAATCCTCAAAGGGTATCGTCTCTAATCCTCCATCTATTTTGACATATCCTTGAGTAGCCTTGCAGTTTAAAAGAGAAGAAAAAAATTATGAAAGCTTATCAGTGAAATAAGAAAACTTTCCTTAATAATTCTCCTGGAGACATCAATTTTATGTGAAAATGTTTAAAAATAAATAAGCATGATGACAAACTTTAATGACTTCTCTTTGGTTCTTGATTCCAATAGAAACATTAAATCGAAATAAATGTCTTAAATATCATTGGACATGCAATCATTTTCTAAATGGAGTGTGAATGATAAAATAAATGTTGAAGATTTCCATCGTCAATGCTTTCAAAAGCACGGGGAATAATTTGAAATGGTGACGAATGATGGGTGGGGACGAAAGGAACGGAAAAGATCCGCATTGATTGATAGTGTCAGCGCGAAAAGGCACACAAAAAATAGCTGATGAAAAATGATTTTGAGAGCTTCAATGAAGAGCTCTGCTCTAAACCCATCAATCGTTTCGTTTTGAAATGAGTCACGCGATGTCACATTTAACAATCGCAAACTGAACTTCACTTCACTTCACTTCGAATACACGAAAATGAATTAAGTCTTCAATTCAGAGTCACTTCTGTTTGCAACAACAATTTCAACATAAAAAAAAGCATAAAGATTAGTTCTAGACCGTTGTCAACCAGCATATTCTTGTAGAAGATTCAAAAGCATATTTAAGGATTTCTCCCTGATTTCAAACATTTTTTCCAATTTCAAAAATTGCGGCACAAAGGAGACCTTGTTTCCATTTTTTTTTATTGTTTCATCCGGAGGCCGGGCATAAACAATAGAAAAGCAATTTGAAAACCACAGAACCCTCACCTGACATTCATGTTCAATGCTGAAGATTGCCTATAAATATCGAGAGTCCCAAAAATAAATTGAAATGAGATGAGTAGATAGAATTTGGAAAGCACCAACGATTGGAAACATGTCAAGTCTTGGGTTTAGTTTAGTTAGAAGCCAAACTTGTGTTCCTTTCTTTTCCTGGGGATTGGTGAAATAGTAGCAGTAGTAATAACAATAAAATCGATGACAAGAACTAGTCCATTCTTTGATAACGGTAAGTAAAGGCACGTGAAATCGTGTTCGACAGAGTTTCATGGAAACATATTTAATTTCATCGAAGAATTTCTGACTGATATGACGTTCCTTAATGGTAATTGAAAGGCATCAAAGTCAGGTTGAATGGAAACAGATTCTAATTGCTATCGTTCATGTCATCTGCACTCACATTCTTTGCTTTTATCAACGCACAACGAGCACAGCACAGGTCTTTATGAAAACCCGAAATTTCCTTAGGTTGGACTACGAAATCCAATTCCATTGTTCACATTAATTCTTGTTCTTCCGGCTAAGAAATAGTTAAAAAATTTCTCAACAACAAAGATTGGAAAAATCTTTTTTTTTCTTTTTATTTTCACTTCTATTGATAATGGACACGAACTGAATTTATTTTCCAATTTTGTTTCTTTGTGTTCATTTTAGTAAACATTTCAATGATTTTCTTCTCAGAAACATGTGCACCAATAAAATTGTAAAAGTTAGAAATATTTATGATTTTGCTTTTCATTGAAGCAAAAAATAAAAATTTCTCTTACACTTCAATTTTTATTTCGTTGGAATTCGATATGTGGTGAGTCAAATAAATTCAAAAATAAATAAAAAGAATCATCAGTTGAGTTCTTCGTCCGATTTAAGCTTTTTCCATTATTTTATTAATCTAGAAATTAATTAATGGACTGCTTTAATGACTTCTTCATGCCTTAAACTTTATAAAATAAGTTTGAATTTTCATCTAATTATCCAAAACTTTTTAAATTGAAATTCTCAAAATTTTCAATTAAAATTCATCAAATTCAGAGTTTGTTCGAAACTGACAGAAACTTTCAAATGCTGTCAAGAAATGAAAAGGCATATGTTCAAATAAGTGCTTCATCACAAGATAATTAAGATCAAATTGGTGCAACGACCGAAGATATTCTTCAAGTTCATGGCCACGAGACTTCTCACTTTTGAATTCAACAGACAATAATGACATTCACAATTCAATGAAGAGTTTAATTGTAAGAGATTTAGTTGAATTTTCTTTGCCGCATAAGAGTCATTCAATTTCAATAACTACAGAAAAAAAGTTTCGAACACTCAAGGATGTAAACTTTTTAAAAGATTTACGAGACCATTCGTCTTTGTCGTTTCTGATTTATTTCCTGGCTATTCTGTAAATTGTAAAGAATTATTTATAGAAATTTTTGCAACGATGTTTCTTTTAACAAGAAAGAACTCAACAGTTTGTAATCAAATTGACGTTTTGCAAACAAGTAAATTTATCTCATTGAAAATTGCAACAAATGACATTAAGATTAATAATCATTTGAAATCTGTGCTGTTCACCCACAAATGGATAAAACGCAATTTTTTATTGTTTTGATTGCTCTAAATATTATAAATGAACTCAAGTGCAAAGTAACAATTTTCAAATTAATCTAAATTATTTATCAACTCTAAATGACATAAAAGCAACAAAGCATAAGGCAAAGAGAACAGCGAGTGCGAAAACTTCAAAATTATACGAAATGTTGTTGCATATTTTTTGTATTCCCCAGTGACTTGACGTCCATCATTGTAATTAAAAGTTTCCTCGCTGAATTCACACAATCCTTTCCGACGAATGTTAAACTTCATTTCCATTTAATATTTCATATTTAACTCAATGTTGTTGTTGGAGTTATACAACTTTTATGATAACTGTTTAACATTACAATGTTAATTAGTTCGAAAGGACCAAGTCATGAGAAAATCCGAGTGCTTAAAGACCGGTAAAATGTTATGAGTGAACATAATTTATATTCATCTTTTTGCAATTAAATTACTTTCTGCTTTTTCAAGTCTCACGCTTCAACTAAATTGAATATGGAAAAAAGAAATAGAATTAGTTTAAATTTAAAAGAGAAATTAAATTTTCCACTAATTTTCCCATCCAAAAGTTGGGGAACATAGAAATAAGAAACTAAAATGTGTCGTTACAATGTTACGTGTTCTCACAATTTATAATTTATTTCTGTTGCAATTTGAAATAAAGCACAGCATTCATTCGCAAAAAGAAAGCAAGCGAAAAACTATTTGCAGATATTTTCACCTTTTCATTCTTTTTTATGAATCAAAGTGCAAAATTCTCATGGAAATTCCGAGTGGCTTTTCACTGAATTTTAAAATAAAAAAATGTAAATCTTCGGAAAGTTTTCACGGTTAAATTTTAACCGAATGTGGTTAACATATTCACACATTTTCAAATTGCTTCAGTCCCTGCACTCGAATATTTTTCTATTTCACTACACTCGTTAGTGCTTTGGTTGGTAAATGGATCAGAAGGGAAATTAATTTTCTGCAAGGGGTAATAAATTGTGATTTTAACTTTATCCTCGAATCATTAACACTCGGATTCAATGCAGTTTCAAAGTGAAACAAATTGCCATGGTCAATGGTGTAATAACAGCAAAAGCACGAACAAACATTTCTTAACTTTGCTTCAAGGCCAATTGAATGAGCTTAAACAAAATGCAATTACTTAGAAAATTTAAGTTTTGAATAAAAAATCATGATTTGACATAAAAATAAAAGTGAATTGGACAATTGACACTCAGAAATTAGAAAATTTCTAGGATAAGCTTAGCTTAGATTTGTGAATTAAAAACTTCTATAATTAAATTGAGTTTTGTGATATTTACTCTGAAAATATTTGCGATTAAAGCTTAAAGTTAAATATTTGCGATTAAAGCTGAGTTTGTTGTTCCAATTTGATTGTTTTCTCGCACATTAATAATTCACACATTTTCCTATTAAATTAAAAGAAAATTTATATTGTTGAATCTGTCAGGAACTTTTATTAATTTTCATTTCAGGAAAATCATCATGAAGATTTCTTTCTAGTTTTCAATTGTAGGAACGGACAACGAACAACGAAAGACAAAGCAGATCGAGTTGTTAATTAAGGATAGAAACCAAACAATCATTGATATTTCTGTACAAACTTTCACACTCTTCATCAAACTTTTTTAAAAAGTTTAATTGTAATATCAATCGACAACTTTTATAAAAACTAAATCATAATTTAAACTTTAGAACTTTAAATAGATTCCTTAGAAGATCTCACGATTTTAAGTATTTAAGAAGACAACTTTTATTGATCTTAACTAATTCTCGAGTAATTCAAGAAGGTTTTTATCTATTTGTTCAAATATTAGAGTTGAAGAAGCAGAAGTGTTTGAAGTGGCAAAAGTTGGAAAGTGTTGAAATGTTCTCATTTTTTCTTTTCGATTGGTCTTCATTAAAGCTTTCAACAATGGAGCTCAACTTTAAATTGAAAACTGTTTAAACATTAAAGCTCTGTGTTAACAATTGCCCGTTCATGTGATTCTCTAATTGAAACATTCTCTTCAATCCAAAATCATCAACCTTCTGAATAATTTATTTTGATTCAGTCATTAAATGAGAATTGGCTCTGTTAAATTAAATGCAGCAGTACGAAGAAATTTTACTTATTTTACATTTTCCAAATCAAATGTTCTTTCAAATTTACATAAAGTATATACTCAGAAAGCTTAAATCACATCTATAGGAATTAAAATGATTCAAAACCCTTCTGAGAAATTCTGTGTAACGATTGTTTCCTAATAATTGTTGTGAAGTTGAATACTTTAACTGTTTGTTGCTTAGTATTGTTGAGAATGTTTAGAAAATGTCAAATGAGTAAGAAGAATAAAGAACAAAATAAATCATATTTACATAATTCTCCTCATGATTAATTTGAGTTGGAATCAGTAATAGAAACAGAGCAAAAGTTCATAAAAAGTTCTATTTCAGATATACAAAGTAAGAATTACCTAAATAAGGTCAAATTGATTCATCAATCTTAATCGTTCGACATTTGCAAATCGATTGGTAAAATTTCAGAAAGCCACATTTTCGATCATGAATGTTTCGTAAAACAGAATTCAGGTACGTCTGAAGAATCTTAACAGGAAAATTTTTACATTCCAATCCTAAAACGAGTCTGTGTTGAGATAAAAATGTTGGAAATGAATACAAATTCTCTAATACCCACAATATAGTCATTGGAAACTTATCGCATAGTTAGTTGATCAATGGTTTTCAATTTAACAAAACCACAATTATTTATAGAGAAATTTTAAGAGAAATGAAGAAAATATTTTGTAATTTTTCATCATTGCTACTGCTCCATCCTCGTTATTGGCTTTTCAAATAAACTAACATTTACCTGAACAATTGAATTTTCATTCCACTTGTCATAATGACACTTTCATAACTATTCTCATCTCATTGACGCCGACATTCAACTTACAATGCCTCATTAACTTTTTTACATATCACTATTTGCATGTTTGTTGTCTTTCCCATGATATGATATAGAAAAAAAGGGAAACTTCTTCAAGTCACATGAATTAATTAATGGCTTGTGACTACCATGCTTTTGCGCAAGAAATATCCCATTAAAAATTTAATCATGAGACTATGTAGAAAATATATGGTTTTAATTTCACAATGATGGCAATTAAGCAATTTAAACATTGTTTCTTTTCGTATTTTGTCGCTTCTCTCATTTCAAATACCAACGCGTTTGAGCATAGAACGACAAAAAGCTTGCTAAAGGATTTTAATTTCACTCGTGTTTATGTTTGAGGGCTTCTTCTCATTCTCTACCATATTTTTCACAAACACAAAGCTTTTAATTATAATGCAAAAAGTCAGAAGCGTAATATAATTAACAGCAGTTCAGCTTAGGAAAATTTTGGGGGCTTTTCCATGTTTTTCACAGTTGAATTTGTGCAATAAATATTATTTTCATTAACCTTTTATAAGAATTCACTTTATAACAAAATTGTGAAGATACTTTGGGAATATTAAATGGAGTTTCAAATGTATCGTCAAAAAATAAATGTCTTAAGTTGATTCCACTCTGAAAATAATTTTTTTGTAATGTTTCAATTAAATTTTCTGCTAAATCAAGATCAATCAAAGTGATTGAATATCAAAAATTGAGTAATTTTTCAGTAATTTAAGCATCAAATTAAGATAGCTTTAAGTACGTCTTCTAAGATTTCAACATAAAATTGAAATATATTTCTAAATCCTACCGATATGGCTTAAACTTTCTTCATCGAAAATTTTCTTTATCAACCATAAGATTAAATTGATGTAGAAAATCTCATCCGCAATCCCAATGTTGTGAAAAGACCGAATGAAAGTTTAAATCCTTTAAAAGCATAGAAAATAACATGTTTTATCAACAATAGATATCCTGAAACGACACATGAGAGTATCATACGCTGTCCCCTTTTCCAGTACATTGAACTTTTTCAAAATGCAAAAAAGAAGCAAGCAAAATATTCCTTGAGTTTGAATAAATATAAAAGGGGTTTTGTTTAGATATCTGTTTATTTTGTTTCTTCGGCATCATTTAACATTAGAATCGTTAGATTACACTTGTGCTGAATATCGCTTCAAAACTCCACAATTCACTTTCAATGTGAGAAAAGATTTCATGTCATGGAGCTTTTGATTGAATATTTGATTCCAACCAAATATTCTCACATCGCTCAATCGCTGAGAAGTCAAGGTTAATATTAGTTTCAGTTTCTCTCTGAGTTTCAAAACACACAGCGAGTTTGTTTGCATGAGATTAATTTTGTTTTTATATTTGCTATAATTTGAAAAAAGTAAAATTGGGTTAATTTGTTAAACCTTTTGGTAAGGACTTCTAAATTAATTAATATAAACTTCTTAAAAGGAAATCCTTCTAGTTATAGACGAGATGCGAAAAATTACATACTCTTGAATGAATGATTCGTCACATCAAGGTTAACATCAACAATTAGATTAATGTAACGTTTTTAGCTTCTATATCGTCCATGTCAATTTGTGCATGATCAAATTGAATTAGAATAACGACATAAATTGCAGCAGTTCCTATCATCTGAAATTAATTTCAATTTTTAGTTCATTTCACTTGAGAAACTTCGCATGTCTGTTTGTTTACCTTGAAAGTCAAGTTTAGGTCGAAATCAAATAAACCACAGGAAAATAATGGAATACGATGAAGGAGCTGCTGTGAAAGTATTAAAATCTTTGGCGAAAGAACGTTCAGCTTGTCTCTGTTGGCAATCTTATGGATCAATGAAGCTGTTTTCATTGCCTATCAAAATAATTTCATGAAGAAATGTAAGATGAAGATAGTTTCACTCACTTCTTGTCTTGCAACATGGCCCCAATATGTCATAATGAATAATATAAACGTTGAATTAGCACTCCAAAACAATGAAGGAATGGAGACAAACGTAAATGTTGAATCATTTTGATACATAAATTGTATGTTAACAAAAATGCATGTTATTGTGTAACAAAATTCTTGTGCCATTAAAAGCATTGCCTGTAAAATTAATTCACTATTTTTAAAAATCTTTAACTCAAAATATTTTTAACTTACCGGCACACCATAAAACTTATTAACCAAATCACTGCATTCGACCAAACTTTCATGAATGCACGTAACTTTATGCAAATCTGCCGCTTTTCCAACATAAACATTGTTTGAAGATTTCAAGAAATTGTCAGTTAAGAAACGATTAAGGCAAACGTATCTTGCCTTTATAGAATGGACAATAAATTGAAACTGAAGAAATGTTAGAAATATTTGAAAAGTCGTCGCTTGAGCTGAAATCATGCCGAAATGATGGATCCAATGAATATCTTCAGCAATTATTTTCGGCAAATAGATCACGAAAGCTATGCTTATGACAAATCCTCCAAGAAAAATGAACATTAAAATACATTTTTTAACTTTTTTTAAATTTACTGGAACTTTCATATTTTCCAACTCAGCATCAGCTTCAATCAATTTGTTGAAAAGATCAATTAATGAATTTCGTTTTGAAAATGTCCACCAGGATATCACAAACGAAGTGATGAAAGCAAATACGTACGAGCACTTGAACGTTTTTTCGTATATTTTAGAATAAAACATGTCATCTAGCTTGGTAAGATCGGAAAAAACGTGTAAAAAACAGATTGACGAGAAAATTATATTGAAATTAGCTGAGAGTATTAAAGTCAGATCGATCCACGATACACGAGCTGTTACTCTTTCATTTTTAACTTCAATGGTGAAAGCGTTGATTCCAAAATATCTCGACAAATTAAGAAGAGGCCTTGCAACTTCATAAATATTTTTCGCCTTCAGAGAGAACATTTTCACACAATTTCGATTCCCAAACTGATGTTGTTTGAACATTTATGAAGTCTTTTATTATTTGTGAATTAGTGTAATGAAGTTTTATGTTAACATTTAACAATACACTTAAATAGACAAATTGAGTCGAATCGGATTATATTTCATAGTCCAATAAATTTACACCTTCTTATGGATATTTGTTTAGGAACTCAACATATTTATGTGAAGATATATGTTGCTACATAATGAATATATTTGATTACAATGAATGCAATTGGAATGCAAAATCATTCAAAATTATCTGATTATTGTTCAAGTATTTACACTTTATTTGACCTGATAATTATGTCAAGTGATAAGAACACTTTATATAAAAGTTTATAAATTCTGTGATATCTTTAATTACTGATAAGATATTTTTTTTTCGTTTCATTGACTTGCAGAATTTTCTTTAGTCTTGTTTAAGTTTCTCAAGTGAACGAACATAGTAAATTAAAAATAAAATGGAAACGATAGAAAATTACATCACAACAGCTTCAACAGCCCTCCAGCCTTATGGGCAGCTGATTAGTAGAGCCGCAATGTTCTTCACAATCATCCAGATGTTGAGCCCAATTTTTGTTTTTAACAACATGAGAAAGGCGAAGTCAACGTTGGGAATGCCATTTATGATGTTTTTAATCATTTTAATTTTGCAAGTGAACACTTAAGAATGTTTTATGATCGCATTTAATGAAAATTCTTTTTCCTTCTTTAATGTCATGTCTAGAACGGCTTTAAGCGTTCGTTTTTCTCAACTTCTCAACGATGAGGCGATGCTCAAGACGAATATCGTAGGATTCTCGATAACAGTGATTTACGTTTCGATTTTCTTCCATTTCGTGTCACCAGACGAGAAATTCAACCATCTCATGAAAATCCTTGTTGCTGCTGCGTTCATTGGTCTCATGATAATATATTCAAAGGTTCACAAAATTCATTGCAGTTTAATCTTTCACTTCTCGTCTTCATTCTTCAAAGTAAATGTTTTACTCACGCTTTTTTTTGTTTCATTTCAGGTCGAAGATCCCGAGAAGGTTCAGACACGCTTTGGCTTTGTCCTCACAGCATTCATCTATAGTTTGATGGTCATGCCAGTCATTGAAGTGAAAAAAGCTTTGTATGAAAAATGTACCCGTCACATGCCGTTCCCAATGATTGTCAGTGGAACGTTAGTCGGCAGTTGCTGGTTTCTTCACGGGATTATTATAAACAATGGAATTGTTATTGTAAGGAGCTTTGAATTCTTTCACTAATTACCATCATTAAACACTTTCACGATCTTCACAGCTCCAAAACTCAACAATGCTGGGACTTAATCTTGTACAACTGTCGATGTTTGTAATATATCCATCACAGCCCGCTTCTGACACAAAGAAGGAGAAAAGAAAGAAGAAAGCCGAATAATGCAAACGACCTTTGCCTTGTTCTCAAATGGAGGTTTCAGATTCTTTCAGATAAACCTTAGCACTTTTGGTGTTGTTATCCATGCTGAATGCCTGAAACGCAAAATAAATGCTCATTGGTGTTAATCAATATCATTAAAAAAGGTTTTTATCTCTTCCATTACTTTTAGAAAATGGCTTTTGGAATCAGGTGAAGCTCGTCAAAGTGGTTGATCGTAGGACTAAACCTTTCTACAAATTGACCCTAACGATATATTTCATTTTGCTTTTTTTTTCTAAAAGAATGTAAGCTTGGGATAAACACCGAGAAAACTTTATGCGGTTTTCCTTTTTTCCGGTTAAACTAAAAAATGTTTAATCAAGTAAAATGTAAATTTATATTTGAGTTTCTTCTATCCGCCTCTTTTCTCTTTGCTTTTTTGAACTCTTTTTGGTGTTTTCAAATAACTTTTGCGGTTTAGCTTTCAGCTCTTTACATTTTATGAATACATATTTCGTAAATCTACTTTTTTTCTTTAAAAATATTTGTATCAAGGTTTACAATAAGAGTGAAGAGAAATAGATATTGAAGCTGAATATATTTTAATAAATTTTTATAAGAAAGAATGAATGAATGAAGAAGAAGACATGGGGCGAAAATGTACTTCTCCATAGTGGTTAGTTTAATAGTTGAAGCATGCAAAAAAGGGATGATATCATAATTTGGTTTTGATATACTTGTTAGCTTTCTTAGGTGCTCATTTCTCGATCTTTCAACCACTCAACATTAGATTAATTAAAATTCAAGGGTTCTAGTCATATCTGATTAAATAATTTGTAGATTAACGTCTGCCTATTTAACCCGAACCTTCTTCATTTCTTATGCTGGAAGTTTGTAACTAATTTTGCTCAAGCAAACGTCAGTCATAATAAATACGCCTCAAATCAGCATTTCATGATGACATCATAAATTTGAATCATAAGCATCGAGACATTTTTTTCAACAATCATTCGTGCAGTGTTTGACAAATGATAACAATCGGATTTCTTAAAAATCTTTCTACAAGGAAATATAAATCTTAATTTTGTTTTTTGGGAAGAAATTGACATTTATTCCTTTTGAAAATTTGACAGTTTTGGTAATGTGTCAAGGCTTTTCTGTAAATACATCAAGGAAAATCATTTTCCAGTTAAAATTGAAAATAAATGTTGCTAACTTTCATTTCTTTTAAATTTAAACTGACACATCATTGAGGGAAATTTTCTTTTGTTTTCGCTTTTCAAAGAATTTGCATTCATTTCCACAACTTCACATTTTTCATACACGTCCAAGTAATAATGATGATAAATTACCTTTGCATACCTTGTTCTTTCGATGAAGGTTACATTTTTGGTTTTTCTTCTTCCACGTTGTTCGATCATAATTTATTGGCGATAAATCACAAACAGGAATAGATAGTTTACATTTATTCTTTCTTAACTCAATTCAATGTAAAGCAATGTATGTAAGTTATGTTTTGTGTTTTCAATCCATCCTTGTGAAAATGGGAAAAGAAATAAATTCGTGTTTATTGTTCTATTTATAATTAATAACAATGTAAGTTGATACACGTTCGAAATAATTTATTTTTACCTTTAATCCATTATGAAAATTACTTCACTCTTCACATAAGCTCTGCAGTCATTTTTGAGCTTTCACAAAGCAAAGATGCTTAAAGCTAATAATATCTGTGAAGTAATAAATCCCATTCATCGTTGTTCTCAAATAATCGGCTTAACGTCATTTTCAATTAAAAAAGATAATCATCAGAATTATGAAGGGTTTATATCGTTCTACGACGCTATGTGGATCATTTTGTCGACAGTATTTAGATTGTTTCTTATCTATAAACATACGAGCAGCAATGACTTTTCGATGGCTAATCGCGAATACTTGGATCAATTCTATGAATATTGCAATCGAGTCTTCCTTCTTCTCAGCATCTTGAACGAACTTTTCATAATTTGGTGGCTTTTATTGAACAGACGGAAACTCGTTACAGTATTGACGATGATAAATAACATTGATAATGAATTGATTCGTTTGAATTGTCCATTGGATCACAAAAGCCACAAGTTAACCTTGATCATTTATCTCGTTCTATCAAAACTTTTCAATATTTTATTTCTGCTTGTTTTAATTCTTTCAACCCACCTTACCGACATTTTTAAAGTGCACTCAATGGTTTACGTAATGGACGTTTCAACATTAGAATTCTACTCGTTGTTCTGCTCACAATTTATGCTGCTAATGTGGACAGTGAAAGAACGATATAAGTTAATTAACGATTATTTCATCACAATGATGATTTGTCAAAATTCTTTTGAATTAAAAAATTCTAAATTGAGGAATGTTATGCGGCTCAATAATCAACTTATTAAAATTGTTGATGACATCAGCTTTTACTATGGTTTGCCAGTAAGTTTGGGATAATTAAATGAAGATTGAATGGATGAGAAATTTTATTTTTATATCTTCAGATGATAATGATTATCGGAGTGGGATTCTTGGTGATTATTTTGTGCACGTTTGTGGGAATCAAAATTTCTATAACTGAAAACAATTGGAATCATTTTTCAATATCGTTTGCTGCTATTTTTTACAATATCATTTTGCTATCATATTTTATAGGAATTGTGAGCGTTGGCCATTGGGTTAAATCTGAGGTAAATAAAATTTTATTTATTGTAAAAGTTCAATAAAACTCTTTTTCTTTTCATTTTAGTTTCAAAAAACTGTTTCACTCGTCCACAAATTTTTAACTAATGTAAAAGATGAAAAAATTATTAAAACATTTCTTGACTTTTCCTTTCAACTTCTGCATCGAAAACCAAATTTTTGCTGTGGTTTATTTTCGTTCGATTTGAAACTTGCTTTTACGGTATGAAACAAACTTTTTGAATTATTTTATGAAACTTCATCTAATTAATTTGATTTTTTTAAGATGTTCGGCGCTGCAGCAACTTATTTAGTTATTGCAATACAAATGGACACAGCAGTCAGTAAACATGTATAAATAAAACTTAACATAAATATATATATATATTATTATGTCAAGTTTTATTAAGGAAATTATTATAATTTAATTTAATGTTCTAAATATTAAATAATGGTCAGTAACGAATGAATCGTTCATTTTCCGTTGAGCGCTTCGATGGTTACATTATAAAAACAATTAGAAACCTAAAACTTTATTATGAATGTTTTTGTAAAAGCATTCACACTTAAAGCATTAATAGGCACGTGACCTCCACGCATAATTGTAAATAAGCACAAACACTAATAACCCCAGCAGTAACACTATTAAATGTATGTAATAATACTAAATACGAAACATGTGCGTTTTCAATGTCAATTGATGAATTAATATTCATGCACTCTATTAGAAATCTAACGATTTATTAAATTTCTCTTTTCTCGAAACAAAATATTCAATTTCTGTTAAATGCTCCATTATCTGCTGCTCCATTTTCATCATTGTTCAATCTTGTCTCCTCCTGATCATCACCCTTTTCCTTGCAGCATTTTCTCATAAAGAAATGATAAAATATCTCAATCAATGACAGCAACGATCCTCCCATCAATAGTCCTAAAAATCCTCCAATGCTTGATAAAAATTCGACTAAGCCAAAAACTTCTTGACGTTTCAAAGCCACAAATCGATCGGTTTTGTAGCCAAGGACGATCACACTCTCATAGCTTTCATCACGTCTGAAAAAATAATAATGACTGATCATAATCATCCTGAAAAAGCACTTCTCATATCTTACGTAATTTTTCCTTCATAATGAGTCATCGACATCGAGTAAGTGATCTCATTGCAATGTGGAAGGCATTTGCACCTTTTAAGCCTTCTTTCCGTATAATGGAAAAGATCAGTTGCGTTATCTGCACAATCAATTTCGTCTTCTGTCTGACAAATTCTCGTGCTTTCATTATGTAACATGTGGAATAACACGCAACTACATTTCTGTAATAAATAGTGCGTTTCGCATTCCAACTCACAATTTGATTGAGTGTAGTTCTTGAAAAATTCCAATTTTGTTTTATATCCAAAGATGCATTCACGAACTTTTGGTTTATATTTTATGAGTTCTTCATCTGTTTGGATAATTTGTGGGGTAATCAGTATTTTATTTATTGCACCAAGCTTAATTGGAATGAAATCCATGGAGTATTTCGGATAATTATAAGGAGAGTGGATTATCATGAAAATGCTTGTCATGTTTGCTAAATTATCTGTGTTATCCAATGCAATTCGTATGTTGATTGATTGGGTAATTCTCGCTGACTTGACCCTCTGTAGATATTCTTCGCCACTCTTCGGAACATACTGAGAATCATATTCGCCGTGATCTATCAAAGTTTCGGCGATCTTTTCCGTGAACATGTCATCGTCTTCGATCATATTGTAAGTGAAGCAAAGATTCTCTTCAAAAATTGTTCGACGAAACACTTCTGATCCATTTTTTTCGACTTTCCTATATGTCAAAGAAGTTATAAATTCCCTAGTTATATTGTTAAGATTGTCTATGTAATCTTTGCTTGTTAAATTGTATTTCGGATCATAAATTTTTATATCGTCATCTAAGGCATGAATTGTCCATTCTTTTTTAATATCATCAAGCAGCTTAATCATAGCTTCTTCTTGTCGTGTCAAAGTCTGATTGTTAGCATAACGTTGCACTATATCAGGCAGGTTGAATTTTTCTTCATCAATTTTTTCATTTGAAGCACACAATGTCACCGCTGGAAATGGAATCTAAAATTATGAATGAAAAGAATCAGAACAATAATTATGTTCGTTAAATTAATAAATCATTAAAATTTGCTAACATCCGAAACATGAGTTTGAACTTGATCAATAGCCATAATGACGGGATTATTCTTCCATCTGATATACGTTTGAGTGCCCAAATAAATGCATACACTCAAAGAGACAACAAAACAAAATATCCAAAATAATCTCGTACCCCAATGAGCGTCTCGTTTGCCAATGTAGTTGACCGAATGAATGGTGCTTTCTCCAGAATATTCCGTGAATGTTCTCCAGTAGCCTGTGACAATTAAATTAAAGAAGGAATTGAACAATCGTGTGAGCGTTGATTACAAATCACCTTTTACTGCACTAAAACACCCTTTGGATGATTTATTTTTAGGATCCTCTTCAACTGCTATTTGCTGCATTCTTTGTGTCTTCTTTGAAACAAGAAATTCAACTAACGAAATATTTCGATTAAGTAATACTTTTAAGTTTCAACACACCTTTGATTCTATCAAAAACCTCTTGAGACTCTCAGTAACACATTGTATCCATAATGTTAGCACGCAATTATTTTTTTTGGCATTCTATATTCTAAAGCCGGTCTACAGAACTTTATTCATTGTAACCGGTTTTAAAAGTGACAGGAATCAGATTCGATGTAGAACTTGTTTATTTTATTTGTGTTCGCCACTGTAACTTTTTTATCGAGCCCGGAACTAAATTTAAATTCTTCTTTGTATTGAATCTACTTCTAAGCTCTGGCAGATTATATGTCTGAATGATCGTATACAAGATGATTTTATGCAATGATCTTCAAATCAAATTGATGTTTTAACTCATTTGATTATAAAAAGAAATAATTTAAGAAAGTTCATACACTTGCTTTAAATTTTTCTAGTTTTCAAATGTTTGTATTTAAGTGGGTTGATTTTTTATCTTATTACAATTTATAAACATTTATTGAACTGAATTTTTCCTTTTCTACTCTTTCATCGATTGTTTCTGGCTAAGATCCAATTAAAATAAAAGATTTCTATTTTTGTAATTCACTATGTTTTGTACATATTCTCAAGAGACAACATAAAATGATGAACATTTAATTAATTAATTGGTAACATTATGAAAACAATTAGAAACCTAAAACTTTAATATGAATGTATTTTTAAAAGCATTCACAATTAAAGCGTTAATTTGCACGTGGTAGTAACACTTTTGAATATAGCACATGTGCGTTTTCAATGTCAATCGATGAATTAATATTCATGCATTCTATTGTGGATCTAAACATTTATTAAATTTCTCTCTTCTCGAAGCAAAGTATCTATTCAATTTCTGTTAAATGCTCCATTATCTGCTGCTCCATTTTCAACATTGTCCAATCTTGTCTCCTCCTGATCATCATCCTTTTCCTTGCAGCATTTTCTCATAAAGAAGTAATAAAATATTTCAATCAATGACAGCAACGATCCTCCCATCAATAGCCCTAAAAATCCGCCAATGCTTGATAGAAATTCGACTAAGCCAAAAACTTCTTGACGTTTCATTGCCACAAATCGATCGGTTCTGTAGCCAAGGATGATCAAACTGTCATAGCTAACATCACGTCTGAAAAAAACATTACTGATCATAATCATTATGAAAAGAATTACTCATATCTTACGTAACCAATCCTTCATAATGAGTCATCGACATCGAGTAAGTGATCTCATTGCAATGTGGAAGGCATTTGCACCTTTTTAGCCTTCTTTCCGTATAATGGAAAAGATCAGTTGCGTTATCTGCACAATCAATTTCGTCTTCTGTCTGACAAATTCTCGTGCTTTCATTATGTAACATGTGGAATAACACGCAACTACATTTTTGTAATAAATAGTGCGTTTCGCATTCCAACTCACAATTTGATTGTGTGTAGTTCTTGAAAAATTCCAATTTTGTTTTATATCCAAAGATGCATTCACGAACTTTTGGTTTATATTTTATGAGTTCTTCATCTGTTTGGATAATTTGTGGGGTAATCAGTACTTTATTTATTGCACCAAGCTTAATTGGAATGTAATCCAAGGAGTACTTTGGATAATTATAAGGAGAGTGGATTATCATGAAAATGCTTGTCATGTTTGCTAAATTATCTGTGTTATCCAATGCAATTCGTATGTTGATTGATTGGGTAATTCTCGCTGACTTGACCCTCTGCAGATATTCTTCGCCACTCTTCGGAACATACTGAGAATCATATTCGCCGTGATTTATCAAAGTTTTGGCGATATTTTCTGTGAACATGTCATCGTCTTCGATCATATTGTAAGTGAAGCAAAGATTCTCTTCAAAAATTGTTCGACGAAACACTTCTGATCCATTTTTTTCGACTTTCCTATATGTCAAAGAAGTTATAAATTCCCTAGTTATATTGTTAAGATTGTCTATGTAATCCTTGCTGGTTAAATTGTATTTCGGATCATAAATTTCTAAATCGTCATCTACGGCATTAATGGTCCATTCATTTTTAATATCATCAAGCAGCATTATCATAGCTTCTTCTTGTCGCGTCAAAGTCTCATTGTTAGCATAACGTTGCACTATATCAGGCAGGTTGAATTTTTCTTCATCAATTTTTTCATTTGAAGCACACAACGTCACTGCTGGAAATGGAATCTAAAATTATGAATGAAAAGAATCAGAACAATAATTATGTTCGTTAAATTAATAAATCATTAAATTTTGCTAACATCCGAAACATGAGTTTGAACTTGATCAATAGCCATAATGACGGGATTATTCTTCCATCTGATATACGTTTGAGTGCCCAAATAAATGCATACACTCAAAGAGACAACAAAACAAAATATCCAAAATAATCTCGTACCCCAATGAGCGTCTCGTTTGCCAATGTAGTTGACCGAATGAATGGTGCTTTCTCCAGAATATTCCGTGAATGTTCTCCAGTAGCCTGTGACAATTAAATTAAAGAAGGAATTGAACAATCGTGTGAGCGTTGATTACAAATCACCTTTTACTGCACTAAAACACCCTTTGGATGATTTATTTTTAGGATCCTCTTCAATTGCTATTTGCTGCATTCTTTGTGTCTTCTTTGAAACAAGAAATTCAACTAACGAAATATTTCGATTAATACTTAATACTTTTAAGTTTCAACACACCTCAGATTCTATCAAAAATCTCTTGAGACTCTCAGAACCACATTGCATCCATGATGTTAGCACGCAATAATATTTTTGGCGTTCTATTTTCTAAAGCCGGTCTAAAGAACTTTATTCGTTGTTACCGGTTTTAACAGAGACAGGAATAAGATTCGATTTAAAAGTTGTTTCTTTTATTTGTGTTCGCCACTGTAGTTTTTTGTGCAAACTGCGGGACAAGGGTAGTCAAGTCGTTCCTGCCGTCAGCCTGATGACAGACCCGTTACGGTGAACATGTAACCAACTTCTGTTTATTTTTCTCGCAATTTCAGTATAGGGAATTGTTTAGACCAATATTACAATAACAAAAATGGACATAATGTTAATAAAGTGCTTTATGTATCCAAAACAAAGGGAGTCACAAATTATAGACTACATTATTATTTATTCCCCGGAACTAAATTTTAAATTCTCCATTTTGAATTGATTCTACTTCTGAGCTCTGGTAAATTATAAATCTGAATGTTCGTATACAAGATGATTTTATACAATGATCTTCAAAACAAATTGATGTATTAATTCATTCGGCTAAAAACAGAAATAATTTTTTCAAGAATTTTTTGAAGTTCAGAAACATTTCAATTTCAAGGAATTTTGTCTGATCACACTAAAGTGTGAGTGCCTTAAATATTTAGATAGATTTCGTATCTTATTACATTACTTAAATGTATCTCAATTTTTGCTTTTATTCTTCATCGATTGTTTCTGGCTAGGATCCAATTAAAATAAGCGTTTTCTATTTTTGTAATTCAATATGTTCGTACATATTCCCAAGAGACAACATGAAATTGTGAACATTTAATAAATTAAAATATTTCGAACCATTTCTGTTCATATTCTCGTGTGTCGAGGTAGTTCAAAATGATGACAGAAGTGACAAAGATGTTTTCTTCAAACACTGAACATATTTATGACGTTGCAAAACCAATGCACATTTGTTCTCAGCTTCTCGGTTTAACATCTTTTAAAGTTGTGAAGAAAAATAAAGTTATCGTGGATTCTGTGACAGTTTTCAATGTTTTGATTTTGATATTGTCAACCTTTCTTTACATTTTCGCTATTTTTCTGTTTTGCACAAATTACATTGCTGGATGGAAAGTTAAACAAGTTATCACATCAAAAATTTTCGAATGCACCATTTGGTGGGTTGCTGTCTGCTATTTCGTCACTCATATTATAATGAACTGGTGGTTTCTATTTTCCCGAAAACATTTCATCAACATTTTCAATAAATTGAACGCTGTTGATGAAAATCTGTCAGATTTGGACGTTGAATTGAAGACTACAAGACATCGAAATGTAATCTTTTGGGTTTCATTGATAACTTCGACATACTTTGTATTAACAACAACATTAGGATATGTGGCTTCTACAAATCAAGATACTTTACGCATTGGAATAGCAATATATGTGATATTTTTCTCAGTCATTTACCGAAACTTTTTTCTTAATTATCACTTCATTTTCATTATGTGGGGAATCAAAATAAGATATCAAAAAATTAACAGTTTAATGAAAGAATTTCTTGGACATTTGAACCCAAGTCAAAATGTCGAGAAAGGTGATGAAATATTGAACCAAATTGCAAAAATTCATGACAAACTTGTGGATGTCAGTGAGCATATTAATCGTACTTATGGCTTTCCAGTGAGACAAATAAAATGTTTATTAAATATCTGGTTTTAATTTTTATCTTCTTAACAGATGTTGATGGGAACAGCAACAAATTTCTCTTATCTAACTGTTGGTATTTTTGGAATAATACGATTGTTACTTCACAAAACGGATCAGGCAGCACATGCTATAATTCACATTGTCTGGATGTTATTTTTCTCTGCTTTGATATTTGCAAACTTCTATTTTGGACACGTCACGAACAAGGAGGTAAACTAATTAATTTATTTTACATCAAGCCCACATAAAAAGTTCATAAAATTATTGTTAAAGGCACGAAAGACTGCAAATTTATTACACAAAATCGGAAACAAAGAGTTTGCAATCGTTTCGTTGACAAGTGTAACAAAATTTTCTCAACAACTCATGCATCGCATGCCTGTTTTTTCTTGTGGTTTGTTTCCCTTCGATGGAGCTTTGGCTTTCAAGGTAGATATTTAAATAAATTAAAAACATTCCTGAAAAGAATAAAACTTTATTTTATGTTTTCAGATTGTAGGCGCAATTTCACTTTATCTTGTGATTTTATTTCAATTTGAGAATACAGAACAAAAATAAGTTCATTGAGGTATTCAAGGTGTCATCTTATATAATCATTTATTTAACAAATGTCTAGAAATGTTAATGATGCTGCTTCTCAATGTTCAATGGCTGAAAATAAGTTGAGCTTTAAAGAAATTTAAATTAAATATTTTGCATTTTATTAAATTTCAACTTTCTCAGCTTAATTATTTAACAGGCAAAGCGATCTCAAACTGAATTAAGATAACAACGTACATAATGGATGCACTGAAAAACTGCAAATAAAACGATTAAGATTTTAAATATTTAAAATTCTGAAGATTTACTTTGAAGCTAAGCGACCAATCGTATTTGAAAAGTCCGCATGAAAAATCCAAACGACTTGATATGATTTGTTGGGAAAAGTTCATCAACTGAAAAAAACATATCTGATACAATCCTTTTATGCTTTAATGTTTAAGAAAGGAGAGCTAACCCGCTCACTCAATTTCTCGTCCAGTGATGCATTGACAGCTTTGAAAATTAAGTCCAAAGTCTTTTTACCTTCATCAGTTGCTGATGCTGAAAATTTGATTAGCAGGAGTAAGTAAGAAATGTCATGAAAATTCCACGTTATGTTGGCAATGATCCTTAGTGCAACATTGCTGTCATTCAGATAGCGATGTTGCCCCATCACAAGACCGAATAAAAATAAATTAAAAAAGAGAAAAAATGAAGCGATGTAAATCATTAAGAAGAAAGAATAAATTTGATTGATGAGTTTAATGACTTCAGATAAGCAATCATGAATGGTTGCAAGTTTCTGAATGTTTTCAACTGATAGCACTTGAAGTCTGAAAAGAAAATTTATTGTTTTATTCTCTCTGATAATATTAAATATTATTAAAAGGGTTACGACTAATCTGACCTAATAAAATCGTTAATTTTGGCAAATCTCTCTTTTACGACGAACATCATGAAGAAAAAGCTAAGAGCTAAAATAGACGAGCTTTCGGTAATCCAAAAGTAAACGAATGCATTCCCCATTAAGCTCATTGTCACATTCTTCATTTCATGAGTTGCAAAACCAAGAGCTATGATGAAAATATTCCAAAATGAAATAACAACCAAGATGAAAATCGAGACATTTTTTTGTCTTCGATAGTTGAAAGTGATTCCGAATTCACTTAGCTGTTTGAGGATCGTAAATGAAAGCTTAAATTATTTCACAATATTATCAATAAAAGAAAATTTGTTTCTATTTTACCATTTCATCAATTTGCAAAATGAAGTTAATCAATAGTGATTGTTTTGACTGGGAGAAAATTGATCCAATGCATGAGAGAATGTAAACTATGTAACTGCCAAACAAAACTAGTGGTATAGCTTTTGAAATAATACCAGATTGAAGAACAATCAAAGGCACATGATGTTCGCTTTCTCTCAGAAAGTAACCCAATGCACAAATGTTAGCAACATTCCAAAACATAAAAATTACATCACTGATTCTGTAATTTATTTTCAATTCTAAATGATTGAATGTATAAACTGAATATCCACAAATCTTTGAACTTAATTGTAGTGGAGCAAAAGCGTCTAATATCGTAGACATCCTTAAAGAGCGAACTTCAAACTGAAAATGACAAATTTAATCAAGCATATTAATTTCAATTAAATTGATACTTGTAAACTGAGAAGATCTATTTGCTGAGTTGAGTAAGCAACGAGAAAGCAAGAAAAACTTTCATATTAGTGGATGGAAAATTGCAGCAATCTTTAAACACACAACTTTTCCAACACCATCAATACTTCAGTAATCATTTCGGGAAATTGACTTCCATTTAATCACCAGACAAACTTTTTTATCGCACGGCAAAATCGTATCGTTTATCATCATTAATTTTTTTTCTTCATCAACTTTTTCCTCAACTTTTTTTATCATCACATTTTTTTAAGAAAAGCTTTTTGTAGAACTTGAAGCTTTTCTGCCTGGTAATAATTTATTTTGATCGTGTTTTTCTAATTTAATATATTAAAGCGACTTATTTTTATGCGATGAGTTGATTCTAAATTCAGAATCATTTTAACATTTCTACAACATTGACGAAATAATCTTGAAATGAAGGTTGGGGAACGGTCAAGAACATTGAGCTCATTCAAAATATAGTCTGAATCATAACCATTTCTTTCACCTCATGGCACGCGATAAGATCCTTTTGAAATTCAAATAAAAATTATAACAAAGCAAAAAACACTTCGAATGATAACGATAAGAATTATTTCTCCTTTATTAAATTAAATGGTTATATTTTTTTTTTATTACAATTTTCTGCTAATTTTCTCTATTATCATAACTTTGTTCTTTCTCAACTTTTCTCTTTGCCCGTTTTCTTACCTTTAATATCTTAAGAAAGAGAGAAATGATTAAAAGTAATTTTCTTTAGACCCTTCGTGAGATTGCGGTTTATTTTTGCTGGAAAATTCGCTCTTCCACCATTCTCAAGGCTATTATTTGTTAGTTTGAATTAATAAATATGAAGAAGGTTTTAAAAAGACTCGAGAAGCTCATTACCTCAAACAAACTTCTTCATACCCTCGAATGATGAACGCGGATATCCAAAGCTTTCTCAAAACGAGGAATACAAATCAAGCAAGGATGCGACAAATCTATGGGATTTCAGCTTTATTTACCGGCAACAACTCACTCAGAAAGGTTTCAAGCTGAATTGAGGATCAATAAATAATAAATTTTTATGATGTATTTGGGAGAAAAATTTTCGCTTGAATTATGTACATAAAATTTCTTTATTGAAAGCGTTCCCTTGTGAATCGTAAAATTGTTCTTTAGATTTACAAATTTCCTTTATTGTTTGGGGGAGGAAGATGAGAGAATGAACGGCCAGAAAACTCTTAGAAATAAATCAAGCGTATCTTTTAATATACATATCTAGAAAAGATGTCGGTGAAGCTTTCGTAGATTCTGGTACGAAACAAGACGGAATGATTCGTTTACGAGTAACCATTAGGACTCAAGCAATTAAAATAAATTCCACGCGTTTATCCAACATTTGAATCTAACTAAGAAGAAGTTGGAAACTTGACATTACGATACTTGGTAAAGCACAGATTCCTATCATGTTTCCCTCTTTTTTATGGCTCCACTCAGCTGTATAAACTTATCGAGACTCTAAGGGATGTCAATATAAAAGGATTTCATCTCAAGCGAATTTCATTCAATGATAAAAAGAAAGAAGAAATCCTTCGATTGATTGTTAATGTGTTTTAAAAGATTCGAAAATAGTTGAATATTATAAAAGTTTCCAGCATTTTAACGTAATTGAATAACGTGCAGAATATCAACTTGACAACAATTATCTTTATATAATAAAAGTTAATTGACTAAGGTGTGACTATTTTCAGAAAAAAGCGGAAGTTCCATGACTAAATGTAAACATTATCAACAAACACAACAAAAATTTCCCCAAACACAAATAGAATTAATGAAAAAAGGAATTTTATATTCTATTACTCAACTAACAAAACACTATTTGCTTCAAATTTCACACGAGTACTTTCTTATTCGTGCTTTCTGACTCATTTTGTATCGTCGAGAAAATAAGTTCGTGTAGTGGAAAAGCTTATTAATTGCTTTAACTTGAGAGAATTTTAAATGGTTTTACTACGAGAAACTAATTAAAGTTTTTTATCTTTCTGTTTTCAAGTTGCTTTTGTTTAAAAACGAGGTCTTTGAAAAACTTTTGTCAAAGCAAATAATTAAGAAGAGTTTAAAAGGATACGAAGATGAAAATACTCACCAAGTCGACGAGTATTTATGAAACATTTTCCCCTCTAAGCAAAGTTCTTCAATTTGTTGGAATAATTCCATTTCGAGTGAACTCGGAAAGCTTCGAAGTTTCAGTAAAATTTTGCGATGTTTTTTGGATGTTTATGATTTGGATTCTTTGGCTGGTTTTTATTGTGTACAATTTCCTTCAAGAATCTCATCATGGCGACGATTCTGTAGAGTTACTGCTCATGGCCTGGCAATGGATGCAAATTTTCCAAACCATTTCATGCTTTTGCATTCAAGTAATAAACATTCTAAGAAGAAATCGAATTGAAAAGCTTTTAAAACTTTTACATGAAGTTGACGAAATGGTAGAAATTACAGAATACTAAAATATCAAACATTTCAGTTTAATTTATTATCATTTTCAGAATTCAAATATGACATTCAAAGAACAACATTCGAAAGTGAAAAACTTGACATTAAACACGATTATTGGAAGTCAAATTATTACTTTTGTCATTTATTCCTTCACAATATTTATTTTGATGTATAAATATAACGAAAAATTCCATTTGGATGTTGTATTCGAAATGCAATTCTATATCAACTTCACATTTTTCATTTTAACTTACCATCAATTCATTTTCACATTAGCAAATATCAAGTCAAGATTCAAATTATTAAATCAGAATTTAATGTGAGTTGAAATATTTAAAATTTTTGATGTTTATGAATTTTTCATTTCATAACTAGATATTCAGATAAGTGGAAAACTTTCATAACAATCGTTTTACATGCATGCCAATTTATTTGATATTCTCAGATCATACTTCACCTTGCATCACTTATCTCCATATGCTGGTCTATTTCCACAGAAAACCATAGAAACTTTCGGAATAAGCTTTGTACGAAAAGTTGCGATTATGCATGATAAGCTTAATGATGCAGTTGGAATCGTGAACTCTACATTTTCATACGAGGTAGGATTTCATATTCCCACTGATTTTGACCTCAATTCAGAGATTTTGAGATTCTTCACATTATAACATTCAGATACTACCTGGAATGGCTTATACATCATGTTTAACAATTTCCTTGGCGTTTGGAATTTTTCACACAGTTTATGATGAGAAAAATGACGATTTGCTTTCAAATGTTATTTATTTTATTTGGACTTGGTACATGCTTGCCTTTTTGATTGCTGCTATTTTTACGGCCGATACAACAACAAAAGCTGTGAGTTATTTTTGTGCGTGGGTGTGAGAAAGAAAAATTCATACTAATAAGTCGAAAATGTTTGATAAATATTTATTCTAGGCTAACGACACTCTCAAAATATTATCCAGAGTCATAAATAATGCATATGATGAACTGTTGTTAGAACGAGTAAGAGCTTAACCAACGACAGATATTTATTTTATTACATAAGTATTACTGCAACATAACATACATAGTTTATGTTCTTCTCTCTTACAATTCTCATGGGTAAAGTTGCTTCCTTTCTTTATTTTTTCAGCTCACAATTTTCTCACATCAAATCAACCATGGAACGTCCGTTGTGTCATGCGGTTTGTTCACAATCGATTGGTCATTGGCTTTTTCGGTTCGTTGGTTTTATCTTCATTCGAAGTCATGAAATACAATTTCATTTTCATTTTCATTTGAAATCAATCCCTATTGGGATGTGATTATTGTATTATTCTTCCTTTCAGTTATTATCAGCCGCAACGACGTACTTGTTCATCATCCTACAATTTGAAATGTCAAAGAAATCTGTGAAAGCATAAGGAGATTAAGCGTTGATTTTCCCTTCTCTGTATTATTTCATCCGTTGAAGCTTGTCACGATTGTCAATCTTCTATCAAAGGTGAAACCTTTTACATACATTTAAATTGAAATGTGTTGAATACAATCTGTAAAGTGCATTTTCTGATTTATTCTCCAGCAGTTCATCTCATATTTATTTACTTCTATGAAGATGTCGATGAAACAAATAACAAAAATCAACAAATCCTCAGAGGCTGTCAGACAGAAAACTCAATTCACATGATGGAGGTTTCTGGTGAATTTCGTTTCTTGAGCATTTTGACAGCTTTAAAAGATTTTTCTAAAGATTTTCATGAAAAATTATTGTAAAAGTTGAACATTTATTAGACTTGTTTAATTCATTGACTTCTTATCATGTTTCACAGTGTTGAAAATTAATGAAAGAAATAAATTGAAAGATAATGAAAATGATTCTTTGAGGAAACTCTTTCAAGCGAGAGAAGCAGAGCATATCATTCAGCACACATTTCCCACTGGGTCATATGATACATCATATTATGTGAACTAAATATCTATTTCGATTAGTCACCGCTTCTTACATGTGAATCCATTCGACTTCAGCCTTTAGTATATTTTCAGCATTTCCCATCTTGGTTTTATAGTCTGTAGATGAAGAAAATATTTAATGTGAAATAGAACGTGACATTTGTTTTATTTTCTCACTTTATTTTCCGCTCTCGCCTCATCGTCGAATGAAAAGAACAAAAAACGAAAAGGAAAGCAGGAAAGCGATAAGAGTTAGGAAAATTCCTTTTCACAGTTCTTAATTTACTATCGGGTGCGATGAAGAAACTAGGGAACAATGAAACTGATATATTGAAAGATTTCTCATTCGTCGCCCAAACTCTCCCACATTTTCCTTTACGGTAATAAATTATTCCAAAACCTTCTTTCCAACTACTTATTCGTATTCGTTTGCTCTAATGGGGTCAAATTATCGACGAGCTAGCACATTTGTGATATTTGAATGCTATGTAAATCATTCAACCGATGAAGAGAACACCAAACCTTCGTTTCGATTCTGACAAAAGCGAGATGAAAATTCTTCTCTTACACTTTTCTTCACACCAATCGAAATATGTCTTATTATGCCTTGCACGAGCATCGAGCTTTATTGTAACGTTCGACTCAACATTTATTCTCTCAAAAAAAAAATGTTCACTTTGTTAAGGGAGTAAAATGAAGGAAGTGGAAATAAAGGAAGATCACTAATATAGATGTGAGAAAGCATAACGAAAATAAATAGAGAAAAACTCGAGGGAAACTTTCTTCCACTTTGATACCATTAAAGTGGTTATGTTTTGAAGGCACATATGGATCAGTTGAGGGATATCAAATCTTATCAGGTTGCCTTGTGTTTATTTGAATATTTTATCCATACCAACATCAAGGTAATTTATCATTGTATCCATAATTCTTTTATTTTCCTTTCTTCATATTTATACACAGACATATTTTTAGTAAGAAGAACGCAAGTCATTTTTATTCCTTCTGCGATAATTTTGATAAATCATCGTCAACGGAAGTAGGATGAAATATTTCCTTACGACGTTGTTTCATGCAAAGTGTTTTAAATTCAAAGCATGTTGTTAGATATTATATCACCCCGATTTGCGAAACGGAGGCATCTGATGACTCTTTCTTATTTCTTCGAATTTCTGTTTTCTTTTGAAAAACAACAAGTGAAGTCTTGAATTTGTTTATTGTGATGGCAAAATGATATGCTTGATAGACAGGCTTCTCAGGTTGTCACCTTGCATTAACAACATGGAGGTTCATGTCGATTTCGCGTCATAGAAACCGATTTTTTTATACAAATTTAGTCAATTAACTTGACGACTTCAGAGAATGTTTCATTAGTAAGGACATGTAAGAAAACAGGAAAAATTTCTTCATTAAACAATTTATTGATGATGGAAAACTTAATTGAAAACTATTTTCCATATTCTCATGTTTAATATTTTAATTATTTATTCATTTCTTTTCGTTATCATAATGGACTCATTCGAATGCATGACACTCTTATGTCTAAGTCATTCATCGTTTCCATTCTAAAGCAATTGAGTTAACTTTGTCTGATGCGATAAAAAATATCTTTTCTGATGCACGTTCTCACATGCTCGTATGTATCTAGATTCTAGATTGAAAATATCAAAACAATTTTAAGCTTCTTTCCGTATTCAGTAGATTTATAGACACTTTAACCCTCTCTGCTTTTTAAACAAAAACAAAAGCATTTTAATTTACGTGAGTTCTACTGAACACTCGACCATGCAAACCATTAATTGGTGGAAAAAGTTTGTCTTTTATGCATACAATGAGACACGAGACCTGTGGAATTAAAAATAATAAATTCAGTCATCGCTACTGGATAATTTTTTTTGCAATATTAAACTTTTACTCAAACTAGAATTTTATTTTTTACTAAAGCTTTAAACTTATAAGCAAAATTCGGAATTTCAGCAGTAAATAATTTTATTTTTTATAATCATAAAATGAACTTTAAAATTTTAATGTCTAATGGCATAATAACGAAAACTCTCATATCTAACATTTTTTATGTTAGAAGATTTAATTTTTAGAATAAAAACATTACCTTCGACATCTTTAAAATCTTTAAAACAGTGAAATTGTTATTGAGAAGTGTTCTTTACGAAAAAATAAAAAAATCCAGGATTTTATTCACAATCTTTGGTGTCGTGTACAGAAAATTTATTTTCCGGAGAAATTTGAAATCTGATAAGAAGGCTTTGTTTGCTATTTGAATAAAAATTTCTTCCGTTTCATGTTCCCAAATTTCCTTTAGAAAGACTAACAGAATCAAACTTTGTTGGCATTAAGCTTTTGAAAGTTGACAGCTATGAAATAATTGATGTGACAGCTTGTGTTTAAATATGTGATAAGCTTAGACGTTTCTCTTTCAATATCGATTTACTCCATTTAAATCAGTAAAAAACTTTTCTTGAAATTTAAAGAGTGAAAATTATTATCGTCCAGTTTCTTCCAAATTTAAATTGCAAATAAACTTTTTTGCTTAAAAATTACAATAAAAAATGACATTATGATGCATGACATATTTCACGTAATTTATTATGTTTGCTAACAAGCAGTTCAATGAAACAATGAAACCCTTTGATGAATCTCCATGGATAGTTATAATTAACTGACGACCGAACCACAACAATAGTTTGTTATTTTTCGAATTATGTTCATAAACGTTCATTATCATTTCATTTTTCCATTCAATGTCCGTATTAGAGAAGAACTGAAACATTATCAGAAATTGGATGTTAAACTCTAGAAGTGAAATTTAGTGTGCGATTATATAAAATTTAATGGATATAAAAATATTAAAGCACTAAAAATTGATTGGAATTAATTTGAAATTCAATTCATCTATTTCATCGAAAAGTGAAATCAATGAATTATGCGCACATCTCACTATTTATTCAAAACTCTTGTAATATAATATTTGTATTACTAACATAAAATTCTTTAACCATTCAATAAACATTCAATTTTACAACAGAAAGTGAAGAGCACACTTGTTATGGAGTATAAAAATCCCATCAAGCTTTAAGCAATTGAAAATGTTCAGTGAATCTGAAAAGCATCTTAAATGACTTTTGGAACATGGACTGCTGACTTACATTTCTGAGCAATTGGAAAATGATCATTACATAAACAAAAAATAGCCCTCGGCCATTATTTATTTCAAATAAATATTGCATGACATATTTGAAGTGTGTCTCTCTAAATAACATCAATCATCGAGAAAATTTGAAGACTTAATCAAATATTATAGACTTTTATTAATTGAAGGTTTTAAACATCACTTCATTTATTGATATGTTTAGTTATCAGTATTTGTTCTGAAAATCGAATAATCATGTAAAAAGTTCCATTTCTCCATCATATTTACTTTTGTTTCAAAATTCTTGCCATGTAAATATGTCGTAATAATGCGATGTTATGCACGTTCATGAAGTAATAATTTTAAATATTGATTTTTATATCATTTTATAATAGAAAACAACGCATTACTTACAAAAATTACTCTGCATAATAAAACATTTATTTCATCGTGAAGCATTTAAATCATCGACAATGTTGTTGACAAGCACATTTGATAAATAAATAATTAATAACATGAAGAAAAAATAATTATGTTGCTATCATGTTTAAGTTTGTAATCAAAGATGATTCATGTTTGACCTTTTTTAATTCTTTATTTAGAAGAAACGCAAATTAGCTTGTCATCGAGACACATTTTGGATTCCGATAGTACTTACAGTTCCATATTTAATTTATGTAATCAGCTTCCTAATTGCAGTATATTGCGAGTTTTATGGTAAAATTGATTTCGTTTTTCACTTTTTAGTTGTCGATAATTTTAGTTATATATTAATTATGGAAGTTTGGCTTATAATTTTTATAATTTATTAGAAGCACCTGGTGCTTAATATCCGTTTTGAAACTTTACTTAAAAACTTCAGGTAAGATAATTAAAGGTAATTAAGAATGTATAAAGAGTCATTTAAAAAATATTAAATGTATCCTACAGAACTTTGATATCTTCTCTCATTGACCAGCAGTTGAAGTTTCAATCAAATGTTGATGAGCATCAAAAAGAGATTTTGAAGAATCTTTTCATACTGTACGATTTATTAGCTGATACCGTTTACGAACTAAACTCAATTTTCTCAAAAGAAATAAGTTTAAGCACATTAAAAAATTAAATTTTCATGTTTGATTGAAATATTAGTGTTTTCAGTTAATTCCATTCTTCGCTGTCCCACTAATGATGGGAAAATTTACAATTTATACAATAATTAAATTTATATTTTATAATGCTCATCTGGACGTATGGATCTATATCGAATTCCACTACTGGCTTTTCTTTCTATTCACTCCTTCTTTCATATCAATTTATGTAGCTGTTCAGTCGATAAATAGCAGCAGAAAATTTTCTAAATACTTGGAAATTTCATCAAACAATTATCATGACAAAAGTATTTTTCTAAAATTTTAATTGATTATTGAATGAAAATGTCGTACCGTTTCACATTTTATCATTTTCAGATAATTTCAATAAAACTTAAAATGTCCAATCAGCCAATTATTTTTTGTTCCGGATTATTTTACATTAATTGGATTCTTGCTTTGTCTATTTTAGCTATCATCGCATCACGTCTAATTATACTTGTACAAGTTCAGGGTAAAGTTTGACCTTTTTCAGTTTTTATAGTTCTAATGACATTATAGGTCACATGCATATTTAAAGGTAAAACTGTTACAATTAAATCCTTCAAATTAATGTTTTTAAACATGAAACTACTCAATAGAATTAAATTCATGTTTCACCTTTTCAGCTATGATGGCATTATTCAATTTAATTTATTTTTAGACGTTCAAGTGATCAGTGAGAAATGAGTGGAAACGGGAAAAGTATTTTTCACACGTCTCGAGCTTTCTTTTGGCTTCTAAGAATTTTTGGCGTGTCACCTTATCGGATTAACAAGGAAACATTAAAGATTGAAATGAAGTTTCATAACCATTTAATGTTTGTTCTTATGACGTGTATTTGGATACTTTTGTTTATTAGAGCCATGGACCTTCATTTGGTTTATCTTGAGGTTTCACCGAAATCTGATTCGATGATTTCAGATCATATTTGGAACATATGTTTGACAGTTCAATCTTTCTTTATACCAATTCTTATTGTTTTCAATGTTTACAAACGCCAACACATTGAGAACATTCTACGTTTAATCAAAGGATTTGATGACAAACTCGAGTCTTTAAATTGGCGATTTCAATCTTGTAATGAAAATAATTACAAGTTTCCAATGATCATTTTAATCCCGCATTTTATATATACAATAATTTTTTCAATTGGACAATTCTATTATGATGTTTATACATACAACAAAGGCAAATCTACTGCTTACGTGATCTTTGACATTTTCATTTATGTATCAAGCATGATAGTTTGGATGACATTTTTTAATCAATTCATTGGAAGTGTTTGTGTTGTTAATTCTCGATTTAAACTCCTTATCAATAATTTAAAGTAAGTATTTATGTATTTTCATCATGTGAAAGTTTCTATTTTAAAGTTTTTTAATTTCTTTCCCAGTTTCATAAATCGCAATGACTTTGAAAATACTTCAAATCTCAAATTATTTTCCTGATACGATTATAAAAAGGAAATATTGAAAAACTTTGGCATATTGTATGACATTTTGGCAGACATTGTGGATGAAATCGACTCAATCTTTACTACACAAGTAGAAATGATCAAAACTTTCAATGTTAATAAAACGATAATTCATTTCGTTTTCAGTTGATTCCTCTCATTACTAACTCGATGTTGATGCAAATTCATTTTTCTTATACGATAATAAGAATCTTGTTTTTTAATCATGAAACACCAAGTGGAGTGTTTTTCCTCAAATCACTTCATTGGGTGGTCACATCTGTAATTCCAACTTTCATATCAATTTATTATGCTGCTCGAACCAAAATCACCAGCAAACGTTTTGTGAAATGTGTTGAGAGAATACCAACAATAAATGATGACAGAAATATTTTCCTTAAGGCAATTTTCTAAATTTCATTCTAAAATTACATATCTGTGAAAATAATCTGTTTAATCATTTCAGTTGATATCCTTGAAGATGAAAATTTCAGTACGGCCAATAAAATTTTCTTGTGGACTTTTCACCATTGATTGGGCTTTAGTACTTTCAATTTTTGGCACCATAGCTTCATACATGATAATAATTGCTCAATTTGAACCAGTCGTCTTAGAGAATATTTAAAATTTTCAATGATAAAATTTATGAATTTGTTACACTAATAAAAATTAATTTGATTGCGTTTCAATCACATGTAATGTGTGTTTATCTATTCCTTTTTCCATTACAAGGTAAGGTCACAATGTAAATCGAAATTATGATCTTCAAACGAAGCTTACATTACTAAATACATAATTGAAGTTACAACCTTGTAAAAATTACACGAAGAAGGCAAAAATTGCGTGATTAACAAAATTAATATTTCAAAAATGACAACGCTGACATAGGATTTGTTTATTTCTATTCTCTTCAGTTATCATCGAGTCGTAAAATCTTCTAAGCTAAAATGCATAAAAATGAGAAAAATATTTATCATTCAAATCGAACATTATTTTTATTTACAAAAGTTTTTGGTGCAGCGCCTTATCAAATTAACAAGGAATCTTTAAAAATTGAGATGAAAGTTATCAATCATATATTTTTCGTGTTATCGATATCTGCGTGGGTGGTTGTTGGCATTTACAGAACGAATGTATATTTACAAGTATACGAAGAAGCTAAGGAAACCAACTCTCTTGCGTCGGATCAACTTTGGGAAATAACATTAACCATTCAAGCTATTATGTTACCCTTTTTGGTTGCATTTAATGTCTCAAAACGTCAACACATTGAAAATCTTATGATATCATTAAAGTCGTTTGATGATTGTTTGAAGTCACTTAAATGGAGATTTCAAATCTTCCATGGAAGAAACTATTGGATTCCTTCAATACTCATCATTCCAAACTTAATTTATTTGATCAGTTTCGAAATCGGTCCTCACATTTATTATCATAAAGACAGTGAAGAAAGATCTTGGTTTGTTTTAATTTGTGACATGATTTCATACTTAACAAGTATGGAGTTGTGGTTGATATTTTATTTACAATTCGTTGTAAGTGTTTGGTGTATCAACACTCGTTTTGATGCGTTGCTTAAGAACTTCAGGTGAGGAAGATTAATGAACAAAACACGCAACTCAAATATGATATTTAATGAATGTTGGAAATTTAGATTTATCTTACGCTATGACTTTTGTGTGAAGGAATTTCTTAATCTTGGTTCCACTTACAACAAAGACACTTTAAATAAAATTTCGCTATTGTACGACATTCTTGCTGATATTGTTGAAGAAGTGAATTCAATCTTTACGAAACAGGTAAAATTCAATAAAACAGTTGTCAAATCAGTAAACTACTTAATTTTGATGCTTCAGTTGATTCCCATTTTTCTGATTGCATTGTTGATGGAAACGGGCACAATCCATTTAATTATAGAGTTGACACGTGGTGATGTTGAAGAACCAATTAAATGGATATTAATCAATTCCTTTTACTGGTTTGTATTCCTGATTGCACCATCTCTGGTGTCAATTTATGTTGCCGATGGATCATCAAACAAAAGATCAGAATTGTCAAACTTAGTTGAGAATGTTTCCAACTCTTGTGATGATGAAGATATTTTTCAAGAAGTGAGTTATTCAATTATTTACTTCTCTTATCCTTAAATTTACTTAAAAACTTTCAGATTTTATCATTGAAAGTTAAAATATCCAATCGACCAGTGATTTTCACTTGCGGGCTTTTTGACATCAACGGAGAGTTGGCGTTATCAATTTTCGGAACAATTGCTTCATATTTGATTATAATTATCCAGTTCGAGCAACCTGCCGTAGCGTAATGTACATTCCTATGGTTTCATCATCCTTTAGAAACAAACAGAAGTGCTAAATATAATCACCACACACTTTACTGTTGCTTTTATTCACCTTGACCTTTATAAGCCTACATGATAGAAAAAGTAGATAAAAATATTTTTAACATGATATAAAAAACTACACATTTCGATAAAAGCAAATTCATGTTTTCAGAGAAACAATTTGAAAACAAGGCTTTCTTGATAGATCATAACAATTTAGTTAATTTATGCCACAAAATGAAATTTTAGTTTTGTAGGATTTTCACTGAAAGAATATTAAAGATTGAAGTGGTTTAATTACAGAATGTTTATGGTTTGTGGAGTTCAGTAACACAATAATATGTTTAAAAAGTTTTGCAATCAATCATCAGATGTAGAGAAATTTTCTATTTGTAATTGAATTACATAAACATTAAAGTTCAATAAAGCTAAACTTTTTATTCTCATGTAGAAAATAATTTTTTTACACGATTTCTTTAAGAAGCTTTTGTTTTCTGTCTGATGCATTCAAGTCAGCAGAAGATAAGTTTAGAAAAGTACTCAAACTTCTTTAAGCTAAGTTTCAGACTTCAAATCCTCCCTAAAAATAACTTCACATGAGAACGAAACAATTTTATTCCATTTGTTAACAAAAGTCACACATCTGTTTAAAAAATTTAGATGAACAACATTTAAGTTTAGTGGTTTGAACTTGTTAATGCAAGTTTCAAATAGTCTTATTGTAAAACAAGAAACTTATGAAAAGTTTTCATATCATTAATCATGAGATTTCTTCAATATGTTGTGACTTTATGCATACAACGTTTTCAGAGAAGCAAAACTGATTTCATACTTCAATAAGAAAAGGTAGAAAATGATTTCCGAGCAAAAACAGTTCGAAAGTTTTAATGTTTGATGATGAATACTTGAGAATACTTAAAAGTTTAAACTTTTGCTGAAGGCAGCAAAAAAAAGGAAGAAATAAACTTTGCTATAAAGAGAAATGATACGAAAATATTAAAATGATGAACTGGGAAGCTACAAAAGCTTCATGGTGATGGATATTTAGTAATGATAACCTTTAATTATAAAACTAACTAAAACTATTTTTTTCTTGCTTAAATTACTTTTACTTATATAAAATTCTCATTCTGAATACATTTTCATCAAAGTGGTAAGCAGTATAAATGAGGGAAAGAATGCGCTAGAAATTTGTCTGAAATTTTAAGGAAATATTATTAAATTTTTCCTAATAGAAGTTTCAAACAAAAAGTTTCTTTAAGCCAGACTGAACGCCAAATTTTTTTCCTTTAAAAAAGAAATAGCGGAAAAGTTTCTTGACGGTAATCCAATCCAACTGAACTTCATTGCAGAGAAAAAAATGCGGAATTCCCTTCTATTAATCCTACGAACTGAATTCATTCTTTATAATCATTTAATTGTATGTCGGATATTCTTATTTCAAATACAATCCGCAAACAGCAACTTTGCGTCGACTTTTTGCTCTAAGCACTAGTCAGAAAGGAAAGACAGTCTTTAAGCTATGAAAATTACCATAAAACACACATGCTGCTTGCGCTCTCGTATCTTAAAATTTTCGGCAATGTATTGTGGTTAACTTCTGCCGCATAAGCGCTCCGTCAATTTGGGAGGAAATCTTACTCAAACTGCTGTCGTAAGTAGAATCATTACGCAATCAATAATTAAGACTGAGATATAAAATTATGTAAACGATTTAATAAAACTTTTAATTGCCAATCATCGTTAATCGTTGAAAATTTCTCCACCCCAATAGACTTGACGAATTTTAATTACAGCCTTCAGCTTTGTAGCATTCTTTGATATTATTTCAGTTGGCTTTCAATTAAAAACTTCTGACTAATGAAAAATGTTAATTCTTTATTAATACAATTTCTGATGTGTTTGAAGAAAGTATCGCTTTAATTCACATCAACCTGAACTTTGTGGGAGATTTGAACGAAACCAAAGTTAGCTAACTCCAAAGTGAATAAAATTCTTCAAGAGTCAATGAACTGAAACGACGGCACATGGACAGAAATGATTTTCTAATGAACTGAAGTGCACAATCTCGATTGAAATGCGCGGTGAGAAACAAATTTAACAACAGTTTCTCTACAATATTAGTTCATTTGCTCCCTCTGTGAAACAATTTAAATATTTGGTGAACATCACTGGCCAACAATAAAGTTCAACGAAATTGAAAAACCGCGGATGAAGTGAAATTTCACGATTAATGATTTGGTCTTCAAGGTGAAATTAAATGAAATTTGATGATGAGATGAATCGGTAAAACGAGGCGTGTTGTGCCTTCTGCCTACGGGCGAAATATCTTGACTGTTGAAAAGAAAGCGAATGCTGTTGAAGAATGCGCAAACAATTGCTTTTGAATGAGCGGTCATTTGGCTACAAGTTCACGGTTGTTTGCTGCTACATACAACTTGCAAAAAAGAGAAAGAAATCACTGTCTGACTCTTTGATTTATTATTGAGTAATAAGGCTGAAAAGATTACGGCTTATTAATACTTAAACTTTGTTTGCTTAATTCTCCTTCTTATCTTTGTCATGTGAACGAAAAATATTTGGAAGTGAAGATGAAAGCTTTGTGTTAGATAATGTTTTTATAATTTTGATACTTCAATTAAAATTCAATTGCTTATAATTTGACTTTTCGTAACAGTAACTGACACTGGTGATGAGTTTAATTTTGTATTGTCACCTCTAAATTTTGTAGATAAATCAACTTTAGGTGAAAGTTTTATTTTTTATTTTTCTAAAGCAGTTTTGTTTGATGTGATCTGCTTAATCCGAAATATTTTTCTGCACTGAAAAGCTTACTTTTTATCTTTGATTAAAAAATTCATTTAACGTAAGGAATGCCGTATTCAATAATGTTTTATGAAAGTTCACTTTAAAGTTCAGAGAATGTGATCACCTCATGTTTTTGCTTACTTTTAAAGAGTCTTTAACCTGCAATTTTCTCAAATTAAATGCGATCATTAAACTTGTATATATGTGTGTTGCTGTTGACACGATTCAAGGCCGGTGAAGTTTTTAAAATTCATTCCGGATCCATAAGAAACGAATGAAAAGAAGAAAAGAAATTATCACCATTCAATATTACTTCAAGAGAAAAGGAAAGAGATGTCTGAAAGAAGAAAATAAAAACTTTCATTTTTCTGATTTCGAGAAGAATCATTAAAAGAGAAAAGGCCGATACGTTGAGCGATGTCTGCATTTGCGTAAATCTTTATGAGACAGAGAACTAGCACTTTTTTTAATTTAATGCTAATTCACTCATAAAGGTCGTTTTTAGTTTTTCTTTTTTGATTATTAAATGTCGATTAGTTCGAGTATAAAATGCACTCTTTCAGTGATGATTAGTAATCATCGTAGTTTACCTTTTGTTTATTGAGAAGCTCATCAACATGATAATGATTTCGAATAAAATTACAAAGAAAAACGATTTCTCTTCATATTTTATTATAAAGTAGATAATGATCATAATTATGATGCTTTTTATTGTTCTCAAATTCCTCGAAATATCATCTTGATGTGAATAATTTTAACACTGACTACAATAAAAAACAATATTGGAAAAAGGTTTCTTGAAGGTTTTCACTCATTCGTATTTAAATCGTTTAGTTTAAATTTTACTGCTTTTCGCATATCTCATTTCAATTATCATGCTTTTTGTGTTTGAAGAAGAGTGAGGGGAAAAACATTAACAATGGCAATGATAAGATTTTTTTTTCTCTTTTCTTAATCGTTCGTTTGTTTTGTTTATTCTATGTTGATATCATTCTTTAATTCTTTTTCTTTCTTTTTTCAAATCATTCCCTTAAGCATTGAAAATTATGAAAATGAAGAAAAGAAAACAAACAGCTTTAATAAGCTATCAAAAATTACACAATGAACTTGATTTAATTTAAATCTTGTTGAATCAATTAAGAAACAAAAGAATTAACTTTTCCATTAAGTTTATTTTATTTCTTTGACAAATTTCCGCCGGAAGAAAGTTTTGCTCGAAACATCATTACATCTGTGATGTAACTTGCTTTTTGATTTCTTCGTTAAATTATGGCATCAAACAATGAAATATTTATGAATCTACCTTGAATTGTGTTTGCTTAAACGGTGACTTTTTTGACGGATTCATTAAAATAAGGTGTTTAAGATTATATAATAAATAAAGCAGCTTACATATTAAGTATAACATTCATAAAGGTGAAACCCTTGAACACATCCGATTCAAACATTCATCATTTATAAACATACAATCAAATATTAAATGGAAGAAACTTAAGAAAGGCTACAGATATATATCAGTCAAGATTGCAACACAAATTAAGATGAAGAATGTTCATCTATTGATGCATGCTTGTCTGCTAGTACTTCTTGGCCTTCTGGGCTTTTAAGGAATACTTGAACTTCACTGTGATCTGTTTGATGATCTTCTGAGACCTGTGGAATTGTATGAGCTGGTTTCTGTTCAACTGCTGATAAAATTGATTGCAGAAGACCATCAGCAAGAATTTGTTGATGGTTTGGTGCATCAATTGTGTTGCTATTTTGTTCTGAGCTTGATGTAATTAATTGAAGATGATAAGATCCCAGTTGAGCTTCTTTCGGGACTTCAATAGATTGTGACTTTTGTGCAGAAATAAAGTTCAATCCTGATCCACTTAATCCTGTTTCTAATCCTGGCAAAGTTTCGCTATTCACGCTGTATTCAGAAGCAGCAGCAACAACATTATGTTCATCTGTTGATGAAACTGCATTAGCTCTTGGGCTACTTTCCAATCCAATCACATCTATTGCATCTATTGACGCAGGTCCAGAAGCCGGTGGTCCATAGCTGTTTGAGGGTGAGTTGAAATCGATTGAATTGTGTTGTGGAACTTCTAAAGCTACGTTTGGAATGTCGTAACCTGAATTGCCAGAGCTTTGCAAATGTGATGGTATCTGATAGCTGGTAAGTGGAGCAGCTAATGGTGTTCCATAACTGTTTGATAATTGGGGACCTTTTCCGCAATCATGAATGATGTGAACGTTTTGCAACTGTTGATTTTGGAAAGAATAACCTGAACTTGATGATGCTGAACCTGATGAATGAGATTGATGTGAATGTGATTGGTGATTAGAATTGAATGGTTGAACTGGACCATGATTAGGAACACTCAGTTTCATAGGTGGAATTGGAACTTCGGATACTGGTGGAGGTACATAAGTATTACCAAGATTTTGATTCCTATGTCCATTATCTAATGCTTGAACATGTTGACCAACTGACTGGAATAGCCCATGTGGAACTGGTGCTCTATGCGGCAGTGGATAGCGCGGTTGTTGTCGAATTGGGGCAGGTGCGTGCAAGGACTGTGAGTGAGATTGGCCAGATGAGTAACCATGTGCAATCGATTGTGCATGAGAGTTGAATTGTTGTGGTCTAAATTGTGGTGGATGAGGTCGGTTAATTTTAATTGGCACTGGAGGAACATATTGCGGTCGTGGTTGTGGTCTTTGAGGTAAATATGAATTAGAAGGAGGTGGTGGTAAAGGTCTTGGATGGGGAGCCGGTCCTGGTCCCGGTCGTGGTTTCAAATGTGATGGCGCATATGCTCCTGGCGCATAAGAATCCAATGGAGGGGCTGAGTAAGAATCTCCGCTGTTATAGCTGCTTGCCACCTGTGAAGAAATAAAACTTAAATCTTTTCAAAAATAGTCATTTTAAATAACTTACTTCTGATGTGTGACTTTCATGAATGGCATGTGATGGAACAACCTCATTGTGACCAGCAGAGACTCCAAGAGATGATGTCACCAAACCTATTGCACTGTTAAATAGTGAACCTGAATCGATAGCCGGTAACTGTTGCTGTCCAATGTTATGAATTGTTTGAATATCTCCTCCATGCGAAGATCCTCGGATTTCTTCATGTGCTTCGTGATGAACATTTCCACTTGGTGGTGGACCATATGAAGATTCTGGTAGTGCTATAACAGGAGTTCCATAAGTAATGTCAGGTTGCTGTGGCAAAGGTTGAGGTTTTGGTGGTCCATAAGTAGCATGACCTATCGGTTGAGGGCCACCAAAGTGGGTTTCAATACTCTGAACTGAACTAACAGATGAATGTCCAGAGGAATGGCCGGATGAATGGGATTCATGAACAGGAGCTGGTCCATGGCCACCTGATCCACTGCTGAATCCACTGCCTCCGTGATTAGGAGGTCCATAGGAATCTGATGGAGGTGGTGGAGGTCCATATGAGTCTTGTGCCCCTGATCCTCCACCATGGCTTGAACTATGTCCATGGTTTGAAGATCCAAAGGAGTGATGACCGCCAGATGATGATCCACCACTAATACTATGTCCATGACCTGCAGAGCCAAATGACTGATGCCCGCCAGATAATCCACCACTTATACTATGTCCATGACCTGCAGAGCCAAATGACTGATGACCGCCAGATAATGATCCACCACTGATACCATGTCCATGACTTTCGGAGCCAAATGACTGATGACCGCCATTTCCACTGTTTCCATGACTTGGAGGTCCATAGGAGTCACTGGGTGGTTGAATTTGTGGAGCTGGAGCACCATAAGAGATATCAGGAACTGTAATTATTTGCGTGATAATATTTGCACCATTTCCAGATCCATGTCTTGGTGGTCCATATGAGCTGTCAATGCTTTGTACATGAGAAGCAGAACCTCCACCAGAATGATATCCTTGGCCATCTGAAGGTCCAGGAATTGGAATCCAACCATCACATCTTACATCGGGACTGTGATTATGCATGAAACTTGCTAAGCTTCCATGGCTACTACTTCCACCTGCAACATGTGGTGGTCCATAATTTCCTTGAGGCTGTTGAACAGGTATTGGGTGTGGTCGATTGACTACTCTTCCTTGACTTGCATATCCCGAATTTCTCACGGCAGCAATTAATCTTTTCATGGCGTGAATACGATTCTGTCTAATACCTTGTTGTGGAACTCGTCGATTTGGTGCACCATATTCAGATTGAATTGGAGCGACAGGAACTTGAAGTACTGCACTAGGTGCTTCACGTCTTTGTGCTTCTTGTGACGTTGGAGTTACTACAGCTTCGACACTCAAGAATACCAAAAGCATCAACAAGCAAATCTGAAATTTTCAAGAAAAGAAATTAATGGCTTTTATTTGACATAAAATGATATTTAAGTTAATGCTGAATGGCATTTGGCTAAAATAAACAGTGACACTGTCAGCATACACATATTGATGTTGCTTCCATTGGAGAGTCGCTTAATTTATGAATCAGTCAACGTATTGACCAAGTAATGATTTTTTAGTCTGGTAATTATTTGGTTTTGCTTTCTTTCCTCAATCATTTATCAATCATAAAGAATTGTTTGTAAATAGACTATAAGAATTGTTTAAATATTCATCAACGCGCCCTCATAATTCTCATCGTCATTGTTGAATTCATTTGTAATGAAAGCCTTTGCACTTAGCGAAAGTTGAAAAGAACGTGACAACGAAACATGTGATAATTTTATTGAATTCAGTCTGATAGATTTTTTTATTCGGTTCTTTCGTTGTCATTAAAAAACACAAACCTCGACAATGAAAATATTTTAATGATAAAACTTTCTCTTTTACTGATGCTGAAGAGTTAACGAAAAGATATAAAAACGAAGTGAGATATTTTATTGAGAATATAATGGGAATCAACACAACGATATGGGTTTTTATTTACCATAAAATGAATCTCATCGTTTTGGGAATTGAAAGGCTGAAAGATCTCACGAGATTCGCAAGCATAAATAAGTATAATTTGGTTAATTGCTTTTGTTTGGAACATAAAATACCGCAAAATTAATGCTGGTGTGTCCTTGGTGCTTATGTTCATGACTGTTGCGAACTTGAACAGCAAAGTGAAATTCAAATAATAAAAAAAAGTTCAACGATTCTTTTGTTGTCAGTTACATGTTTTCGGCAACGATAATTTACTCGCTGCCCTTTGGCATCTTAAGACAGTGAAATTTCAAGAGAAAACTTTTCCATTTAACTTCACAAAATACTTTGATGTTGTTAATGTTTTTCTCAACTGGTTTTCTGAAGAATATTACGGCGAGATTCATTCAAGCGTGGCCCATAAAATTTTACTTCTTATACTTACGCCCACGCATTGCTAACCACGTGCATATCTGTGTGCATTTGAGTAAAACTGTAAAAGGAAACTAGTGGTAATTAGAATTAAGGGTTCTCCTATGTATGGTTCAAAAGCAGAGACTGAAACAATAAACTCGTTAGAAGAAAATAAGGAAAAAATAGTCGAGAAGTTAACTGAGCGTAAATCAATTACATTCAGTCGATGAACTGTCAAAACATGTTGGACGGTCGTAAATTTTTATTCAATTCAGCTTAAGAAACTCGACATCTCCCTCTGTTTTTTTATCTTTTCATTCGTTCCTTCTTTTTTCCTTCGATATTGTGCAATATCGTTTCTGTTTTAAAATAGAGAAAACCAATCAACTTCTTGAACAACTGCCAGGAAGAAAAACTGGAGCGTGGATGAATAATTTTTTCGCACGTATTTCGTACGAGTCAGTCAACATTTTATGCAAGACCAAACTGTTTTTTAATTCGTGTAAGTTTTAATTTTCTAGAGTATGAGCTTTACAGTAAATGGCGTGTGCGAACATTAATTTTAATTTCACTTTTATTACCTCAACCATCATTGCTTCCATCGTTCACACCGAAAGCTTTTATTACGTTCTAAAGCAAGGATTTAATTTTTGGTAAGAATCTTAGGAACAGACGAAAGAAAGCCATGGTCAAAACCAACATACGCTTCTCTCTTTTCCGTTCTCATGTATTGATTGCCGCCAATGAAAACAATAACAAACAAGCAAAAACTTGGAAACTTTTCTTCTTTTTCTAAATATTTCCTCGTTTCGTTCTTCTCTAATGATTCGTTTGAACCCAGTGGCGGAAATTTATTGCAGTTTATGTTGTTCGACGTTTATAGTGCTCATAGCATACGTTAATAGCGTTAATGGCTTTTATGGTATTAATAATGAGACGCACGTGCTGACATGATAGAAGATTACGTGTCGCCAAATTTACGCTTGCACATCGAATAATTGATTTAAATTAGACTCAAAGTGGTTTCTTTATTAAAACACTACTGCGCGTACAATTCAATACACAAACATAAGAAGAATATTCTAACATTTAAATAAATAAACTCAATGAATTTGACATAAACCTTGTTTCCCTTGACACTTCTTACGCACGTTTGTGATAAAGTTTTCAAATTTCCCTGCCGCGTAATTGCCGTTTCTACCAACATTCAACAACAAGAAAGAATTTTCTTTTAATTTTATGTACAAATTATTCTGTAATCATTCTCACTAAGGGAGATGGAAGGAAATGATTCCAACATTTCAGTTATATTGCGGGTGAACAGAACAATCGTCCCGTGAGTCGTTATAAGAAACGTTACATTTCTATGCACAAGAGAATTAGTCGACTTTTTATTTCGAAAGCGTAATTTGATTAAATTTTTATCAACTTTTCATAGACTTGAAGAAACTTCTCGCTTTCTGTCTTCTTTCCCTTCAAGGTAAATAATAAAATGTTATTCAAATGATATTTGAGGGAATTCCATGTCAAAAACAGTGAGGGATAGAAAAGAAAGAAGAAAAAAAAATTAAACCTTATCTTTATTTAACCATTTACTTCATCACTTCCCTTCATTTCGCTTCTACTGACACGATGCAAAGTTGATTAAAAAGCAGAAAAAAAGAATGCTGAATGAGAAAAAAAAATCTGATTATTCAAATGAGGTGCGACTTGTGAGAGTGCTGAACTGTGATTTTAAAATGGGAAGAAGAAAGGAAGAGAGAGATGGAGAGTAATGTTGTAGAATGAAAGCCGACAAATATCATCGAAGGAAAGTTTTGCAACTCAAATTCCGAGAGTTGAAAAGTTGGTTGTTTGTGTTGATTTGTTTGAAATATTCCTCAAATCTTTTTCTCTCTTTTTTTTTCAATGAATTCCATATTGATGAAACGAATTTAGCACGACACTTAAAATAATAAGCAAAGTGAATAAGAAGAGGCGGAGGAGGAGGAGAAGGTTAACTGAAGCCGAATGATCAGAGCGAGCACGGAAGATGAATATTTTTCCAACATTGTTGTCCCACCAAAATATAAAAAAAAATTGATGACACCGGAGAAAGTTTTGCCGCTCGCATCATAACTTTTTCTTTCCTCATCTCCAACTATAGCAGAAGAAGAAAAATAACAATTTATTTGAATTGTTTGGCCAGAGAGAAGTCGAATAAGAACTTTTTTATGTTTCCTCATTGATGGCTTCAACATTGAATAGCGCTCTGATTATCTGATATTTTTCATCTCGAAAGCTTAATATGGCAATGAAATAAATTATTGATTAAGCTTAAAGAACTTAAGAGCGCTAAAATATATTTTTGTGATGATCATGATGACGATGATGATGATGACGAAGAATTAGTAAAAAAAAGGAAGTTTGTTTTTGAAAGTATCTGAAACTAAATGATGAAAACCTAAAAGTTTTAAATTAATTTTCTAAACTCTTTTACTTCTTCTGATTAAAAGATTTTAGTTTGAAGTTCCAAGAAAAAGTTAAAGAGCTCAAAGATGGATGCATAAGTTTAATCAAAGCAAACAAAACTTGTTATGAAAACTTTCATGTTATCATTCAACTTGCTAATAATTAAAGATCTGCTCAAAGTGTTAATCCTTCCTTTGAACTTTTTCAACTCGACAATTCTCAAATTGCGAAATTGAGTCATGAAATCGGGTGAGAAATAAAAGAACAAAGCTAACTCATACCTCACTTAGCATCCGCATCGACAGAAAATTATCGAGAAAAACCTTTTTCCAATTAAATGAACCGAAGACATGCGGTGCGGGAAATAATTAAAGAGTATTGTTCTCGTATGAAGATATAAGACGACGAGAGGGGAAGCTAAATGTAAGCAAAAGCAGCTCTGCTTAATTGGATTCAATTAAATCCAAAAAGCGTTTAGATATTTTCGTGAATTTCTGCTGTTTCTCTCGACTATTTCTTTTTATCTTTTACGTCTTTTACCTTGTTACAATATTCAAAAGCGATATTCAAATTTTAATCCAATTTCCCGGTATTCACATCCCCACCTTGAAATCTAATCTTCGTGCATTAGGAAGCTTTTGAAACAAATAAAAAATGAAAGAACAGATTCAATTAAAATGTAATTTAAATACATTCCTTCCCGCTTTACACTTCAAGGTTTATGGGTTGAATTACCACGCATTGAAGGGTAGTACTTCGGTTTGATTTTTTAAACACCGTCACATGTGTGAATTTTTCCTCATTAATGTTGTTGATGTTGTGAGAGAATTTCCACCGGAAAACTAATTTTAATGTCCTTTAAAAACACAGAAAATCGACACATTTCCGAGCTAATTTATTGTTAAATGAGTTTTAATTGTGTCTACCGCTCAAAAAGTTTTATTTTTTAATATTTTTAGCAAGTGCTGTTATTAATGAAATAATTAAATTAATTTGGTCAGATTGCTGCGTATTGAATATTCAACAGAATTAAATTTTTTCATTGCTGAAACGAAACTTTCATTCGGTTAATTTGAGAATAATTTTGAAATTAAAACGTCATGAAGCCAATTAAAAATGTTGGATCATAAAATCCGTTCGGATGAATCATTGTTTGGCTCTCGATTTCGATAGAATGCTACGTTAAAATTAATTAAAATACAATCAAGTGACATCCGTTGTTTCTTTCTCATTCCACATCAATTTGTCTATTCACAAGTTAATTGCCAAGCAGAGCACATTTTTGGATTTTTCAACAAATTAATTTACTTTTCCTTTGCAAATTTTAATTAAGGAATTCCCCTCATTAATCCAACAAATCATTGCAATGGTCTTAATGTTTGCCATGGTGTAACAGCTGGTGCTTAAGATACATAGAAATACGAAAAAAGAAATTGTTTGGCAGTGAAATGGAAAGTTCAATTGAAAAACAAGAAAAAGCTTGCACGTTCCTTCTCATTCCATCGCTTCTTCATTGATAATCCATAAATATTTATGAAGAATTGTTCATGACACTCATAAGTTCAAATATTCAACATTTCATTGTTGCAACAATTCAAGAATTAAATTTCGTTTCTGAAATTTTTTTCCTAAGCTTTCATCTTACACATTTAAATGATTCTTGTTCAACTTTCATCCATTGCAAACCTTCAAACCTTTAACAAAACATCAAAGAATTTATATTCTTTCAAGTAAAGATTTCTTATTCAATTTGCAAGTGAATTTTAATTTTATTCGGTTGAGAAGGTCTGAAACTCTTTTTTATATTATTCACAAGAATTTTTATTTTTAGCATAATGACATGCACTTGGTATGAATGAAACTGGAAGTTAAGAGAATCAAATGAATGCGTTCGTTGGAAAATGAAAGAGATTTTTTTTATCTACATCGCTACGTTAGGTTTTCAAATGCGAAAAGATAACAAAAAGATGTTTGTAAAAGCGATGTGGAAACGTTATTCAAAAAAAAATATATGAAGAAGAAAAGTTTTAACCATACAAAAAGCTTAAATGTAAAGTTTATGTCATGCATCTTCCTACTCTGGAAGCTTTCCGATAGAATTAAAGTTTTCATCCGGAGGAATTTCCTTATCAAACTTAAGTTTGTCTTGTTTTTGCTTCAACATTTAAGGTCGCAATGTTTTCATTTGAATAAAGCTCAAGCTTTGTCTCACATTCATGACGAAGTATCTTTGAAAAATGAGGATCACGGTGTGGCATTAATGATGATAGAAGAGCAGAGGGTGCGCCTGAAATTGTGTAAATAAGATTTTTCGTTCCTTTGCTGTCTTTCACTCTTGTTTTTCTTAATGAATCATTATTTAAGGCTGGAAACGATGTCCCTTTTTGCTTTTCATCTAAATGAAGAGCCGCGATGCTCGCTTGGACAAATTAATTTAGATATTGAATCAACAGCAAGTGCCACACGAAAGGAAGATAAGAAGGGAAAAAAGGAAATATTACCAACGCTCTTTGTGTGAAAGTTTAAAAGGAATTCTTAAGCAGTGGTGTAACAACTACAACTTGGTTTAAAACATAATTTCTCATTCATAATATGAGATATCTTGAGATCTATCGTCCCTTCTTCTGCTTAAATCCACTGCTTATAAAGATTTCACATTTCACATTCATATTCTCTGCTTCTCCAAAGCGAAGAACTTTAAGCTGAAGCTTTTCCTAAATCTTTTTTCTTTTTTAATAAATCGACTGTTGCACGAATTTTTCCTGTTTGTTTATTTTATAATTTTTTCCCAGGCTATTTTTCATTGGCTTATAGGCAAAGATACACAAAATATAACTAACAAGCTCTGACCAAGCTCGAATGATAAATGATGATTGTGTCTTGGTTCTTTAGCATATTCAAATGTTTTTATTCATTATCATAATAATACAATATTTTTGTGATGCTAGTGAAGGATCTTCATCTAGAGCACGAGCGAATGTAGCACGTAAAAGAAAATGAAGAAAATGAAGAACATTCTTCCTATTCCTTATTAATTTGTATGAATATTTCCCTCGGCGAGTGTTTCATTTATTTATAAAAGACGCTCACGACATTTGTTTGAAGATTCTTAAAATTATCATAATTATTCGCGCAACATCACAGCCAGCAATTTTTATGAAACATTTCACTTCTACTACTTCCTGTTCTTGAATGACTGCGGATACTTATCTCAAGTCTTCCACAGTAGCGTTAGAAAGAAATTTTTCTTTATTTCAATGTTCACTCAACTATATCATATTTCTGCGTTTTCTTAATTGTTTTTGACTTCACTGAATGTTTACCACGAGAGATCTATTTCATGAAACATTTACTATTACTAACTGCTCGTTTACAGCAACATTAAGCAATTCATTCTTTATTTATTTTCAAGAAAAAAATAATATTTCTCATACTTTTGTAATAGCAAAAGCAATTTCAGAATACTCTGAATATTTAAGACTTTATCACTCTTCCAATGAATTCATTCCAACCTACCGCTTTCATTTTTTAATCCGTTTGATGGTGTTATCAGAAAGTTGAAGATGAATAAAAGAATTTCGGTTTTCAAAAGGTTCACAGGTTTTTCTTATAAATTCTTTACAAAAATAAGCAACAAAATTCTTTTTCACTGATTTCTTTTCTTTTCTTGATCGCCAACGATTTCTCTTCTTTTATGTTTACGTATTCTGTTATTCTTCAGTCAAAGAATAAAGCAACGGAACTTTTCAAAAGATTAATTTTTAACTTTTACTTTTCTTCACTTTTGTTTCGAGTCAATTTCATTCTACACTTGATGAAAAGAAATTTGAAGTCAGAGAAGATAGGAGAAATTCACAAAATTTTATTAAATTTCCACCATAAGAGTGATGGACAAACACCTGACTAGTTTCACTATAATTCGATAAATGTCTCGTCATTTGAATGTTCGTACGTTATTATACGCGAGATGTTGAAAACCGAACGAAAAAGTCTTTTCTTTTCACAGATATCTCCCTTCCTTCCTCAACAGCTTAAAGAAACGTAAGAAAAAAAAATCAAGTTCCATCCGAAAAATAAGCAGCAGCGAATAAAGACAAACAAAAACGAAAACGTAAAGAAAACGAAAAGTCGGTAAACTATCGGAACGTGGCTGAAATCGAAACGTTCACGGTAACCCACAAGTCGAAGCATTAAACTTGAAAATCATAAGCAAAGGAGAGAAGCGAGCACATTTTTACGGAACAAGAAATAAAAATTTCTTTTCTTGTTTTGACATCATCGCAACTCTCCATAAAGTTATGTTGTAGTGTCTGAGAAATTCTTGAGATGTTTCATTCGTGTATTGGTTAGCAACGAGAAGTTGTTGACTTTTCTCTTTTAGCACTTCTTCTTCCCATCATCTAGACTTACTACTCAATATCATTGAAGCACTTTCCGGTTAGATGAAAAGAAATTACATCATCGTTGTTGCTGCAGTTAAGGCTGACATGAATGTGCTGACATAAAAAATGAAACTCGTCTTCATGCGTCATCATCAATAGTTCAAGTGTCAAGACGTGCTCTTAATTCATATCATTAATAAGAATGAACTGCAGTGAAAGTGGATATTTAAGTGCACTTAAAGTCACTGTCTGATCTTTTAAAACATTTAAAGTCTTCAAATATTCAATAAAAAAAACTTTCTGTGGTTTTCTTACTGAATTTATAGCCTTAGATGCACAATTATTTGTAATCCAATAATCCTAGAGAAGTTTAATCTTCGACATACTAATTGAGTTTGCATTTTGTTTTATTGTTTGACTTCAAAACCAAACTCAAGCTGTGCTTTTCGTATTTCGAAATTTATTAATCATTTAATGAAATTTTTTTTGTCACAGTAGAAAAACCCAAGAGGTGAAAAATTTGTCAGAAAGCCGGACGCATTTTGCGCTCTTGATGTAGTAGCGATATCTTCCAATATGTATATCGAAAGGCTGTGGGCAAAAGGAGAGAAATTTGTTGGATGAAAGTGGGACTATAAATAAATATTCAGCATCATACATTCAACAACGCAGAAACATTTTTTTCACAAGTCTTTTTATGATTTTGTTATGGCTCGAGCCAGAGCCACGAATAAAAGTAAAAAGAGAAAAACAAAATAATTGTTATTGAAATATTTTTCTCCTTTTCGCAATTTCATTTGCATCGTATGTGATCATGGTATGAGATCATGGATATGCCGGAGACTGGAAATTGTTTGTCTTACTCATGGGGCTATAAATGAGTTGTAGGCCGTTGAACAGGAAACTCGTCAGAAACTTTTACTTTCTTTAGCGATGATTCTTATGACATTGAGAGTTAATGTAAGTTGCGTTCCATTTCATCGTTTTTCTTAACTAACACTAGACAGATAAAAGAAATAAGACATTCAGTTTGACTAATGATTGTTTATTTGTTTTTTCGTTTTCTATAGGCTTTTTTTTCATCCATTCAATTAACTCATACAATTTAATTAATGTCGCAACATTTGGTTTCCCCTTCGCATCTAATTGACACGTACGGATCTGGCACGTCTTTTGTCTACAATTGTTCCCGTATGCTTCACGTGTCATCAATATTTCACAAGCAGAAAGATATTTTCCACACAAAAGACGTCCATTTGAGTGGCACAATCACTAGTAGGTCCGATGAGAAACTCTGAATGAATTGAAGTTATCGAGACGCTAAATGGGAGCCGAAGACCGAAACGCGATTAGAATTACTTATGCGATAACGCATGTGAGGAAGTGAAGAATGTATTTTGCCGAATGAGTGAGTTGACTGATAAACCATTCAATTGAATTTCGAATTTCTATCATGATTCATTGCGTGTTTGATTGAAAACTTCTCCCAAAATACTTTTATTTATTTCTGTGGCTTTGAATTGCGTAAGAATATAAGTTTTGTCTTATGATCTTTTTGAACTTTGAAGAATGCTTGAGGAATTTTTAAAAACATATCATTCGGGCACCATCCCTGAAACGGGCTTTTAATTTGAAATTCTTTCGTCATTGCTTCCAGCCTCGACCTTAAATATGAAATAAAATCCAATCATCAACCATCTCGTTTCTACTTCCGACCCATTTTGATAAATGAAGTTGATTTATTATTGGAAAAGTCGCGAAATCCTCTAGAAAAATTATCTTTGTCATCAATTTATTTTCCTCAACGCTTTTCTACGATAAAAAATTCTGCACATTCAACTTATTTTCATTAAATTCGTAGCTGATGTTGGGACTTCTTTAAGGAAATGAATCACAAATGATATAATAAATTTCTTATATTGATTGCAGCAATTAAAAGCGAAACTTTTTCTTTAAAAATGAAAAATTAAAGGTAAGTTTCCATCATAATTAACAACATCTTACTTAAGTTTCATTTTCATACAAACATTGTGGAAAAGAAGCGATTAAAAGAAAATCAATTTAAACAACAGTTTTTGAAGATTAATCATGATGTGAAAATCAAGTTTGAACATTAAATAAAAGAAAAACTCGTCACTAATTAAAAATCGATGAAATCTTCGTTTCTTCTTCTCACCTTCCAACATCACCGCAAGCGTAGCGATTGTTTTTAAAAGTTTTGTTCCAAAATATCTTATGAAACTCAATAGCACACTCAAAAATGGAAGTTGTGGCGTGGAAATCAAGAGATATTTGATATGATGTGTGAAAAAGAAATTTTCTGTTAAACTTGTTATTGAAACGAAATTCATGTAGACACTTTTGACTGTGATAATCATTTGAGTTGAAAAGTAAGTAAACTTTACGACGATTCTCTGTTCATAATGTCCATAGTCATTTGTTGAACTAGTTGAAGCTTTTTCTTTTGAGTGTTCACATTTCCGACTGCGACTGTCTAACAGAGACACAAATTTCCTATGTAGGTAAAGATCATAACTTGTGTCGTTTCTTCACATTCTTCCATTTCATATCCAACGAAGAAAAGAAAATAAAGGGAAAACAAAAGTCTTCGGAATATCAAATAGTAGATCTCGGTGATAACTATTTCTCTCCTAATATTTGTCTCGGCCACTTGTTGTGCATGACTTTTGAAGAAAAGAAAGAAATAAAAAAACGAGACTGAGTTGAATGAATGAATTAGATAAAAGACTTTTTTCCTTTTCTTCTTTTTCACCAAAACATAATAAAACAAGCATTGAATGTCATTGAGCGAACACATTTCTTCAATCGACGTAAGGCGATAGTTTCACTTGTTGGATTTGAAGATTTTTGAGGGCAAAGGCAAAGAGAAAGATAGTTTATTTAAATGAGATTTAAATGTGAGTTGCTTATTTTGCTGTCCGCCTTTTATTTTCATTCTCTTTCTATGTTAATCTCTTGGGTATGCATTGTAAAGTGCTTGCTACCATTCAGTGATGTCACGCTCTATTGTTAAGTGAATAAAATAAGCAATCTCTGACTTCATGAAAGCGAAAGCGTTCTCAAAAATCGCAAATATTTTCGCTGTTGCAACCATCTATGGATTTTAGCGACTAATAAATATTTAAAGATATTAAAACAAACGAAAGGTTTCACTGATATTTGTTGGAAAAATTAAAACAAAAACTCATTGCATTGCATTTATGTCAAGCTTATACACATTGTATAAATATTATATTTAAATACTTCTGAATACATTTCAAAAAAATTTTTCGTAATATTTTCAATTACTTTTTAAAGGAAAAATTCATTTAGTGAATTTATAATGAAGTGAAGCAATCTTGTTTGCATCGTTAGCTTGAAAGTCAATAAATTATTTATGCGGTGACTTTTCAACCACCCGTCTGCAAGTAACTTTTTCCAGCATTGGTTTAAAGAGGCAAAATGTATTCATAACATTTTTATGTTGCTTTTTGTAATAATTTTTCACCTTCTTCTTAACTCCCCCATCAAATAAAACTCATGAAAGCAAAGAAAAACGACTGGAATCGAATTACGCACCAAATTATATGCTAATTTAAACATCATAATACAAAGTCGCAGTATTTTTGAACGTACAGTGTACATTAATAATTCTTTCCTCGTTTTCTTTTAGCTCAAGAACGAACACTGAGAATTGAAGAGGAATAGCTTTGCGTACAACTTTTTTTTTCTCTTTTTTCTACTCACTTACTTCCATTCACTTTCATTTGAAACATTTAGTCTGAGTCAGTGTCGTTGTTTCAGTTGTTTCAATGATGAAACATAATCCAAGAATGTTGAATTTTAATAGAAAAACAATAAAAACAAATTGCCAAGATTTAAATTCGCTTCCTCCTATTTAGATGAAGACACAATCTTTAGAATCTCTCATTGGTTTAGTTGACGGTCGGATATAAATTTCAAATTCCTGTTCCCATTCCAAGCTTTCTTCTGCTTACAAAGTCGGTGTAATAATTTCTTGCGAGATTAACGATATCATCGATATTATTAGCGATAAAATCCCTACCAGCAATGATTCAGGCTACGAATAAAATTTATAATCAATGTGCGGCGTATATGGTGCGCACATTCAACGCAAATAAAATTTTATTCACTGTCATAATTTTTGAGCTAATGTTTTAGCTTGAATAGTGGGGTTGGTTATGATACAAGATCAGCGGTAAATCGAGGGGAAGAATTTTCATGTGTTTATTGAATACTTTTGCAAGCCACGTGATAAGTGACTGTTTGAGTAAACTCGAGCAGTTTGACCTAAATTTCGGGTTATTGCACGTAATCGATAATAATGGTGTTCTCGTGTCGTGAAGTTACAACGATTAGACTTTTAGCTTTTTCAAAGTCATTGACTTTAATTTGTTTTCACTCATGGATTCGGTGATTCAATAATTTTTCACGTAAATATAATCACTCACAGCCGGAAGTGATCTTACTCGAATACATTTCAAGCGAAAGCTGCTAAAGCACTCTAGATATTTTTTTTTCTTTTTCGACTCAAATAAATATAATGAAAGTTTACGCAAAATGTGAGTATGTTTTATTTGTGTATTCAAAAGATTTCAGATTTCGCGTGGAGGAATGCTGCATGAAGCACTTGAAAGTATTTGGTGATGTATAGAAATAAGCTTCAGTGCTCATTCCAAATACTTTACCACCCTTAAGTGACGTTCAACATGCGATTTCAATCTGGTTGATGCTTTTCAATCAAAAAGCAATTCAAAAAAAGGAAAAAGAAAAATCCAATTATTCATCATGATGAATGCAGTAGGGGAAATTTTTGGAAGCAAAATAAATTCTGTTCAGATATTCTGAAAATCCACTGAAGGAATTGAGGAAGAAAAAAGAAAAAAAGCAGACGAAACGTTTATTCAAAAGCCACTGTATAGTGAGTAATCTTGCACACATATTCAAAAAACGAACTTCAAAGAAAATTGATTTTTCCTGTTCAGATGTTTCAGATTTTGTTATCGTAACGTTATTTGAATGCCGCTCCGAGTGGAAAAGCTGAAAAGGAAGGAAATGATTTATTGAAAAATAATGAGACAAGATATTTAAGATTTGGATGTCGTGACGTTTCGCAACTATTAAGAAAGAACGTTTCTGCTTTTTTTTGCCTTTCAACGGTGCGTTAAGACTGTTGAACGTTCCTTCTTTTGTATTTCTTCCGTTTCTCCATTCATTGGTACGTAATCGCAGCTTTTCTATGTCTCGTAATAATTTTTCTTTCTTTTTGTATTGTTCAAAAAATGAGAAAATTTAGAAGAAAAACTGAATAAAGCTTTTTATGGTTTTCTTTTCTTTCCTCAGCATTATTCTTTTTGTTCTTTTGTTCTTTTCTCTTTATTGATTCATTTAGAGTCGTTAATATAAACTCATATTTTGAAGAGCCTGTTAAAAATGTAATCTGATTGAAGCTGCTTGAAGCACTTCAAATATTGATTCGTCAACATTTAAGCTTTTCTCATTTTATGATCGTAAACTAACACTTCTCCTTAGATCCCTTCTTGTCTTCTTCAAAAGCATCTTAAAATATTTTTAAAGGCAATGAAAGTTTTATGAAAGATTACGTTCAACTGAATTTGTTATCTTTCATGTAAGAATTGATTTAATATCTAAGGAAGTAATTTTAATAATAAGCTTTGAAGATTTATTGGTCACTCTGTATGCGTTTTACATTTTGCCTACTTTCAGGGGCAAGCGGTCTATCGAATATTCCATAAAAAAGTTAAAAATTTATTAGTAGGAACAAAAGAAAACTAAGCATATTTTTTATTCCTCCTTTTTGTCATAAAAATTGTGTGCTTAGCTTAAACCACAGTTGACCGACTGCAGAGTAACAAAGTTAAATGCTCACAAATAATAAATCAAAATGAAATCAATTTGAGTTTTTTGTCGTCTAATAAAACCGCACGTTCAACATGATCCTATAAATATATACACACATGATGCCATAAATCATGCAACACAGTCGGACTATTTTAAAAATGCTCGAGAGAACAAAAAGAGGAATAAAATATTGCTTGCGGAACACTTTTTTCTCTTGAACAAATAGGCTGGAAAAACAGAAATCTGATTTAGTTTCCTTCATAAGAACTTCGATGAGTGTTTCTTAAAAGTTTACTCAGATTTCAAGAAAAAAAAGGGTGATAATTTTATAAGAAGTTTTTCTTTCTGTTCCACTTCAGTATAATTTTGGAAAAGGCAAAAGGAAATTCTTATATTCTCATCACATTTTAAGCACGAGCTGAGAATTTCACTGAAATGCTGAAATTTTTCGATGAATTTAAGATCTCAACGAAAATAAATCCCAATGTGGGCTGACTAAGCAAACAGTTCTTGTAGAAAAAAGATTTCCTTTCTTCATATTGCCGACTTATACACATCAAGTGCGATAATCAATGATAAATAAGGATTGGGTGATGAAGAAAATTTTGCTTTCTCACCATGGTGCTTTCGGTTCATATAACAAGTCAGCCTTTGACGTTAACCGAAAAAAAAAACTTTTTTTGTTCTCTGTGGTTTTGTGTATTGACTTCTATTCACTTTCATGAAAGGGGGAAGTTGGCCCGACCCTATTGTGTGTATATCTCATAAAAATGTTGTTTTCCTCCCATTTGTATAATTTTTTTTTTCTTCTTTATATTGTCGACATTACCAAAGGTCGTGGAACATATGGTTGGGTAATTTCGAAATAATAAAATCCAAGTTGGGCTCTTCTAGCGAATAAACCAAGACGTAGAGACCATTCACTGGTGTTTTTCATAATATAGAAAAAAAATGAGTCGCCTTTTTCTAGTTTATTAGCGACAACATCAGTGTCTTTGAAGGATGTGAATACTGTTTGTTCCATGACTAAGCAGAAACTTTATCAAAGAAAAGAAAATACTTAAAGCAATTTCGCACACACCGAAGAGCAAAGCTCTGTTTTCTACAGGAAATTCTTTGTTGAAAACTTTATGAACGAAAACGATCTCATATTGAAGTTGGTGTTGTTTGATACCGGAATTCACATTTTCTTTTTTTTTATCCTTCTTCAAACTTTTTGTCTTTTTTTAAACCGATTTCAGCAAGAATCAACCTAATTTTGAGGTTTGAAAGGAAATAAAGAACGAACATTAGGGGCAATGAGAAGTTTCACAACTTAATCTTTCATAATAAAGAGAGAATTTGGCTTTGAAGATTAATTTTTGTTCAAATAAATACTGTTCAATAATTTAATCTCAATGATAGTCTAGGTAGTCAAGAAGACGATGTAAAAGTTTTTTATATCTTACAAAGACTTGTTGCAAGCATGTGAGAGTTCTTCCTTTAACTCATTAAACTTGCTTTAAAATTTCTTATCCTGTCATGTTCGGATTTAGCTGCATGAAAGTTAAAAGATTTTCTTTCACACTTTCTTTCACACTTTCGAGAGTAAGCCGTCGTCGTAGCTCAAAATCAATAAATAAAAATTACCACATTTTATCATAAATATTCAATTAATTGAAGTAATTAAATAATTTTAAATAAAATTTTGAATAATTGTTGTAAATATGTTGTTGTCAATTCCACTTATTTCCAGAAGAGTTCGGCTTTGTTCTACCTATTTAAATTATTTCACATTGAATCGACCAGGTACGGAATGTGTTTTATTAAACTGAAAAGAACATCTTTGTAATTAAATATTAAAAATGAAGTTAAAACGACCAAATGAAAAATAATCACAAAACTTTTTCAGTTTTAAGACATTCGCTTCGTAAACAAGATGGAAAAAATATCAGAATTGCGACATAAAATTCTTGAATTGAATTATCGAATCAATCTGAAATTTTGGAAGAACAATTTAATGTACAAATTTAAATGATTTATTTGAAGAGATAGCTAATGGATTCGTATTTCTAATTTCAAAAAATATTCAGCTTTCTTCTCATTGTCATCAATCACATTGCGATTACTTTCTTGTATTTGATCTACGGTTACTCGAGTTATGCTGATTTTTCTGGCACCGACATGACGGAATTTTTCAGTAATTTTCGTGAGTATCTAAACAGTGAATGAATCAATTTCTTAATACAAAATTGTTTTTTTTTAAAGTTCTCATGATTCGATCAAATTTTTATTGGGCATTTGTTTATCGAAACAGCGACAAAATTAAATTGTTCGCATCTAAAATAATTTCCGATAGGTAAAACAAACTTTGATTCTTTAAACTTCCTAATTTATTTTATTTCTCCAGGAAAACATTCTCGAACAATGAAAGAATCATAAAAATATGTCGAAACTACGAAAGAAGTGAAAATTATGTTTTATTAGCTTTTATTATAAGCGGAACATTATCAGCTTTAATGGCGATAGTTATGACATTTTTCACGAAATTCAATAACTTTCATTTACCAATGAATTTTTACATATTTTTCTTACCTCTTAACGAAAGTTCCATTAATTGGTGGATAAATTACTTTTATCAAGCTAACGTCATAGCATTTGGATCAATCTTAGCTAATATTTACTTTCCTTTGACTCTTTGGCTTATAAATCATTCGTCTTGGGGTCATGAAGTTTTAATTAGTTGCATGAAAGAATTTCATGAAGTGGTTGAAAGGAAATCTACCTCAAACGATGTGGAAATTGATCATAAACTTAATGATGTTGTCAAACAAAGTTATTTGGTTCTTTATGATCATGAAGAAATTCGTCAATTTCTAAAATTTAATTTTTTGATTGAATTTTCCTTACTGGCGATCATGTTTTGTATGTCAATCTACACAATCACGACAAGCGCATTTGTTTCATCTTTCATATTCACTTCAATGTTGTATCCAATTGCTCAAGTTTATATTTATTGCGCAATTTCAAGTAAAGTCATGACTCAAGTCGACAAACTTGTAGATGTCATATATGAAACATCTTGGTACACTTTGAACACAAATCAAAGGAAAGCTCTACAACTGATGCTTTGCAAGTTTCAAAACTTTAAGGGATTTAATGGAATATTTATCAAAGTTGACATGGATGCATTTCAAAAGGTTTGATCTTTGTCAATATATTATTCAATTGTCTTTTGACTTTGTTTAACTTTAAATTGTCTTTCAGATTTTGAAGTTTTCTTATTCATTGTTCACATTTCTCCGTTCATCTTTAAAGTAAAATTTTCAAATATCTACTTTGTAATGTTAAAAATTCAGAATAAATAAAAATTTCATTTCCTGTAGCTTATGATTGATATCGTTAGCGAAAGGGAGACTAAGTATGATTAATGAAATATAAAAAGTAATTACAGAATATTTTCCTTCCAGAAAATGTCAATCGAAATGATTTTGCATGAATTCAAATTGGCAAAAATCAGAAAAGGTAATAAAATTCTTAAATATTTTTGTCATTTTCTTAAATACTGTTCAAGTCGAACAATTTTCCCCTTTAACAGTTGTTGACAAAATCTTCTTCTCAGAAATCTCGTATTTTTCTCAATTCATTCTGATTTGTAAAACTTTTTCCTTTACTGATTTCCTGGAAGAAAGGTTTAACTTGATAACTCAAGCTTGCAGCGAAGTTTCTGTCACATCTTACTTATTCAAAAGCATCTCAATTCCTAAAAGATTCATATTGAAGTAGATATTTTCAAACTTTGCATTCGGTGATTTTAATAAAAAGAACTTTCCACTCGACAGCACTTTGAAGTTGTAAAAGGAAAAGTTGCTTGCTACTGCTGTACGTATTTATTTGTTCAATTCTTCTCTTCCTTTCAGAGTCCTTGAAAATAAAAACTTTTGCACTAACATAAAGGTGAGAAAATGGAAAACTTGCAGAAGATTTCCAATAATTTATTAGTGTTTGCAATCAGGAAAATCTGTTGTTATCCGAGTTACGTCGAGGTAAGAAGTTTATGTTATTAATTTTCCTGAAATCTCAATAAACTTTGGTTCTCTTGGTTTGAAAGGAATATCGATAATGAAATAAAAATCTTCATCGGAAAAAGTTTATTTAATAAAAATTCAGAACATAATTTAAAAAGAAACTTTCAATTTATTATAAATCTCAAAAATTTTCCTAATGCTTTAGTTTAAGAAAACTTTCATAGATAACTTTTGAGAGTTTTGTTATAAAACTGCAACATAAATTTTTTCCGTTCTATTTCATGTTCAATATTTTTTGTGTTCTTCAAGTTAGTCTTACAATAATTTATCAATAATTGCTAAGGTGTTATCCAACGAATCTAAGATGTGGAATTTTTATGAGTGCTGAAATTGTTTTTCCCTCCTTATCCATGAGACAATTTTCTTCTTAGACACTCAATGATCGAATCATGAGCAAGTCACGTAACAAAACGACAAACGAAAATCAGTTTATTGATATTTATTTCATTCAACTTGTGACGCAACTCCAACAAGTTACCTTATCTTGGAAAGAATTTCCAGGATGTTATAGGCACATCGGTAATAAAATAAAATTAATGTGTTTGTTGTTAAACATGGGGTAAACAAGGACAAGGGTAAACGAAATCAACATAGACATTAGTGTTATTGAACCATAAAAAGATGATATTTAAGGGTAACTAGGAAAGGATGAATCTCCAATCTGATGAGCTTGCATTTTAAAAAAGAAAACTTTTCAAACTTTATGGGACGAATTTAAATATTAAAGGAGAAGAAGATTCTTCCAATCTGATTGATCCCTAAAAGATTCAATACGTCTAAGAAGAATCTAAATAAAGATTTACTTTGTTTCATATGTCGTAATATTCAAGCAAACATCTTAGAAGAAAGACGACAACATTGTATGAACGAAAGATATTTCATGTAGTCGCACCATGCTTGTGAATATGTAAGCAAAGCAATTCTTTACTTTTTATGGCCTCTTACAATGGATTAACAAAATGAAATAATGAATTTTGATTATCAGCTGGCTCATATAATATATGAAGTTCTTCGTTAAGAGATTGTGGGTGAAATATTGCATTAACAACAAAGACTTTATGTTTGCATAAGTACGCGAGTTGCGAAAGTTTCGCATTAAAGGAAAACTAATGAGAAGAAAGTTGCTGCAATTAAAAGCATCGTGAAATATGAAAGAGAATAAATACGTAAAGTTTCTGAAGATAAAGACTTGAAACTGTTGAGGAATACGATAAAGTAAAATATTTTACAAGAAATAATAATAAAAGTTTTATGACTCAGATTTTGACTTTAAACTTTAAAAACTTTTCTTTCATAACAGAATGCTTCGTTAATTGATCTGGGAAAACAAGTTGAATTGTCTTCATTGTAAAAGCTACCAATTAAGGAGTAAGAAATTTGCAACAGTTAATTGAATAGAATTCATCTGCATTGCGCTTTACAAACAATTCTTTTTATAACAAAGAAAACTTTAAAATTTTCTCCCACGAGCAGTTTCAGTTTAATAATTTCTCTCATTAAGTTGTGTTGTAATAATTTGTGTAAGAACTAAAGAAGCTTAAAAGAACATGATTCGCTTAATCTCGCCACGAAAAAATAAAATATTCACCGCTTGAAACGTTAAGCATTAAACAGCTTCAGTTTCTTAATGAAAAAACTTTTCAGTAGTGGAAAGACCTCTTGCACTAACTACTAACTGCTGCTGGTTCCCACTCCGTGGTTGAATATAATACACTCTCCGGAAGTTTTCAGATCACGTCTCAATGAGCGGTGAAAACAAAAAAAACTCACAAACATGTTATGCTGTTCGTTTTCCTCCCATTTCGGACGGGAAAACTAACAACTCTATACAATAATGTCAAAACAACAACCGACTTCCAGATTTCTTTCTTCTTTTATTAAAAATTTATTCGAGAGGGGAAAGTATTAAATTTCTATGGAAAGAGTCTCTTTGAAACGCTTACAGATGAATCCGTTTTAGTGCTTTCGGCAGTCATGAGAAATTCATACATTTCCGGCGCTTCTTATAAAAATAAAACTCCTTAAGCACATCGTGTGATATTATCATGTTATTCAATCTGTCTGAGGCAAAATCAATATTCATCTTCAGTAGCTTTTACCCGTTTGTGTATCAGAATAAGGCAAATCAAAATGTACAAGAATAAAAACTTGAAAGTGATTTCATGTTTACGATCATTCGTTCTATAAAGAATGTTTCATTTCGTTGACGATTTAGTCTTCATTTTGCCTTCGTTCTCATCTTTTTTCTGTCATATCTGACATTAAAACATATAAGTGTGATAGCAGAGATTTAATGGAGAAAATGATATCAGTGTTGTCGGCCTGAAGGCTCGAATGACGCCGACAAAAAAATAATAAAAAATGCTTTCAACATTTCATATCGAAGCATTGAAATGTTTCGGGACACTACTAAAGAAAATCATTTTTCATTTAATGCCTACGGCTTTCCTTTCATTCGTCGTCACGCAATATGTTTCTTCGACATATTTTCAAATAAATCTTTAATATCATTTCAGAATTATTGGATGGAAAATTCGATATGCATTTTAAATACTTATTAAATAAATATAAATCGGTCAACATGTGCGCATGAATTGAAAAGGGAATGAAAAACGTTTCAAAAGAAAATTGTTCTTAAAGTTTTACTTGATCCTATTTTTTATTCATTTCATTCGATTAAAAATATTTATAGAAACATTTAATCCAATTGGTACCACAATCATGGCACAATCTGATGAGGGATCAGATATCACAAAAACTATCCCATAAAGTTACTTCTCCCTCATCAAAATAATTTCATTTCTGTTAATTTGATTGATGCTTTGCAATTTATCATAAAACAACCACCACGATGTTAATTTTCAAGTCGTCTTCTTTCTCTCTTTCTCTCATAATTTCCCAACTTAACAGAGAAAAATATTGTGAAGCAGAACAATGGGAAGGGTTAAGAAAAAATCAATACAAGGTTTTCCCGACTTGCCATTAATTAAGTACGAGAATCACTCGAATAACGCATAATCATGTTGGATCTATACTTAATGAATTTCCTGTTTAGTCTCGGTTTCTGTTCGATGCTACAAATTTTAATTAAATGTTTGTGTTAGGAAAAGAACACAAAAGCATAAAACCTGAAAAAAGGATTGTGGAAGGAAGCGAATGAACATGTTGAACAGAGAAAAGAAACACACAAACCATTGAGTTATATCTTAGGTTTTGTGTGCTTTTTCTTTATTTTTGCGTTGGTGAAACAAGATTAATAGATTGATGGCTCATTTCACTCTATCTGATATCATGAATGGGCACATACGATGCTAACTATTGAAAGATCACCGAACGTTGTAATCTCCGTCATGTACTGAACGGCTATCAAACCTCAAAGTAATTATACGGATAGCAACATCTGTAAAGCATCAAATCAAGTTAATTAACTTTACTTTTCTTGTTCAAGGATTATTCATCCTCTCTGTTTGTAGGTGGAGAGCGGTACCAATGATACCAGTTTGATAAAAGTTTTTGCAATAAATTACTCTTTAATGTTGCGATCAAAACCTTTTTTGTAAGTTATTCTTTCATATGGGAACATATTCCACGAACGACGATAATTGAACAGTTTTCTGGGCTTCATCTTTCTATGGAAAAGCTTCATCAATCAATCATTATTTATTTCCATCACTCAAGTCTATTCTGATAAAATATTTATTATATGATCATTGTTGAGTGTGTTAAGTACGTTCATCAAAGGCTACCTTAAGTTTGTCTCTTTCATGTTCAAACGAAAATTGATCTAAACGTTTGAAGCACAAAAGGAGGATAAAAAAATATTTAACGCTGAATAATTCATGAGTACAAATGTGTTCATTTTCAATGAATACATAATTGAAACTTTAACCATAAACGACTTAAAGAATCTTTCATTGCAATAACAAAATCTCAGAATGGCTTTTATAGTTTCAAATGAATTTTTGCTATTTCAAGCTTTTTCTTTTATAGAAACTGTGCAATGAAATTCTCTGATGGTGACTATAAAAATAACTTTTACGATGTACAACTTTCCTTATTTAAGTGACGTCGTTATGTATATTAATTTCTTTTCTCTAAAAAAGTATTTGATTCTTCATACGAGTCAAGTCAACTTCAACTCGTATTGAAATTGAAAAGAAGAAAAAGTTCCGCATAAAAGATTTTACAAAAAAGAAGAACTGAAACAAGTGAATAACTTTAAATCAGTTTATTAACAATTTCTCGAGAGCTTTCTTGGAATATTTAATTATTAAAAGCTTCGAAAATATTCGACAAAGAGTCTCTTTCGAAGCGATAGCATGAGTTTTCTTTTACTTAAAAAGTTTTGATGATTGTTGACAAGAATTTCTTTTTCTATATTTTTTCAAACCTTTCTACCCCGTCACTCAGTCGCTGTTTTCATCATTTTTTCAACACAAAGCTTTCGATTCGCATGGAGAGACACAAGGCGGTTGTGTTTATGGGTTTACGCACTGTTGACTTTCCATCTTTGATGGCGGATCCACTCTAAATTCTTTAAGATCATCAACATTTTCACATCATAGTCACACATGACGATGACAACAAAACAAAAAAAGAGAGAATTCTCAGCTAACGTTTTATTGTGAAATATTTTTGTAGGATATGTGTTTGTCAAGATTCTCGAACAATCTATTAGTGTCTTACAAAAAGATCCTTTTATGTCATATTTATGCTGTCGCTTTATAATTTCAGTCCCTTTCTATTGTCAAAAATGAATCATTATTATTGGAGTCGGTTCTATGCCTTCTTCCTTCCCTAGACCCAAAACTGCTTCGAGCATAAAAATGAGATAAGAATCACATTCGTTGCTTTCAGTTTCCAACTAAAAATTATTATTGCTACTGCATGAGGTAAACTTTAAATGTCATGTCATTTATTTCACAACTGAGATTAGCATTTTATTTCTTAAACGCATTCATAACAAGATAAATTTATGTTTAAGACGACAAGATCCATAATTTTATCTTCTATTTATGATGTTGTTGGGAGTTATTTAAAGATTTTGTTTTGCATTCGAAGAATTTCTTTAAACTCATGAATAAAAAACATTTGGCGTCACCAAATCTTTTAAGATGTCTAAGAACAACGCAAAAAAATGTAGATAATGTATAAGACATCACTCATTCGACTGTTTAAAGCTTCACTTTGAAGATAAGAAATGACTTCTATGGAATGTTATTGTTGGGGAGCAAGTAGCGAGAATTATTCGAGAATTTATGAATGTTTATTATCCATTAAAATGTCTTACATATTTTGAGTATTGAATGAAAGAAATGTTTACTTTCATTTGAAGCTTTCTAAATTTTTTGTTCTTGATGTTTTTGGCGTCTTTTGCTTGTCTTTTGTTCACTTTCCTCTCAACTCGTCTAACAATAAAAGTTTGTTATTGTATCTTTATACTTTTAGAGCTTTTCCTTTACTTCAGTCGTCAGTTTCAACATCTTTTAAGAAAAGTATTACTGAGATTTCGCATTTACTGCCTTTTTTGGGTTATCCGTGAATGTTTCAAATGACTTTTGCTGTATGCGATTGAGCCCTGAGCCCGGATATAAAGTAAAAGCCATTTATAATTTTATGGACTTTTAAAACTCTTAGGTCTTTGTCATTGTCATTGGTGAACTTTATTTAACGAAAGGCTTACTCCTACATCCTCCCCCTCCCTCTCTCTCTTAACATTTCTTGCATTTAAGTATGAAGGTCAAGTCGTTTAATCATCGTTTGCTTGAAGAATATTTTATCATAATATTTTTAGGGGTATTTGAGCTCGAATAAATTATGATATGAAGAGACGTTGAACGACCTATTTAAGTTGATAATAAATTGCTGACCTTTGCGTCTTTTTCGGCTTTAGCAAGTTGTTAGTTGCAAAAATACTATTTTTTTCATCATGAGATAAACTTTTTATGAAAAGGAAACATTTTCAACCAATTATTATGAGGATACTTTATAACCGAACGTTCATAAATCTTACGTTTAAAATTCAGAAAGATGAAGATGCTTGCCTCAAATTTCTTTTATTCAAATTCCTTCCTAAAATTCTCAGATATCGAAAATTTTTATATTGATCATCTCAGACTCAACTCAATTCTCAAGAAAAGAGTCTTGAAAACTTCTTTTTCTTGTTGGACTTTCTTGGAAAAGTTTATCGAGTGCGCTTATAAAATTCTTCAATTACATGTGAACGTTTGATGTTTCTCCTGATCCTGGAACAGTACTTATGATGCTAAAAACTTTCTTTCTTATCTCTCCATTTAATAAAAAACGAAGAAGAATAAAATAAAAAAATATAACGAAACAAAAACACTTTCGTGAATATAAATTGAGGTTTTTTCCTTTTGATTTGAAAACGATGAAAGATTGAATAAGCAGAAAAATAAAAAATTTAGATCAAAATTTGCAAGGGATGTTAGGATGCCTAAAAGTATTTATTCTATCTACGATCTAATCAGGATGGAAGCTGTTTAAAGAAACATGAAAAATTTTATGAAAAAAAATGTATCGATAGCTAGCTTCGGTGTTGTATTAAATAGAAATGTTAAGCTTCTGAAATAGAATATTGATTTGCATGGAATCATGTGCTTTTGTATATTTTTACACTGCAAAGCTTTGATCTCCCACAAGTTCTTTTTCTGAAAGGTTCAAGACTTCTAGGAAGTCTCAAAGAATTTCTACCCTAATCAATCTGGTTTTTAAAACTTTTCCTTTGAGAAAACTATTTTCGTCTGATTTGTCTACTTTCATTACATGGCCATGTAAACATTCTTTCCATCTCAAACTTATGATAAATTTAAACATGAGTGAGTTTAAACTAAGTACCTTCAACAATCATTGCCTTATATACTTTTGCAGATAGTTTTGAACTTTTGCTTCTGATTTTTCATCTACTCAAACTTCTGTAAAGATTAAATTTTCAAAAATAAATTGAATAAAGTTGTTAACAACAAAATAAGAAAAAGGTTTTATGTTGCTCTTGAAAAGCAATGAAATTTTTGAATTTATTTTCTCTGCGCTTTGTGTACTCATCCTCGTTTTTCATGTATGGTGAAATCTCATTGAAAATTCATTTAAAAAAGAATGAAAGAGAAGCGAAAGGGTAACGAGGGAGTGCGAGGAATAACATGAGAGTCGATGAAAAGGCAAAATATAAATCGAAGCATGTTCAAAATACTTTTTCTCTGTCATGCTCTATTTTATATGAATCAATGTAATCTGCAGATGATTTTCATGATGAAAAAGTGCAATTTGTGATAGAAGACAAAATTATTCTTCATTTTTGCTCACCATTTGATGATAATAAGAACGGAAATGGGGAAGAAATTTCATTAATTTTAATTCCAATGATTTTCTGAGAAAGTTTTTCTTAGAAATGTTTCTGAAGTTGTCCAATGAATGATAAACATAAAATTAAATGAAATTAACTATGACTGGATAACAATTTATTGTGACAGGTTTCTTATTTTAGTTACTTTCCTTTGTTTCAATATTCTGAAATTTCAAAGTCAGAAGTAGAAACGTCACATCAAATTTCCTTGTATCTAAAACCTTCCTCGAACATTTCCCAATCGGCTTTTTCAAGCAACATTGTGACAAGGCATCGGTGACGAGGGCTTAGGGGAAATTTATTGATTAATCAGCAGAAAAATATCATTCGGAATAAAATTTTTATCGCAGTGAATCTGACAGAATTGTAAGAGGTATTCAGCGATTTTATTTGCCTTTCACAATAATTAAAAATCTTTCTACAGCGAGATGAAGATAAAAGGAAGGAGATTTTATGACAATTGCATATCAATTTATTATCGCTATCATAAGCATTTTTCCAGAACTATCAACCTCTCAAGAAAACTTTTCTCATTTTTTTGATTAATATCCTCGACTCATGAAAAAGCCATGGAGGGAAAAGAAGTTCTCATTAACATAGCTCTTTATTCTTTTTTCATAATGTATCCAAAGCATTTAAATTTCCTTTTTTTTCTTAACTTGCCAAGTTTACCAACTCTCAAAGGAAGTTTTTTTGTCGACAAATTAACTAGCATCCTCTTTAAATCGCATTACATAAGAATTTAAAAGTGTTGAGTTTAAAGCTCTTCAACTTTTTGTCGCCACAAGATAAATTATTCTGTTTTCTTTACTTTCTTTACCAAACTTTACAATTACATTCTCTTGCAATTTTCTCGTGCAGTCTTTTTAACGAATAAACGGAAGGAAAATTTATGTTTTCCAGATAAAGTAATATTTATTAAACAAAGAAAAGAAAGTACGAATGAAAGAATCTGCTAACTTTGAATTTTTTAGGGCATAGAAAAAAGCTAAAGAGAAAAGTTTAGATTCAACATTTTTTCCGCATCTATGATCACTTCTTTGCTCCTCTAGAACTTTCATGGAACAAAAAGAAGTTCAAAGTTTTATCCTTTTATTTTATGTAACTCAGATTCTCACTTCTTTTCCCAGGCTTCGTTTTGTTAGAGATGAAAATTTCATTTGAAATAATTTACAGCGAGAAAAATGTAATGCAGCATGTAGGAAAAGATTTTCCATTTTTCGTCCATATCCAGGAAAATCGAAAATGACTTCATTTATCGAATGAGTGAATGAATGAATAAATGGATTAAATAGCAAATGATATGAGAAGTCTGGAAAAGTTTGAACATCATATGAGAGATAAAACCAGTGGAATCTAATTTAAACAGACACGAGTGAAAAAAAACTCGGAAGCAATCTTAAAAGTCATCTGGGATAATCGATAATGATATTATGAGGTCGTCATTTCTCCATAAGAAATAATGATATGATGAAGGTTGTCGGAAAATCATTAAAACGTATTCACAACATGTCTAACAGCTATCATCCAGACTTTCGACCAACGCTCAATGTGTTTGTAATCGATTAAAGCTCAAATTTTTCGATGTTTTTCTTTCCACGTCTTGTTTCAACGTTGTGTGACTATCAGTATAATGGCTTAGTAGTTGTTTGAGATATTTTCGTTTCGTTAAGTGTTCATCCACACGTCAATCTATGCATAGATGTATTGAAGATTAAATATAGAATATAAAAATCATTAAGAGAAACTAAAACTTCGTCAGTCGGTTGTGTGAAGTTGATTAGAATTGAAAGTTGTCAAAATTTATCGCTTACAAAGTCTAAAAATGGTGATTGTGCCAAATGTGCAACTGAACAATGGATTAACGATGCCAATTTTTGGTCTGGGAACTTGGGGTGTGAGTGCTTTTGACAACATAAATTTTTATCTTCCGTCATATGCTTTCAAGGTCGATCGTTTTTGGTTCACAAATCTTAATGACTTGTTCGTTTTATTTTCTTGTTTTCCTTAAAGGTTTTCCATCTGTTGTGAGAAATGGGAAATCAGAATAATATTGATGGCAATTTGTATGCTTTCCTCGTTTTTTACGCGTTACTCTTTACGATCGGCAAAAAATCTGTCTCATAGTTAGGGTAGGTTGTGGTTGCGCGTCTGTTAGTAAATGTCATCGATAGTTTCTGTTTTTATTTTATGTTTCTCCAATGATGTTTATCGATAAGAAAAAAAAAACTAAAACAAGAAACATGACAATTTGTTAAAATGATTCGTAAAATATATTTTTAAAGATAAAATACGTAAGCAACGCTTCAAGCGTCATTTATTGGTTGATAACATTTCAAGTCATAGAAATTTCGAAGCTCTTGTTGAAAACATTTTTTTAAATTTCATTCTTTTTCAAGTGGATTTCAAGTTGGTGATATTTATCAAAAATATAAAACCTCTCGTAATCGTTACAATTTAACTTTTTTCATAAAAGCTTGTTTCATGATGACTTCGTCAAACTTATTTTGTTTGTATATTTATTTTTGTGATCCTTAGTCACCTCCAGGTCAGGTTGAGCAAGCAGTCAAAGACGCCATTGATGCTGGTTACCGGTCAATTGACTGCGCCCATGTATATCGTAACGAGCACGAGGTAAACTGTTATGATTAATTCACTAGAAAGTTTATACTCAAGAAAAGGTTTTACAAAGGTTGGCACGGCTGTAAACGAAAAAATATCCGAGGGCGTCGTTAAGAGGTAAACATTTTTATTTCTACTTTAACTTTCCATTTCGTTGCTGTTTCCTAAATCATGGATTATGAGAAGAAAGCAACCGTGAGCTTTACTTTTTGTTTTTAAGCAAAGAGAAAAAGGCTTTTGACGAAAAAAAAAGAAAATCTTTTTTAAAAAAGTTTTAACGGTGGAAAGTTTTTTAATCAGCTTACAAATTTTCGTGCGAACATGTAATTTTCTTCTTCTTTTTCTGTTTTTAAACCCCACAATCTTTTTATGCCTGCTTGCAGAGAGGATTTGTTTATTACCAGTAAACTTTGGAACACTTTCCATCATCCGAAATCCGTTCGAAAAGCAATCGAAACAAGTTTGAAGAATTTGAAGTTAAGCTACTTGGACTTGTATTTGGTTCATTGGCCGATGTCGTACAAGGAAGATGGCGACAACCTTTTCCCGAAAGACAATAAAGGAATGTTTATTGATGGGAAAGTAGATTACGTTGATACTTGGAAAGCCATGGAAGAATTGGTCGATGCTGGTCTAACCAAAAGCATTGGAATATCAAATTTCAACAAAGGTCAAATTGAGCGTCTTGTTGCTAATGGTGAAGACTTTCCTGGAACTTCTCAAACGATTTGCTATATTTAAACATTCAATTTTCAGCAAGAATTCTTCCTGCAACGAACCAAGTTGAATGTCATCCTTATTTGAATCAGAAACGCTTAAAAGATTTTTGCGAAACAAAGAAAATTATTTAAACCGCTTATGCTCCACTAGGCAGCCCAACGAGACTATGGGCGGTAAAAGGTATTTTGAATGAAAATATTTTGTTGCTTTTAAAAAAAGAAATGGCGAATTGCTTTTAAAGGCGAACCTCAATTGATGGAAGAACCAAAAATTCTCGGAATTGCCTCAACACACAACAAAACGACTGCTCAAGTGCTACTTCGTTACCAAGTTCAGCGTGGGATTATTGTAATTCCTAAGTCTGTCACGAAATCTAGGATCATTTCCAACATTGATATCTTCGATTTTACATTGAACGATGACGAGATGAAAGTCATCGATGCTTTTGAACGGAATGGTCGATTATGTCCGGAATCTGGGTGAGTTGAGGAATTCTTTCAAGCATTTCCACATTTCTTATTTTTCCTTACATTCCTACAGGGCTGTTAACCATCAATATCATCCATTTAGGAATGATGAATATTAAAAATATGCAAATTGCAGCATTCCTACGAACACTACAATACAATTCCAATGTAAATTTCTCTTTCCATATCTTTTTGCAATAAACATTTTTTTGTATTGCTATGGAAGTTGAATATTTATCTATTTGATAAAGCAGAAAATAAAAAGGCTTTGTTTATTTTTTCTCGCCCTACTGTGCCCACTCGAACCACACCAAGCTTTATTTTTTATTTCTGTTTCATTTTCATCTTTAAAAGGTTTTTACCTAAAATTAAATATGCATTCAAATGAACCTCGCGAGATATTTTTTTCGTCTAGTCTTTCAATTTGTGGCTCTTTTTTCCTGTTGTGCAAATTGAGTGCTTTTGTTGGTTAGAATAAATTGTCCCACGCAATGGAAGATCGTAAATTTTTCATTGGTCAATGACGTCACCATCACGACCCTTCCTAGATTATTCAAGATCTTGAGCATTGATAAAAACACAGTCAGTGTGGGCAAGAAGGAGAAGTATAAAACAAATGAAGTTAATAAGCATAAAAGTGCGATGAAGAATCACCACATTTCAAAAGCTTTACGACGAGGATGTTTAGCAACATAAAAAGAGAATTTTCATGGCAATTTATACTCATGGAAAAAACTTCATTTGATGAACGCTGCTTGTTGAATTTTCCATTCTCCTCCTACTGCTTTCCTTCATCCATTGTTGAATATTGTTTTAAACTCAGACTAGTGAACAAAGCATTAAATTTCATGGTACTGAATGAAATTGAAAAGAAATTTGAAGGACAATAAGACAAAACGGAAGAGAAGTTTTTATGTGTGTGTCTAATCTTTATTATTCATTTTGAATCTCAAGGAAAACAGAAATGTTGACAGTATTTAAAGAAAGTTTTTCATCATGGCTGAGTAACGAGATACTCTCTAAATTAGTTTTCCTTAAAAGTTAAGATCTAAATTAATTTTTAGGAGAATGAGAAGAAAAACAAAAGCGACGTTGCAACGAAAATGTGAGAAATTTTCATTCAACAATTTAATTTTCCTCTTGTCCTTATTAATTTGCAATTTATAAATTTCAGCGCTTTTCGCCAACCTCTAGAGACGAATAAAAAGGTGTTAAATATTTCACGAGCACGCAACAAAGCTTCTTATAGGAGTAGTCAACGTCATAATAACAATTTTCACCGTCGCTCACTTTCCACCTAGGATGATGGATTGTAATGATTAAATTTCCCCTGTGCTCTGGCTCGTCGCGTTTCATGTTTGCTTCCAGGTACATGAGATGTTCCCGTCTAAACGTCTTGCTATTAAACTTTTTTGTTCTTCACGTTTTTTTTTATTTCCCCTTTGCATGGTGCTAATGTTTAATAATGATGTTGAATATTGCTTATGTCAGCCTGGTTCTTCATTTAATGCTCCTTCCATCTTTCACATCTCTCGTATGGTAATGTTTGAGGAAAACTGGTTATTCTATAGACATAATTAAATATTGCATGAGAGTTATAACAAAGCAAACTTTTAAGCTGGTTAGAATTTTAAAAGAGAAATGAAAGGATTTGGGGAGAATTTCATTAATGCTTTTTGCCGTGAATGCCGAGATATTATTATTATGCTGATGAGATTATCTGCATCAGTGAAAATGTAAGATTTCTTTGCGCTTCGCGTCATTATTATACACGAGAGAGTTCAAAACTTTTCACCATAGAAATATTATCAAAATCTAAGAAGAAGTCTGCAGGTGCTGGAAAAGATGCTAAGGTAAGCATAGTTTGAAACTTCATTCTTTTCTCTGCTTCTTCCTTAAGACTTAAACTTTGAAAAAATTGATAAGAGATGTTCAAGGTCAGATTGGGAAATTGGGAAATTCAACATTAATTTTCGGTCTGATTAAAAAGTCAATTGACAAGTCAAATGGTAACAAGGCCTCTGATAAAGTTTTCCTTCTTCCTTGCTTTTGTGTTGATGAAGGCTACAGAAGTGAACTATTACCATGAAAACTTTCAGATCCCATTTGCTTTGCTTTTCTCTGATTTGCTGTTTGAAACGGGAGAAAGTGAAATTTATTGGGTCGAGAAGATTTCGTTTTCGATGCCCGCAAACTTTTGGCTTCATTTCCTTAGAAGAAAAAGCTTTTCGTGTTTTTTACATCTACCGACCTTTCATTTTGCAATACTAATGTGTAAAGCCAATAAATTTTAATTCATCTGGTTCTCTGTCGATAAATCAATCCTCGAGGCCAAACGAGAAAATTTCTTTCCTCTTATTCACTCACTCTTGACTTTCTAAAGAATAAATATTTATGTACGAAACAGAATCACAAGCAATCCCAGGGTAAGTTCATCTCAGGAAGAGGTTAATCGAAGCAGCTTATTAGGAAATAACATTTTGTGGAAAATTTATTTGCGTCAATTTCTTAAAAAGGCAATGTTTATCCCTTTTGTGTTGTTGAGTATGTTTGATAAGAATTCATATAAAAAGAGTCGAAAGTTTTCTTTCTTGTTTGACGATTTGTTGTGAATTGTTAATTTGTATTTACATAAATTGTGAATGAAAGCATTCGGTTAAAAGTCTGAATGAGTTTTTTATTTTCTATTGAATGAACTTCAACTTGAAACGCTCAGAAGGTCTTTCACCTGTCGATCGAACAAAAATATAGCTTCATAAGGATTCAGCTAAAAATATCACAAAAATTTCGCAATTTTTCAATTTATTAAAGTACAAAAGAAATATTTTCATTTGAAATACTTTCTAAATGTTCCATTCTTTGGAACTTTCTCAACTTAATTTTTCAAAAGAATTCATGAGCAAATAAAATATTTAAAAGTTTAATAATGAACTCATTAATATTTTAATGATATTCGAAGGTTTTTTGATGTACAATATGTTCGTGCTGTCATCATGTCGTGGGAAGAAGCATCACAAGTACAGGAACTTTGAAAAAATATTCTTGGAAATCTTTCAGTTCACAAAGTTTGTAATTTTAAGACAGCTCGTTGGATTTTCTTAGAAATTATTCCTTGATGTAGCATTAAAATTTTTAAAAAATAAATTAACTTTTTTCTGTTGAATAATCAAGAGAAAAATACTTTGTAAGCTTTTTGATCAACATTCGATGTCGATCTACGGAAATTGGAAAAGAATCCTTCTAAGAAAAGTTTTGTCAAAGGAAACGTTAAAGAGTTTTCCTCTATGTTTGATTTGCTTTCGTGTTTTAAGGCCGGTTATAAATACTTGAAAATTAAGTATATTGAATAGCTCAAAATATGAACTGATAGAAATTATTACAAACTCGACTTGTTTCATTTTATTTTTTTGTTTTTCTCTTAATGATTTTCTCAATATTTTAAGCATAAAACTCTTTCAGAAAATCTTGAGCAAAATTGATAAAAAATAATAAAGATTTACTCTAGTAACGAGTTGAGTTGCTATCTTTAGAGACTGTTTAAGTACAACATTCGATAACTGGTGTTGTGAAGCTTTCCCTACTCTTTCATTTTAATGCTGTAGATTTTTATCTTATTAAACGCTTCAATAAGCTTTTTTCCTCGCATTATTCTTCGAATAAAGAGGCGCTTCCATTCTACTCGCTTTCCGGGGATGTGCTTGAACATGAGAGCGTTGCGAAATTAAATTATTTATACATTTTGAGAGAGAATTGAAATAATTTTCTTTAACCCCACAATGTTTTGCCATTGAAAAAGCAGTTATTGAATGTCGAGTGTTTTTCAGCATGAAAAACTTTTATATTTAGCATTCAATTTTCTACTAAAGTTAATGCCTTCCCCTTGTATCTGAACATGTATCGTTTATAATGTATTTCCTACATGGATATGATTTAGAATATCAATTTAATCTCACTCGAAGTATATTAAGGAATGTGATTATCTTTGGATTAGTGAAGAAGGAAATAAACATTCGAGAATGAAACAATCATTCAAAGAGATTCAATGCGATGAAAGTTTTATGAAACAACGATAATCATTTCAGATAAATGACGTTTCGTTGTTTGAAAGCTCGCTTTCAGAAAGGCAGTAAAACAAAGCTTCAGCATATGATCGAAATTGATTAAAGAGGCCTAAGTTTACCCAACAAAAAATAATTCAATTCGTGCTCATCTTTTTAAAAGAAATTTATACATTGCTGAAGAAAGATAAGGCAAAGTTTTTTTTAGAAAGAAATTAATGTTCAAAAGGTCAAGTTGGAAAGTTAATTTTACCAAAAAGAACAACAAATATTTTAAAAGCTTTTCAATAAAAGAATATTTAAAAAATATTTGTTGAGAGGGCTTCAAAGTTTAAAAAGTTTTTTATGGATAAATTTGAGTTTGATTGTTGCAAAAAACTTTTTAATAATCAACCGTGAATGACTTGTCCGTAGCGATTCTGTGACCATGGATAAAATATACAATTTAATGGACTGAAGGTTATTTTTGGAAAATTCCTGAAGAATAACTTGATCTGCCATGATAATTTCATTAAGTAAGTAAAATTACCTTGAAGGAAAAAAAAGGAAAAAAGAAATCAATCTTGCCAATAAGCAAGCGAAGCCTTTCAAATAAACATTTCCCAATTTTCCATTTTGTCGCTCCATTTTCACATTTTCCACGGTGTTGGTGCGTAAAATTATTGATTGATGAGGTGAAAGAAAAAGTTTTTTATGCTAACAAAAATTGTACACGAATTGGACAGGCAAAAGCATGAAAAAGACTGGAACCTGGACGAGCGTGGGCTTAATTGTTGTCGTTTAAAAATTGCTGTCGAAAACGCAATTCATCATTTTCAGTTACGTCGTTAAGCTCGTTTTAAGTTCCGAGTGATCGACTTTGCAATGAAAAGTTTTGCATGTTCACCTGAAGATTTCGTGACGAAAATATTTTCCTACTTCGAATCGAGGCAGAATTTGCTTTAATTTTTAGCTTCACCAGTGTCAAAAAATGTCATTTTTTCTAATGAAAAATTGGGTAGCAAATCTCCTTTCGGCAATCATTCAAAAAGAGCGAGAAAGAGAGAGAGAGAGAAGGAGTATCATGAATGATAACTCGATTTTGATTTCGACAGCTAATTAACATAAAAGCTTTTGGTGCTTTACGTGTTTTTGCTGTGTTGCTTTTGTCTGACACCATTGAATGGAAAACGCTCTCGAAAGAAGTTTCCTGTTTTCAATTCAGCACAAGAATTTTTTTCTCTCTTTCAATCCTTTCTTTGTTTGCGATAAAAAAAGTAAATCTCTTCATTGAACGCTACGAAACTCGAAAATTTGAAAATCATGCAATAATCACATTAGTTTTAATGACACGCAACTTAAAACTCAATTTTTAACTCGTTACTTTGTCAATGTTTCCATATTCGCTCACACCTCGTCTGCCTCTTCAAACCAAACACCAGCGCGAACCCCAGAAGCAAAGAGTTCTTGTTGGCAGCAAACATTGTATACAAAGCGGTTATACTTTATTGTTATTCCAAATATTTGAATTTCTAATCAATCAAAATTATGTGTCATTGTTGTCACTCGCTTTCGTTTCTCCTTTTTTCACGAATTGCCTTTTCTCACAAAGCGAACAAAGGGAAAAGTCGAAAGCGAAAACTTTTCCTTGTTAGGAGTGGCAGAAGTTTTTTTTCTTCTTTTCTTTTGAGAAAAAAAGGCTTCTTTTCTAGCTTATCCATTTTAATTTATCCGTCGTTTCTCATTCTTCGTCGCCTAATCAATTTTGCGTAAAGTTAAGTTCGCCCCAGAGGGATATTTATCGAGTCGAAGGGAGTTGAAAAGGAATGTTGATTTTAATTTCACCAACGCAGAAACGAAGGTCGACTTGAATAAAGTTGTTTTCAATGTTACGCTTTGCTTTTCATTTATTTCATTTTCTTCTTCCTCTTCATCGATAAGAATAACAATCGATGATAAGTCGCTTGATACCGACAAAGCAGTGGTATCAAATCTATTTTAATAAAAAATTGGCTTTTCTTCGATTTCATTTTTCTTATGGCCATTCGGATTTATCCTTCGAATGAGAGATCTGGAGAAAATCCAATGTTGATTGAATAGTTTTGCGACTGTGTTTGGAGAAGGCCGAAAGCAAATCTTAAAAGATAACAACAGGCGCCTTAACTAAAATAAAATGAATCGATCTAAATATGAGATGAAAATGGAAGGAAAAGAAAATCTTAAATCGGTTTAGACAAGGAAAACAAGGAAGTGAGAAATAAATTTAGCTTCCATTCATGAATACGAATATTTAGAGTCGAAGCACTTCACATAATTATAATAAAGTGAAGGCGAAATAAATCCTGTCGGATGAAGAAGAAAAAAAGAATGAAAATTCAATGTGACGATGTAAAGCTTAGCGGAAGAGAGACAGACGAGAGTAAAAGCAAGTGTAGCAAGTTTTTTGTCTCATAAATTATTCATTACACAAACTAAATGGATCCGACGACAATATGGAATTACACAAACATTGTACGCTTTACTGTTTTTGTTTTCAAAACCTTGTAAATTATTTAAAGATCTTTTTTCTTAATAATGTTCAGGATTAGATTGTCGAATACATAATTATGATCGGCAAGTTTTGTTACAAAATCAATAAACTTAAAGTGAATCTCAATGGCGAAGCTACGGGTCTGCAAAATGTATTATTAAATTATTTAAATTGCTATCAGAACGCTACAACAAACTGCTGATTCTTCAATTACACTTTTTTGTATTCTTCACAATTTCGTCATCAAAATTTTCCATTTAAATGTCCTTTTTTACTGTTTCAAAAATAAAAATCATTCTACCTAGTTTTTAATTGAAAAAAAATTCATTGAATTTAAATATTTGAATGCTTTCATTCAAAAAAAAATAAATTCGAATGTAAATGAAATTCAGGCTTAAGTCATTGATTGACGCTCATTTATAATTGAAATGAAAAATATTATACAATGAGAGGGAATGCTGATAACTTGTAAACTCTGTAATCAGAGAATTGGGTTGTGCTTTTAAAGAACGGGAAATTAAATGAATTTAAACCTTTAAAAAAATTTTACATAAAACATGAAATGTTTTTGCGAAATTTCATAAAGATGACAGCGCCAAGATTGTTTCCCAGAATTACATTAGATATGTATGAAATTCATATGAAATATTAATGAATTATGATAAATGCACATCTTCGTTTAAATATGCAATCACGCTCACCCACTCATAACCAAAAGTCATATCTCATATGCACCATAACTGGCGTGGTGAATCTGACACATTGCATTACAGAGTATCTAGAAAGGAAATTATTCCTGTCGTTGTTCCTAGCGAAAAACAAGGAAACAGCATAATTTACATGGCTATGCAGGAAATGTAGAAATATTCTTAATGCTCTTTTCTTCTTCAATTCCATGAAAATGTGCTTGCGAATGTGGAGATGTCAAGAACATGGAAAGGATTTCGAAATTTATTTAAACGTAATGTTCACAAGTTGAACATATTTGTATGTGCGTTCAAGTTGAGATTATTTATGAAATTATGTTTTTGCATTTAAAGCACAAAAACATCCTGTTGGCGTGTCTATTATCAAATAACAATGGTGACAGGTTAAACAGACTTTTGTCATAAATACCATAACAAAGTGTAAAAATAAACACCACGATATTAATCTCACTTTTTGAAGTTTTTCTTTTTTGTCCTTTGAACATTCCACGAGACAAAATTGTAAACATAAAATTATGCGAAAACAATCGACGGCTGGAAAAAAAAAGTTTTTCATTTAACTGAAATACAAACACAAGAAATTGAGTGTAAATTCATTGCTGGAAATTGATAAAATATGAAGCAAAAGATAAAAAGAAAATATTTGGTTATTTGACTTGTTCACAATTTCATTTCTTTTTAAAAGAAAATTTTATTAAAGAATTTTTTTTCATGGAGATTTTTGTTTTCCTTCATTATATGTTTGTCAATGAATTACATCATTTCCATCAAATTTTCATTTTTGTTTATTAAATGTTTTATTGAAATGTACAAATGCTTAGATATTGTAAATTTCTTGTTTTCAAAAATTATACAATTCTGTTACGCTTGGGAAATATTCATTTTGATATCTACCATTTTCCATTTCTCAAATTTATTCTTTTGTCGAGGAAATGTTTTCAAGATCATTCAATGATTCTATTTCTGTCACCTAATTTCTTATTTGTTTTGCTTTATCTGATGTTTTCATCATTTATTCTTTTCCTCTTCCCAAAACATTTGATTCTGCCATATTTGACAAAAGTTTGATCGACATTTCTTCGTAATCTTATTACAACAACGAACAATCTTCGTAATGGTTCATTTAGTTTTTCTTTTCAAAATTTTCTATAGAGTGTAATAAATTAAAATCAGATATCTAACAGCTTTTTATATTCGATTTCTTTTTAATATTTCTTAAAATCATTTCTCTCTCATTTAATTTGTTCAACGATTTTATTTTCTTTAATAAAATTCTTGGAATCTTCTTTGTCTTCAAATTTATGTACAATTTTCTTCTTAATTTCTCTATCAAAATTGTGAAATCGAGAGATTCTTGAAGAAATTCTATAGAATTAATTAACCTTTCAAAATGAGCAACCGAACAGAAACAAAAACACAAGATTCGAGTGGTGAAAGAGAACAAAAGTATTTGATATCAAACTATAAAAAAGTTTCAACAAAGATGCGCTAAGTAAATACTTAACTCATGTGAGAAAGTTTTATAATAGCGCAGCAGCGTGAAAGTGAATACTTCTGTTTAAAACGTATTCAACGTCACACTTCTTTGCTATTAACGGCAATTTTTCCAAGTCTCGAGTGGCTCAAAGGAAGCAACAAAAAATGTTGGCATTTCGCGAGCTTCTTCATGAACATTTTACCAAAACTTTTCTGTCGTCGTTGCCTCCACTCATTTCTCTTTTGTCGGCGAGAAAAAAGTTTTCATTTCTTCTTCTTGTAGCGAAATTTGTCTTCTTCTTGTTGGAAAAACGTGTACTACGAGGCGTCGAGAAAAAGTTTTTCGCTATACGAATCTGATATGTAATTTAACTAAATTGTTTTTATTACGCTCTCGAGATATTTTCCAGCAATTTACTTTGCGGTTTCTGATGTCAGGGATCTCTGATGTTTTTGTTTTTTTCTTGCTTCCTTTCATTCATACTTACATATCAGATGATGGTGAAACTTTATCTCATCTAGGAGGTCGTATGCTTCATATTACCCGCCTCTGTCAAGCCCATTTTCCATGTTAGAATGTTACGAAAACAATTTCAGTTAAAATCTGTACGTTTCACATTTAGTTAAATTATGAAAACAACGAACGATATTTCATTTCACATTTAATTTTCACAATTTCTATGTAGACGAGAACATGGGTTGGAATGATTTGAAAGAAAGCTCATGTAAATCAATCATGAAGTTTGTTGAAACCAAGTTTTATTTGATGAAGATTGTCACGTCATGAATAATTAATAAACTCAATAAAAAAGCAAAAAGTTTCTTTTATGAAATCAACTTAAGACTCAAATATCCTTTGGGTGTATAGAAAAAGAAATTATCGCTGATCTTTATAGGCGTGTGAGGTTTTTAAAAAGGTTCAAGAATTTTAATAACGTTCCTTACTTCAAATCAAGATGTTATGCGACACAAATTCAATTCATCATTTTTGATATCGCTTTAAATATTTACCTTCCTTCATTCTTTCATTCAACGAAAAGGAAATTTACCTTCGCTTTCACGTTATCTCCCCTCAATCAACATTAATTGCATTAATTTTCCATGTTGCTTTGTTGTTGTAGCAAGGACTCAATATTTAATTAGATTCTCCGAATCTTTTGTTTTCTTTCGTGCTTCGTTGAACAAATTAAATTAACCCCGATGCCCGATGCCCGCACTTTGTCGGAACAACTTCTTTAGTTTTATAAGAGTTTTCCATTCGCTTTTGAAATCCCTGATAATCTTCTCACCAAGAAGTTATGTGGCTTCGTATTTCCAATGATTTCAAAAGCAAGTCATTATCTCAACGACTATTATTTCTTCTACAAAAATCTATCCTAATTTTATTATTATTTAGTCAATTATGTAGTTTATTTACACATTCACTTTTCAGAATAAATCCATTTTAATTACTTATGTATATATTACAATGGCCTCTCAATTAAGTATCTAAATATCTATCATGAATTTATCGCTTCATTCGTTTCATACATAGTTGTTTGATAAATTCAAACGAATTTACGAATTGTTTCTGTCTTTGTTTTTGGTTCTCTTCAGAGAAGTAGATAAATTCATTTTATACACTCACGCATAGAAATGATCAAATGCATACGCATTATAATTGAATGCCAGTTATGAATAATTCATTACTCATCAACTGAATAATTAATTAGCTAAGTGTTTAGTGTTGCATAATTATTTCGCCATCGTATGCTTGGTGAGATATAGAAGAGGAATGTTATCGATAGAAGCAACAGAAGATTATATTCTAGTGATAATGTTGATGCTTTGCCATGATGCATTGCAGCGGGATGTTCTCCTGAAACGAAACGTAACCGCACTAGTAGTCTAAGCATATTCATAAGTCAAAATTATTTGTTTGTGTGTCTTTCTATCTATGAAATTGCTTTCCGGACAGCTTAAATGGGTTAAAGAAGCAGCTAAAGAGAGAACATAAAAGTGTCAAGCGTAGAGCCATTAAAGTGTCTACGCTATGCGGATACATATGTACGTTGTCTTCTCATTCGTATCATATCGTTTTTCTCTCTTTTCACTTCACACCCACCCACCCACTCATCCCCATGTGTCCGGTAAGGCGGTAAAGCGAAAAATTGAAGATAAATTTATGTCTATGTGTACACGTTACAATACTTAATAAATTATTTATTGAGTGTCTTTTACCATTTAATATATGAACTCTAATGGACGCTGGGTTGGCATTACTGGGTAAGCACTGATACAAGCCTGTTGGCGGTTATAGAATGAGAAAGAAAAAAAGAGTAAATAGGACAAATAATTATTTAAAATTTATGTTGCAATAATGAATTATGAGTTAATGTTTTGAAAGATTTATAAACTGCTTTTGACAAATCTTCAAAGCAACATGCGAGTGGTTATGCTATGGAGTTAAAAAGAAGATGTTAATCCTACCCGAATCACTTGGAATGGCTTTTTGTACTAACAGCCGACTGGTGGTAAGAACACCCTTCTCTGTAACTAATGATATTCCACCGCGTGGTGAATCAAAATTAATTGTCTGAAAATATACACAAGAAAAATGGATGAGCAGAAAGTTTGTTGTGGAGTTTTTTTTTGTGCCTCGCTAATCGTGGGAAAAGTTTTTTTTTGTTCTTGACGATGGAGTTCTATGGCTTATATTCTCATTTTATTAAGGAAATTAAATTTATGACTCAATTACTGCCAGCTTGCGGCGACTGGATTAAAAAGGTCCGAAAGAAAATAAAAACAAAGTTTGATGATTAACTCACTTCTCTATTGTGCGACCAAGTCATAGCTGGTGGTGGTTCAGGTGCATAACGAACAATACAAGTGAGATTTATTGTTGATCCTTTATTAATAAATAGATCTGCTCCGCCGACGATTTCTGTGACAGGCTCTGTGAAATATTAAAAATGGAAGAAGAATATTCATTAGTTATTTGGTTCAATGCACAAAGTTTTATGAGATTTGAAAGCTCCACTGGATATCCTTCCTCGCTTTCTTTCTCGCTCTGAATCTTTTTATTGCTTCTTTTTCATTTCTTTTGAGACGAGAAAAGCTCATCCTTGAAAGGAATTCTTAAAGAGAAGAAGAGCTTCTTGTTCCGCAAACATGATAAACTTTTTAATTACATTTCGTGTTTACCAAATTGCAATTCTTTTCTGACCTTATTTGTTTTTAATTTTCTTTCGTGGGATAGAAGATTACAGAACATTAAGCAGAACTTTTCATCTAGTCTGTGCTGTGTCTAATGGATTTTTGAAAGCGTTTTATCTTTAGTTTCATTGAAATTATGATATTATCTCGAGGTTGAAAACTTCTTGAGATGAACAATAATGATTATTTCAAAAACTTTCATTCATTTGAATATCACAAACTTGTCTGATTTAATTATGAAAGACTTTTTCAATTCATGGCCTTTTTGCATGTTAACATTTTAGCATTTTCATGTTTCAATTCAAGACAACTGACAGATTGAAACACAATTTTATTTATTTTTTCTTTGTTTAAAAGCTTAATTCAAATTTGTTGGAATTTTAAACTCGCCTAAGCATACAAAGTTTGTTGTTCCTTTGATATTTACATTTTCAGTTTTGCAGTTTTTATGTGGCCGGTAGTTGCTCTCGTTTTTAATTTATGAAAAAACCCTTTTTTTTATCAAAATGATTTATTAGCTTCCCCTGGAATGCATGCGAGCTTTCAAAGCTTTTTGAATATGTCTTTAAGGTATGCAAGTTTAAACAACTTTTATCATTTATAAAAAAGAATAAATGCGGAAATATTTCCTCGAAGTTATGCTAAGCATGTAATCAAAAGCATAAAAAGAGCAAAATATTATTTAAGATTAAACTAACAGACAACATTTTCCCTCATGCAATGAGTTGAACTTCTTACCGTTAAAACGGTTTTTTCAATTAAATTTTCAATTTATTCATGCGATTCAAATGAAAATTAATGCTTGGATAACAGGTAATTTTATTTTTGATTAAACGCTTCCCCGAGTTTAGGAAATTCTTTGATTTGCCTGCAAATTTTCCAGTTTGCTTTATCATGTAATTAAGTTAATTTAATTTAAACGAAGCTTTCAGTGAGGGTGAGAGAAGCTTTAACTTGTTAAGTTTCTTACCAACAACCGTTAAATACACGAAATGTCCAACGGGTGGAGTTGTGGAAATCTGGCACTCATAAATGCCTGCAATTACAAAATGGATTTACATAGATATGAAAAATATTATAAGCTTATAAATCATTTATGATTTACCTGAATCCTTTCGTTGTGCATAACGAATCCGAAGCGTCCACTCTTCCGTATGTGGTGAGTGCATCGCTTCAAATCTTTGGTCACTTGTATATGTGTAGCGTCCTACTGTCAAAAGATGAATATCTCTGTGACGTACCCATGATACCTGAGACAGATTATAAGGAAATTTTGAAAAGTTTACGCCGAGCAGATCTAATCTGTTTCATTTTTAAGATAATTTGTTAGACAACATAAATTCCTTCATTAAATTTAATCTTCCACTCTTTGTGATGTGAAAGTTCAAAGAAAAAGCTTGAATCCTTAATTTCAAGTTGAACAACCGTTGCGTGATTAATCGACATGAGCATGAGAGCGTGTTTTAAGAAGAGTTGGAAACGAAAACAAAAACTCGTTAAGCAACTGCGGTTTGTGATTGTTGTGCCTCGAATTGAACAAGATTCAAAATGATTTAATGTCAAGAGCACGTGCAACCACCTTGATGATGATTAAGACGTTTCCAACTCAATTAAGGTGAAAATTCTGATTACTCAGATTATAAATGATGTACGGAGGGGAATATAGCGGATTAGAAAAGTTAAGATTAGCGCTTGGATTAACCTTTTCTCAAGGTTGCGAATTGAGTTAAGAGAAATTAAACTTCATTACGAGAGGGTGGAGTTAAAATGTTAAAAAGTTTCTATCAAGTTTCATGAGTTAAATTGCATGAAAATCTAATGAAAATCTCGACACTAAGTGTCTTCATCTTTTTCCATCTCATGATCTAAGATGAAGATAAAAAATTAAAATTCTAAATTCATGACAACAATGGCTACGAAAATTACGTTTCATCCGCACTCTGATTTTGAATAACCGAGAGGGTAAAGTTATTTTTATTGAAGGATAAATTTTGTAAGCTTTGTGAATAATAAAAACGAAAATTTTCCTTCTTTTCAACTTTATTTCTAAAGGTTTTAGTTGTCAAATTTGGATTATTGTCACATGGAAATCGAATCTTTGTAAACATCAACACACACGCATGTGAATGTTCTCTTGTTAGGTAGGCTTGTGTCGTTTCTAAGCATTCAAAATAAATAAATATCAAGCATATATTTATCAAACATATCTCCCCTTCACTCCCTCACACTTATTCTCAATTTCTTGTAGACAACTTTTCGACGTAGATATAAATAAAATAAGCCTTTTGTTCAATGTTCTCAGTTTTATATGTTGTTGAGTCACAAAGCTTTCGAAGAACAATGAGAACAAAGATATGTATAAGAAACAGTTGGAAAATAAATTCATGATGCCACAATATGAATGTGTAATGAAAGTTTCATTCCGCTTCCTCCCTTTTTCCGCACACATAAACAGAGAAAACTCAGCGCTTTTCCTGCTATCATCATCTCTGCCTTGGCATTCTTTTGCCAATTCTTTTGAGTGTATCATTATGTGTTGTCATTGTGTTAACAATACATTGATGATGCGAATGTGAAATTCCATGAATGCATATTTAGAAGGAACTTACTTCCTCGAGTGGTTTCTGTTGTGAATGCGAATATTATGAGAAGAATTTTGATTCGCAGATGTGAGAAAAAGGGGCTTGTGAAATAACACGATAACACAACATGATTATCACTGTTATTTTGGGTTAAATTCTTGTTCAAGTCTCGTATTTTATTTTAAATAGAATCATTATTATTTTTATTTGTGTACATCTTACGAGAAAAATGTTCACTTCATATTTTTATAATGTTTCATTCACATCAAGTGTGTAAAAAGAACTTGGAAGATAAAACTTGTCACATCTAACTTATGTGTCTCAAATGTCGAAAGATTTTGACTTACCGTTCTGTTTCCTAAGTTTTTAACTTTACATATGAGATGAACTGTTTTTCCAACTAGTCCCGTCACGTTTGATGACACAGTTGTGTCAAAATAAGGCCCTGTGCCCGGCGTAGGGAAGTCTTGAAGGAATTCCGTTCTAAATTTCCTTGCATTACCGGCAAAAGCGCCTGAAACAAAAAAAAAGAAAAAACATGAAAGAAGAAAAATGAAAAATGAAAAATGGAAAAACAAGTTGTACAAATAAGAAAATTTTATTTTCAGGTGTTGTATGTTCTCTGAGTACATGAAATGTTTTTTCTTTACTTTTCACAGAAGTCGAAAGCTGCCACAGTAAATGATTACTTACAGAAGGAAAAGAACAACGTAAACAATCAAACTTCTTTTGTTTATTTTATCCGTTTGTTTTTCCTGTTGATAGAGCAAGAATTGCTCAATTCACACTGTCGCATATGTGGTGACACATAACGTAATTACCTTCCCTGCCGAGGGACCCAATAACGAGCGACAGACGGGAAAAGGTTGAATATTATTAGCATTAAGAAACTTATATGTAAGCTTCTGTTTGGCTAAAATATTCGAAGGAAAAAGAAAGCAGGCATCCCGAAAACTAATCTAGAGATTATTTTCTCTACACTCAAATTGAATAATATTCCTAACAAATAACTTTCCCATTTTTTTCCACACTTAAACTTGTTCCTCACTCGGTTGGGAGTTTTCCTAGGTGATTTTGTGTATGAATAAATAAAGACTTTAACACAAGCTCAACCTTTAAGCGAGATTAAGATGAAATCATATAAAGGACTATGACAACCCTTTCTCTTTTTCTTCAGTGTCCGAGCCAACATTTTAAGTTCTATTTACATGAATTATTCATCAATTCGCTTTGCTTGCTTTCTCTCTAAGCTATCGACTGCTCTTATGCTTTTAATGCCTTCCCATTGTTTTTCTATTTATATTCAAAGCTATGTTTGTAAGAATAAATTGTGATTGACGCGACGATTGCCTTGCAGATATTCAAAAAAGATTTCAACTCTCATGTTGATAAGACCTATGGGATGTCAAGCTAATCGGGAGAGTTTTCAACATGCTTTAGCTTCGGGACAAGCATATTTAAATGGTATGTTTGTGACATTTATTTGTTCATAAATTGCGTTTGAGATGAAGAAAAATTATTTCGAATGAAGCGTTACGTCCCAGCTGGGAAATTAACAAGAAAAGTTTTATTTTGGTCCAAATCTCAAGGACTTCTTTTTTTTAATCAAAGTTCTAAATCTTATTAAGCAAGCGTCTTGTTGTACTGTGCAATTTGGATTATTTAAAGATAAGAAAATTTATCCGACTAGGAAAGCGAAAACTTTTGGAGAAACCTTGAAAATTTCAAGCAAAAAATTCACTCGACGCAATCCCCAAAACTTCCAAACGTCAAACAGAAATTAACAAGACGCTTCTTCATCTCTTTTTTTTGTTTATAAAGAAATTTAAATGTTTATTCATACAACATGCATAATTGATAAATTTATTTATTTACACCAGAGAGCTGAATGTGCGAGAAAATTTGAAGCGCGATTTCTGTTTGTGTGTCGTTTTTTATTCAAGTATGAAATTCAATTAAAAGTAATCAGAAAACTTTCTCCTTGCCTCGTATTCAGAACACAACAAATTAAATTATATTGTTAGAGCAAATTCGGCTTGATTCTTCTACTTTAGTCTTTCTCTTTCCAAACAGTTGCGGGACATGAAAACAAGCCAAAAAAAAGAAACTTGAAAGAATTCATTTTAAATAAAACTTCACAAGATTCAAAATGTTTTTTTGTCTTAGCATTTGTAAATATTCTTGAGAGACTTTCAGTGTTGAAGTGGATGAAAGATCATTGAAAGTAAAAAGCATCTTAAAATGAAAAGCCTATAAAGCATTCAAAGCTTTCTTAATAGGAATTTTCTTGTTTTCGTTCCAAGAAAATGACTTTCATAATTCATGACTTGATATTACATTACACAAGAAGAAAGTTTTAGTTTATGTTTCACTTACAAAAATGAAGATATAAATTTTGAAAGAGTCACTTGTACCAGGTGTCCCTTAGAGGCAGGTTTGTAGCTCGGAACATGCTCAAAGCTCCTTTCACAAGCAGATATAACAACATGAGAATGGTTTCGCATTTCTTACATCTTTTAAATTCTAATAACAAATAATCTTTTACGAAGACTAATGGCACCGCCAATTCAAAATCTCATTTTTGATATTTGAATCATAAATTGTGATTTTTGCTCTGTCACTATCATGTCCAAACAAAATGAAATATGATTTGATTCTACTATGATAATATTTTATTCATCTCTCGCCCATCCCTTCAGGGTTTTTGAAGTCATATGAATGGGAGAAGAAAAGTCGACAAACTGAAATGACTTTTTCCCTCTGTGATGAACAGTTATGGGAAAAAACAGCAGCGAAAAAAAATTGAATAAAACATATTTGATTTTCTGTGAGAGACATGGAGCCTTTTTCTTCGCTATCCATTGACAACAAACCAACGCACATAAAAGAACGATGGAAAAATTAAAATCCAAACAATGCTCCACGTTCGTGATTACATAGGGTAAAGTGACCTATTGTGAACACAGTGAAAAAGAGGACCTATTGTGAACACACCTAATTTCGAATGCAGTTTTCTTCGCTATTTTGCATTTTCATGGCTCAAAACTTTTCAAATAGGTAGAGTAAACAGTCCCAAGTACTTCTATGCAAAGTTTTGATCCATTTGAATGCAAAATAGCGAAGNGTTTTAATTTTCACATGTTTCTTTCAACATTGTGGAACTAACTTATTAATTAAATCTTTAAAAAATAATATTGCTGATTGATTTTTCAAACAATTTTTCAACCTAATTTTCTAAGGGATTTTTCAAAATTAAATATTTTAATTGAAACACTTGTATTTCTTTGGAAGAAAATGTATAAATACATTGTTGCTGCACTCTACAACATCCAAGAAGTGGAATATTGCACATTCATAATAAAAATGTGGGATTTTCCAACTTTTAAAATTTATATGGAAAAATAGTTTTCAAACGCTGGCCTGCGCAGGCCAGCACGCTGGCAAATGTGCTGGCCCACGCTGGCCCACGCTGGTTGGTGAAACCCTAAATAAAACATATTTGATTTTCTGTGAGAGACATGGAGCCTTTTTCTTCGCTATCCATTGACAACAAACCAACGCACATAAAAGAACGATGGAAAAATTAAAATCCAAACAATGCTCCACGTTCGTGATTACATACTTTGGGTAGAAGAAGGAAAAAATACAAAATATCATTTATTCACTCCACAGTTTCCTCCGTCTCATAGAATGATGGATTTGCTTGAAGCAAAGGTTCATTTGCCACTCAATCCAGATTGTTTTTCACAACAACAACTTTTTGCTTATCATCTGCGTGCACATCATAAACTGGAAACTTATACTAGTTCTGGTGATTTCCCTCGAGACTAGGTTTCAGTATGTAGTCTAACATTGATTTAATGAAACTAACCATGGTCGCAAATCTCAAATTTTATTTAAGCTCTCTCATGGTCGTTCTTTGTCAGTAACAAAACAAACAAAAAACTTCTTTTTACTCTCTCTTTTTATGTTCAGTCATTTTGTTTATGTTTTGCTTGCTACTCGAACTTATTCCAATCACAGTATTATTGTTTCATTTCCCTTTAATTTCTCAAATGACAAAGCATAAAGTTGTGCTCTTGATGCAAATGATCTATCATCATCAAGAAAGACTCAGTGATATTTATTTTCACATGCAACATAAATCTTTTTGTTATTTTTTCTAGACTTTTCCAAGGGAAGCTTTGCATTCATTACCATAACATTCAGTTGGTAACGACATTAAAATGTTCTGTTTAATCTGACGTTTGTTTTAATTGCATAAAATTGAATAATTTATGCATCCACATATCTATGCTTTATGAGCATACTTTTTATTTATTTTGTAGAAACATAAATTGCGAATGTCGTGAAAATTATTGACGGAACTCCAAAATTATTTCCTTACTCGATAGCGTGTAATAAATTAGGATGTAGATAGCTCTGATATATTTCCTGTTCAAGCTTTTTTTTTAACGAAGGAGAGAACGAAAAAAAAATTGTATCTCAACTCAGTTGTTATGAAGTGAAATTTTGGGCATAAAAATTGCTTCAAGTGAGTTATGTTCCAATAGAAAAATATATGGAAACGTGAGAAGTGAGTGAATCATGATGAACACAGATGATGAGCTTTAGTTAGGGTTGTAATATTTTGTAATAAATTGGATACCACTGCGTGACTACGAAAACTTATTCCATCTTGTCTTCCGTTAGTTAGTACTTCACTCGGATTCATAAATAAGATCGAAGATAAACGAACTGTTACAAATCCCTGCCATAAACGCTTCATTTTGCTAGCTTGTGGTTATGTTAGCTTAGCTGTTATGAATACACTCAAATCAAGTGGCAATTCTCTTTTCAAGAGTTTTCACAAGAGAAAAGCGAAAAGCAAAAAATATTTTTGTAGCCCAAGACATAGAAAGAAAACTTTTCACACCCTCGAATTTTATTTCCATAAAAGCAAACTTTATGCCCTACGAATTTTCTTTTCATGAACTTCTAAACAATTATAATGTTAAAAAGGTCACAAGGCCCCAAGACTTTCACTGAATCTTGAAGTCGACTTTGAAAATCTCTTCTGTTGGCAATTTAATTGCTTTTGGCGCCAAAGTAAAGTATTTTAATGTTTACAAATGTCTTGGGAGTTTGATTGACGGTAGTGGAAGCCCGATGATTAATTTATCAAAATTCAACATTTCTATCTTGTTTTCAAATGAAATTTCTTCATTTGAAGCTCTTAATTCCAGGCTTACAATTGATAAATATTGTAAAACTTTTCTTTCTAGACAGCTCGTTTATTTAAACAAACACACCACTCGTTCAGGAATGGATTAAATGAATAATAAAATCCACTGACGTCGAAGAAAGACGAACAAAAAACTGAAGGGAGGGAATGAGGGAATAAAAAAGGAATTAGATTGAACTGCCAAAAAGGAGACAACGAAGAAAACTGTAAAGCTCAACAATCAAAATACTTTTAAGTAATAATAACAATTCAATAATATTTCCTTTTTCTACTGTGAAAGCAATAAGTACAAATTCAATTCCATTTCGCCCTCCCAACCGATGAATGAAAGCAATAAAAACTTCTTCTTTCGATTTAAGGAAAACAAATCTCGACTATTTTCTATTTCTTTTCTAGTGCTTACGTCTAACAACATTTTCTTGTGACGGAACTCGATAAATATCATCGTGTGAACTTCGAGAGTCGATGGAAAGGAAGAAAAGGAAGGAAAAGTAAATGAAATTACATTAACAACAATAGATAGACATTCTTTGAATTTTCCTCGTGTTGTCTTTATTCTTATGGTGATGTTAATGGCGAGTTCGAGCCTGTTGTTGGGTGATGTCAAGCCATTGCGTCATGCAGTTTTATTGTCACTGTTGACACTTCAAGTTCTCACCCGTTGACATTTAATAAAGACAAATGAATCATTTAATGAAATTTATTATCTCAGTGACAGAAACTGTGACTTAACCTCGGAACACTCCACTTTATTCTACTTTCCTGTTCTTCAATATAAATTGTCCAAGAGCTTAGCACTTTCAAGAAGTATTCTCAACTTATAGAACAGCTAAACAAAGCAAACAGACATTCAATTTACCGTTAACTTAAAGCTAACTGAGGAATGGAAATTTTCCCTTCATTAAACTTTAAGCATCTGGATAATGTCACCGAACAAGGAAAGTTCTGTACTTCAGTTTGTTTCTTAGAAATAAATATCGATTGCTAATCGAAGGAAATAACTCCAGAACTAGGTCATCATTTTCTGCATTATTTCAATGAGTGGATGAAACAAAATTCTGTTTAAAAAGGAAGAAGATGTAGAAAAAAAGCAGATTTAACTTGCCAAATGCTTTTCCAATTGTTTTCAACTGCAATTCAAGAGGAAACTTTAGCACAACATTTCAAGCCACTCAAAACAAATCAAAATGCTTCGACTTGATATTTGAGTTCGAAGATAAAATCTTTTATTTATTTAAAGTTGATACTTAAGTTTACAAAACGCGAACTTTATAACAATAAGTTTTTAGTTTACGATTTTTAAGAGCATCGTTTTGACAGCAATTCGAAATCAGAAGAGGAAAATCTGAAAATGATTTGAAAGCTTGAAGAAATACAAAAACAACATTCGAAAATTCAAATCTTTTTCATGGACTGCAGAACATGAAAACCAGAACTTGCTTGATATATTTTAATACTTACGACACAATTTAAATGCTTAACGACTTCAATAAAACTTTACGATTTGCAGAAACCGAAAAATTAATTAGTTTTATGAAATTCGTCAGATTATTCTTGAAATCGTTTTGGGAAAATTGGTTTTCGTGGGTTTTTTGAATAAGATGGAAAATTTTAAACTCAAACTTTTGATGATCATTAACAGTTTTTGAACAAAACTGATGTTGTATTGTACTTATGAGCTTTCGTGTATATTTGAACATAAGCTTCATATCAAGCTTTATAACGAATGAGTTATATTAATACTTCTTGTAGAATAGAAAACCTAATCAGATTAAAAGTTTAAGTTCTGTAGATTTTATGTTCGAAATTTGAGGGACTCATTTGATTGAAGAAGTTTAAACATAAAGTAAGCTTGTCTCCTTATCTCCTATTTAAGTGAATACTCCACTGAACACTTAATGAATATTCCAAGCCTGTTTAACATAATTCAATTTCATAATTTCTCAAGATAATATTTTAATTTGCTCCCAGAAATCTCATCGGCGCTATCAAAGAAAATAAAAAAATGATTTTCCTTTGTTAAGTTTTAAAACATATAAGAATAAGAATCTTTTCTTATAAGTAGATAGATACGATAAGTTTAAACAAAACAAAAGAGTTTAAGAGAGTATAGTTTGGATAGTTTGCTTCTTGTTGGAAGGGAACCAACAAAAATTTTACCCCAAGGAGACATTTAAGGAAAGAACAAAAGACGATGAAACATATAAATTTCCTTCTCTTTCATTCAAGTTTTGTTTAATTTTTAGCATGAAAGAAAGCCAGGATTGATACATACATACAGAAGGATGTGTATGTAGTGACGTCATTATATTCGTCTACATTTTATGATATATGTGAACATAAAAAGTTGTGTAGCATTAATCTCAAAATTTTATGTTTTCTTTTATTTCTCATTACTGTTTGTGAATGTCAAAGATTCACATGGCTTTGATTGCAATTGTAACTTTCATAATAAAATATGTTCTCTTGGTAATCAATTTTTACCGCTTTCCGCCTACACTTTGAGACACAAATCCTTGTCAAAAAATTTAAGACGACGATGAATGGTAAAAAGAAAGAAGTAGGGAAATGTCATATTTTCAATTTCTTATAATGAAAACAAATCTTTCAAGAGTGCCAAGGGGATAAGACGAACTCATCATCAACACACTAGGAGAGAAATAAAATTTATGTTTGTTCAAATGATGCCCGCAAATTCTAATTTTCCTCCTGAAATAGAAAGAAATTTTTAACTTTATTCGAATTTCTTTCGTCGCTTCCAACTTTTCTACTTTTCTTTCTTGTTTTCTTTTATTTCCAGAAATTCGCGAGTTGGCTCGTCAACGAGAAAACAACCTTGAGGCAATTTTTTTCTTCTCTCCTTCACCGCCACGAAATGCGAATTGTAAGATAGCATCATGTTTCATGCCGGTTCATTTAAGGCTTTTCTTCTCTTTTCCTCGTTTAAGCTGCTGTTGTCGTGACGAGGACGGCAACAAAAAGAAGAAAGAAAGTCATCGTCTTAGAATACATTTGGGAAAATCGATAAGAATATGTGAATATCTTGTTTGTCTTTTGTTTACTTGATCTCTAATGTAAATTTACAGTGACTTAAAGGCACCTTTTGAGGATTTTATTCCATTGTGCCCTTGCGTCTTTTAAAAAAAATGAAAATTGGCTCATTTGATAAAAGATGACGAGATGGAAAGTTGTTTGAACAGCTGGATGGGCCTTTCAACTGCCATATTTATGCTAACAATTGTTCACTTCCCGATGGTATGATAGCATCAAAAGATGAGAAAGAAATATCAACGAGATCCCAAATAATTTTTGGCTTTTTAATCTTCAGAAAACAATTTAAACAAGAAGAGTAAAAAATGAAAAATGATTTCATGCTTCAATGGCACACACCTTACTGCCAAAATGTCATCAATGGCACATTAAAAACCAATAAAAATGGAATCGTTTTTGAATTTTGTGCTGTTGTAGGTGTTTGAAATGCCACTAGATGCTTAATGCAGCATTTTCTTATGACAAAGAATGAGAAAAATCTCTACCACCAAAATCGAGTGACAAACAACGGGTTTTCGAGAGATAATCAAGGGTTTTTTTTCCATTAATACAACGAAAAAGAAACGCAATTTGCGAGATTGAAAGCAAACGTAAATGGCATCATAATTGAATGAAACGAAGGAGGGAAGATAATATTAAAAGTGAGGTGCCATTAACGAGGTGTTTTATCGGTGAAAAGATGGAACTTTATTGCAATCGCTTTCGGCCACGTTTTATTCGTTACGACAGCTTTTTATATCCTTTTTCCACATTTTTCAAAGCTGAAACGTGTCATTGAGTGGCTTTAGAACAAGTCAAATCGGTCATCACGTTGTAGAGCATTTTCACAAAACCAAATGTCAGATAACATTTCAATTATAGAAAAGATGAAAAAAGTAAAACTTACCTGCGTTCAATATCAAGAAGAAAAGCAGAACTAAAGATGCCGTCATATTGTTGTCTGTTGTACGACACGGCATAGATGAAAATTTGATTGTTACTTCCGATGATAATACTCGTTCAACCTTTGACAACTTATGCTTCACAATTTTCACACACTTGCGTTAAGTGATTGTCGATATTCATGTATCGTAATGATGAATTAATTTATTCCATATGTGAGAACATTAACATAATATATCCATAACTCTTGAAAGCACACGGCATTTCTACAATAGCTCGTTATAAGATTGATGTGCCTTCCAGCTAACACTTGTCATGTATTGAGCACTTGAGAGCATACATGAAATCCATCACACAACAATTTTTTATTATTATTATTCTTCTTTGTAGCAAATTCTATTCACATTAGCATTCTCTTGATGATATTTGCATAATTATTTTCTCTTTGGATTTTCAACTTTCCTCACAATTAAACGCCATCAATTCAGCACATTTCTTTTTGAATTCACGGTTCATTGAACTAATGCGAGAGCATTGAATTTGTAGCTTTTATTGTTGTATTCATTCCTATTTTTAAGAGGCGTTCTATCGATTGACGAGAGAGGAAAGAAAAAAAAGAAGAAGAATTGAAATTCATATTCATTGAGCACAATTAGCTGACGTCAATTTGTTGTTGAATAATAAATCAGAAATGCTTGAAATGTTATCCATTAAATCTTTTCTTGAGTGTTGTTTACTTATATGTGCTTGCTCTTATTTTTGTGAACAGGTCTTAATTGATTTCTTTGCTTTTTTTCTCTTCTTATTTCCTTACCCTAAAAAAAGCTAAAAAAAGTTTCCCAAAAATTTGGCAAAAGGAAAAATAGCAAAAACGTCTCAGCTTTAATCTTAGGAAAAAGGTTCGCTTGCTTCATGTGCGCAACCAAGCTCTTGTTGATGTATGTAAGTATAAACATGCTGAGTTAGATGCTGGTCTTCTATCAATCAATGCTATCGACGACCATAATTTATTTGTGTGGAAATTAAACTTCCGAAAATCACAGACGATACATTTGAAATTTTTTCCTTTTTTCTTGGGTCATGACATACCGAGAAATAATCTTCGAGCAAACTCATTCAAAAGAAAAGAAGATTTTCGTCGTCTTTGTTTATCAAATTTGCAAATTTGAAATATTGCTGAAGGAAGGAAATCAAATTAACTAATGTTTTCCTTTTTCGAGTCCTTTAAATGATTTCAAGTGGGAAGTGTAGAATTCTCGACAAATAAATACGAACCCATGAAGCGATGATGAAAAGCGTTGTGTGATTTACATCACAAAAGAGAGGAAAAGATGGAGAATAATGACACGCACATATTACTTTTCTATTTAGGAAACGGAGAAGAGATAAATATGAGAAGGAGGAAATTGTGGTTTCACATGAGAAAATCGATGATATTCATTTATCAATGGAGGAAAAATTTATTGAATCAATTTTCAACTTCATTTGATCGACGACAGTGCCATTGAAGCTGTAGCAACGTCGCATATGTTAAACGAAATTATTTTCTTTCACGTAAATAAATTATTTCGGCTAGAAACGCTTCATTGTCGCTTCCTCAAATTCTTAAAAGTGTTTCCATCAATTAAACATTAAATCGTTGATCGTTAAGGTTGGCTATGGAACAAAATCATGTAAAATCACTATTGAGACATTAAGTACCGCGTTCATCTTTCATTAAATTTTTTTTGCTCGTTTCCTAATCGCCTGCTGGCAAAGAAGGCGTCAAAGAATGATATAAAAGAGAAGTTTCAACAATTTTTCATTTGACAAACAGCCATTAATCAATTTAATGACAAAGATTTCCATTCCTAAATAATCCCGACTTTTCTGAATATTCTTTTTTTTGGTCTTCATTGGTTGACGGACCGGTTGCAAAAGTAATACATAACACACAAAAAAAAATTAATGAAAACACTCAAGTAATGGAAGCGTAAAAAGCATAGAATTCGTACACAATTTGATCCTTGATCCCTTACTTTTTTTGTGTGACTTAACTCACAGAAAATTATTTTATTAATTAACTTTGTTGTTTCTAGAGTGAAAGCTTTAAAAGCTTTCCAATATTTTCTAAAGCTTTATACTTTAATTAACTTCTTTTCTGAAGCACGAAAACATTTCACGACTGACAATTTAATTGAATATGTTCAATGTTCCAATTCAGCACTCATGTGAGATTTTTTCTATCATAATTATGTTTGTTATGTTTTCAACTGCAAGTTCTAATTTTTCTTTTTCATTAATTAAATAAAGTAAACTGTATTTATTTTGGTTCCACAATTTTCCACTTTAAAACTCCTTAATTTTGATTTATATCATTTTAACAATTTATTATTGGAGGATAATTGAAACAAATATCTGCTCGACACAAATGTTTCTCAACAACTAAATGAGATCACGACAGTTTCTATTTTACTCCTTGCTTTCTGAGAGACGGAATCGATAAGAGGCATGCGCTTTAAAGTTGTGCCGAAAGTCGATGTTATTCGTATGTTTAGTTTTCAAAGTTACTTTCCCCCCTTACTCACAGCTCATTACAGTCGTAAAAATATCTCTTATGAATGGAAATTTTTATTTACCCTCGTAAATCTCTGATAATAGAAAATTATTATTTGCAACTAAATAATGTCTGACCAAGAATAATAATAAATAAAATGAAGTCTAGTTGGAAGTCTTTCTTTGTGCGGTTTGAAGGTTAAAAATGAATTTTCGGTACACGATGACAATAAAGCTTCCGTCGTTACAGTTAAGTATTTGAGTAGCTTTAATATTTATATGAGAAAATTTATTGATTGATAGGAAGGATTAATGAAGTATAAAATCGAGTTGAAAGATTCAAATTTATTTCATAAAATATTAAAGCTACTCAAATAAATGCCTTTTAAACGACAACAAAAATGAAAAATTATAAAATCAGATAAATAATTTGTGAATCAAAATTTAATATCAAAATGAATATTAAAGATGAAACAATTTTCAAAGTCATTACACTCATTTATTATATTTTTGAACTTGGAATTATTCACTTGCTAAGTGAAATAAATTTATGAGACACAAAAGCTGTAATATTCCTACCGATGTGCCAAAAATGCTGCATTATGAATTGTTGTAATATTTCTTGTTACTCACGAGAAGAGCGATTTATTGTATAGATTTAATGTTTCCCTTATTATTGCGTGTCTGATGAGAAATGTGGTCATAAACAAGTTCTTGTTAAAGTTTCATTTAATTATATTAAATGTCGATTAATGTTTACATGTAGGAATGTTCAATGAAACATATTTATGCTTGAAATTTGATAGATTCGATGAGATTATGAGGACATCACAACACCTTTGATCTTGAGTTCCACGCACTTCTCAAGAACCTCATTTGATTATTTGTTTGTTCTGTTTCGAATTTCCAATTAAAAACTCTCGACAAAAAATTTCTTTCTTCTTAAATATTCCAATTAAGCTTTGAAATGATGTTGGACTTGTTTTCTCACTTGAAATAAACATCATTGAAATGATTTACAAAGATTCTTCTCTTCCGCAACATGAAATGCTTCTCATGGTCGTAAATATGATACGTACATAAAAAATAATAACAAAAAGAATGAAAGTTTCATCATTATTAATCAACTTACCCAACAGCAAAGCGCAGAGCAATAAAGTTTAGTTTATTACATAATTATTGTTCGCTTTGTGAATAAACTATTTAGGAAATGGAAGGAAGAAGCTTGTAATCGATAAAGACATAAGATTAGATCCGTTTCTACCCCAGTGACCCATTTGTTGAAGGAAGTGAAGAAGCAGAAGAAGATTTGATTGGCGTTCTCGATGTTGCTAACTGTGTACAGCACGAAACTTTCACAAACTTTTTTCTATTCCTAGTTTTTCTATCTTTTCAGACACTAGATTAGCTACAATTTCCTTCCACTCCAAAACAAAAAGTAATTAATATTTCCAAACAAAAAGGGTCAATGTAATGTTGTCGTCAGTCGCGTAATTTACAAAAATAAATCCTTTTTCATTTCTTTAATTCATTAAAAATTGATTAAAATTGAAATTTAATCAAAAAGACACTTCACGAAATTGATGGAGTTGGATGTAAAAGAGAAATGTAATTAATCATGTTTAGTATTAACTTAAGCACTTTCCACCATGATTTTTTTAATGTCATTAATTTTTTGGAAGAAGCAAATAAATGTCTTCAATCAAATTAACTTTAAATATTTCTTGTCTCACGTTCTAGTAAGGCAGAAACGTCCTTCGCCTTACCTTCAACAGTATTAAGTTCTATTCGCCTTTTGCTTTCACCTGCTGTTACATCATTTCATCAAAAGTATCGACATTAAATGTTTAAAGTAAATATTAAGCCGACAAGGTAGAAGGGATCAATTACACAACAACGCTAATGTAAATTTATAATGACGCACCCATGTCGCTGTCATTATTCATTCGATTAATTCAATTATTTCAAATGACATGCATTACTTGCTATCCAAGCAGGGTTCAAATGGTTATATAAAATTCTTTTACTTATCTCGACATTTCCAAACAAGATGCCAACGAAGAAGGAAGAAAATATTTTCACGGTGATTCTTCCATTTTACTTGATTATTAAAATTTTTGGATTGTTTCCGGCGTCGTTTGATGGTGAGCCCAGACTTGGGATATTCCAATTTAAGTGTAGAGATAGAGTTAGTTCATTATTATCTTTAATTATTCTATTTGGTGTGTCAATCTTAAATATTTTACATCCCATTGAAAAGTTACATAAATCGTTCATTATAACCACTGGGTGGCAACTAAGGTGAGAAATTATAAAGAATTCCTGCTATGAAAATAAAATTTTCCATTTCAGTTTATTTTGTGGAATGATTTTGCTTATTATAACAATGGTTTACCAACTTTTGAAGAGACATGAAATAATTAAATTACTTCACATTCTAAATGATTTCGATGCGAAAGCAAAAGCACTGGAAGTTAAATTGAACTTGAAAGCTTCTCGAAAATTTATATTGAAGACTGTTATGTTCATTTTGTGTGGAGTACTTGTAGTCAGCATTGGAACAGCGTTTATTTTCGAAATGAAAATTCATTACGGTGCAGGCTGCTTGATGCCTTTAAGCTATGGATATCTATTATTGTATTTGAGTATGCTTATTTTGCAATTTTCGTTTTCAACATTGGCTATTAAGAATCGTTTTTGTTTACTGAATGACAATCTAAGATTTACATTTCAAAATTCACTGGCAAAAGGCAATTCGACGCTGGCTAATGGCAATGCCAATCGTCTCCATGAGCAGTTGTCGAATACCATAAGGGATCTCTACAGCAATTTATGCGACGGAATCGATTTGGTGAATGAATCGCTTACATTTCAACTCATACCGTTCTTGGTTTATTACTTGACAGCAAATCTCTTCGCTATCTATAGCACGATACGTGAAGTCTTCTATCAAACGCCACTGATGTATATTGCAATCGGAACAAACATATGTTGGATGATATTGCATTCTGTAATCGCTTCAATTGCATTGTACTCGGGACACATTACTACAAAATGTGCTCTGAGGACGCCCATAATTGTTAGCAGCATTTTAAGAAATTGCAAAGACAAAGAATCCCCATTCACCAAGGATGCTTTCAAAACATTTCTACTAGAAGTTCAACATCGAAATATGTTCATAGAAAATGAGTTCTTTCGTATCGATTGGAAACTTTTATTTTCTGTAAGTTGAGAGAAGTCAAGTGTTAAAACGAAACTTTTTAATTGACTTACAAATTCTGTTTGTTTGCTTTCTTTTCATTTTCATTTTCGTTTTCATTTTAGATGATCTCAACGATCACAACTTTTCTTGTTATAACTTGCCAATTTGATGCAAGCCTCAGTAACGATTCTGTTATTAAAAACTCAACACTTGGTTAATTAAACAGACGTAAAGTCTGCTTTCAACAAGGATTTTGTTAAACGTGGTTTAAGGAATTAGACGGCAAGGGAGAAATAGAAAAAGTTTTATAAGATTAAGGGAATTAAATTCTCGTTTTTCGCTGGTCGACTCGATGAAGATACAAAAATTCTTCGTAAATAAAAAAATATTTTTGTAAATTTCTTTATTTTTAGAAATGTCTATAAAAGAAATCACAAAACAATTATTTGCTAAGAATAGCTTTATGCTCAACATTTATTACATAAACTTAATCTAAACGCAAACCTTCTTCTCCTTCTTGTTGTTTCAAATAAAGCGTGCTAAACTTTTCTTATTTGTGTGAGAAAAATCCATGAAAAGCTTCTGCTGTCATAATGTGACAAGGAATTCTACTAAAAATATTCTCATGACCGTAATATTTTGTCCGACAAAATGACCAAAGCGTATTTATCAGTAGAGCACAAACTTACACTGAACACCATTTCACCGGATATGAAATTGCTACTTTTTTGTCTCATTCTCCTACACTTCATTGTCCTTCTCATATTTCATACGACAAATGAACTGGATTTTCTTTCCCTTCTTAAAGCAGATTGAAATTTTGTGAAAATGTTTTTCTTGAGAGTTTAAAGATAAAAAGATTTTTCTTAATTTTTTTACGCTTTGCACTCGAGACTTAAGCCATTCAAATCCTTTTTCTACATCTGAGAAATTCAAAGGAAAACACAAACAAGAGAAAAATTTAAATTGATACAAAGTGAGTTGCTTTTCCTATGAAGGAAGAGTTGCTTTGGATTCTTTTTTAATATGAAATCTCAGTTAATTTCGGAGAATTTGCTTTTTAAATCGTATTCGCATTAAAATAAGCGCAAGCTCCATGTGAAGAGCAAGATATTCGCTTTAGCTGAGCACTTTACGATTTAAGCATATAAACTGAAATCATGTAACGTAAATCCGCATATCAAGCTTAACATCTAAACACAGACTAAAGGATGACATATCAAAGCTTTAGAAAATCAATCAAAAAGTTCTTAAATTCAAAAGTCGAAACATTTTCATTCGATTTTATTTTATTTTTTCAGCTATAATTTTGAGACACATTCGTTCCATAAGCTCCAAAGACATTCTCGAAATAATTTTATTCGTCGTCGTTCTACGTACTTTCCGATCAAACGAGGGAAAGACGCAATAACATCAGAAAATAATTCGTTCTGTACATGATACATATTCGATTATTTTAAATCTACCAAAAGCGATCATATCTAGCTTGCTTTGTGCTTGAAGCAGTTCGATTGAAAATTGTTGGAATATTTGAGCTTCTGATTTCTTTTCATAAAAAAAATCTATCTATGTGCATTTATTTGCTAAATACAATTCTCATATTTATGTACAAAATGAATTTGAAAGCGTCTGCTTTGCAAAATCAATTTAAATTTAGAGTGGACATTAATTGCATTCTTTTTTGTACTTTTTTATGGCCATAAAAAGCTCGAAATTGTCATTTGATTAGTTCAAATAGCCAATAAAATTTTTGCGCATCTGTTAGAATAATCGCCGGGAATGTTGTATTTTGTTAGCTATGTTATCATCTATGTCCCATTATTGCACAAAAGAAAGAAAAAAAACAATTTTATCATTTCATGAAATGTAAATGAGCAGCCATTAAGTAAATTGACAACAAACACATTTTATCGTCATCATATTTCAGATATCAATGAATGTAAATTTCCATAATGTAATTCAGAAACGAAAAAGCAGACATTATTGTAAAATATGTTTTTGTGTTACTATTGCAGTAAAAGGAAGAAGAAGAGAGACTTACTGTAGTTTTCTATAATCTCGGAGAGTTAAGAAAGTCAATTAACGTAATTGGATCACTAATCTAATTTCATTTCGATCAAACAAACATAAATTAGAGGAAATTTGTTATTTATTGATAACATTGAATCAATTCTAATTGAGGAAGTATTTTAAGAGTAGATCTAACGCAAAATTTCTTCTCATACATTGAATTTATTTATTATTATAGAGCCAAGCAGATAAATATGAACGTCGCCAGAAGATGTAATTAGCCTTCTGGTTTATCTTTCTCAATGAAACACTTAAACTTATGCACTTAACAATTTCATATCTTCTTAAGAACAATTAAAAATTAACTTGCAATTTAAGAGAAGTGAAGGACTTGTAACCGTAAGAGACGGATATGAACATAAAGTGGTGGTTCGTTTAAAATAATTAACGAAAATTATGAGCAAACAGTTTCAACTCTTCTTATAAAAAGAAAAATTATTTAATTTATGATAAATATTCCTTTTTGAAAAGATAAATAACAAAAGTAAAGTGAAGCATGCAAAATGAGAAGAAAATAATTTGAAGGAAAAATAAAACTTGCGCAATTCAAATGGCCCGAGTGTTTATTCACAAAACAAACGAAAAAAAAGTAGATCGTGAGTGGGTCAGAGAAGAAAAAAATATAAAAAGCAGTCAGGCCACTTTTATCGTGATAAGAAAGAAATTTCCTTTGGGCGTTTGTTTGCGTTTCATTAGATAATCTAATCATGAAGTAAGAATTTCTTTTCCCTTAAACGTCCAATTTTTATTCTCATGTCTCACGAGTTGTTGTGGTTGCTTTGAAATTCTTCTTTTCTTCCCGATTTTTAATAAACAAAAATTGCAGAGAAATTAAAACAGATGACGAGAATTGTTTTCATATTTTCAAGCTCATGAACGAAACTCATCATGTAGTCAGAAGCTGAGAATGCTTTAAGCAATTTTATATTTACAGAACTGCATGTAATATCATCATGACTTAGGAATAAAAAGAAGAAAAATTGAAAAGACAAAGCACACAATACATTAGATCCCTCATAAACAATAGAAATGCTTTCTTTCAAATTTTTATCGCCTTGTGAAGTTGAAAAGAAGCAGCAAGCAACGAAAGAAAAACTCTGAAAACACAACTCGAAGCATATGGTATTGTGAGTGGCACAAAGAAGCTTTTCATTAAATACTACCCAGTCTAGGTGATAGGATTTTAATGAGGGAAATTTTCAAGTTTTCCTCACCTTAACAATTGTAAAAGAAGCTTTTAAGCTTCTTTTTTATAAAATACTTATGAGTGTTACATTCTCCTGGGACTTTTCAGAATAAATATGAAAATGAGTTGTGACTTTTCAAATATGAAAATTTATGCACGCAAGAATTCTTCTTCAACAACCTCTTTGAACAGTCGTTTAAGCACAAATGAAAAATTTCTCCCCAAGGAGACGAATATTCGCACGGAAAAGTTTGAATCAATTTATGATTTGAAGTCTATGCCAATCTTCTCGTCTTAAACTTAACGTATAGGGAAAGCGATCAATGAACTTTTCCAAGCACTTGCTTGCTATGCTTCATGTACGTATTTGACACCCCTAGAGGGAATAAAAAAGCTTCGTCAACATGGAGACAGATAAGTAGAAAGAGAAGACGGAATATGTGAGTTTTTTCTATCAACAGAACTTTGACTCGGATAAATGGAAAGATCTTAAAGATGAAAGGAAAAGTTTCAACAACTGTTGATGTCGCTTCCTGAGTCAGAGTTCTGCCTCCAACATAACGCCACATTAATAAGAATAAGATAAAATGTAGTTCATTAACTTTTCTGGAAGCGAAGGAATTAAATTTCTTTCACTTCTTACACTAAGACGTAAAACATCCTTGTAAAGCAATTTAAAAGGGTTAATTCAAGTGAAATGAAGGCAATTTTCGTTTCATTGTAATGGAAACGCAAAAGCAAGCAACTTATAAAATGTAACAACTGAAAACTCTGTTCATACTTGCGACATCACAAAACAATTTCTTACATCGTTTTAATTTTGTATTCCTTGTCATCTCTCGTCTTCCCAACTCAACGAATGCTTGTTCCAACAGCTTATAATAACTCAAGATAAGCGAAGCATATTGAAAATGCATGTTGAACAATTTCATTCTTTAAAACTATGCTTGTCGTGTCAATAAATTCTCTAAATGAATTTCCCCGTTGTCAAGTTTGATAAACTGAGATCTGAACAGATACGAGGAAGTGAAAATTCCACTCGAATAAGTTTCATTAAATTGTCGCTTGTATTCACTTCAGCCTTTGCTATTTAGTAAGTAAGCTATAAGACCCAATGAATGTGATGTTCTCGTATTTTTTTATTTTCGTCTTCATTCTTTCTTTCGTTTTTTGGGTTGAGCATTGGCTGTCATTCTCGATTTATGGCAGAGGGTAAAGCGCACACTTCCCACCAACAAGCTAACGACTGAGAAAGAAAGAAAGCTTTTAGACAACGCCATTAAAATAAACTTAAATATTTATAAAAATCTTTTCTGCTTGAATGGACCGTGAAGAAAATGAAAATATATTTTATTAGTTTAAGAGAGCAAAAGGATGAAGACAAAAAAGATATAAGAATAGGTTTAACGTCGAGATTTTAGATGCGAGATAAGCAATGGTTAAACATTGATGCTTTGAATGATATCACTAATCGCGATAGCATCATAAACGGAAGGATAAAAAGGAAAATAAAAATTTCCTTTTATGTGCTATAAAGATGCCATTATCGAATCGTAATATCAAAAGAGAACTACTTGTGTACCTTTTTTATGTTGAGTAGGTCTGTGCTTCTATTCTTATCAATTTCTTATGTTTAGGTTAGGGAAATTTTTGTGCCTCCGGTTATTAGTATTCGAAATAACGATAGAGATCTCCTTAAACATTATCATGAAATGAAGTAAATATTTGAAACTTCTTTTATTTAAATATAAATTCAACAAAAGTTCAATTATAGTGAAGATTGAGCTTCGATTTCTTTTTAAAAATGTTAACAGGAAAAATAAAAAAGTTGAAGTATCGTGAGAATTCAATGAGGATGAGGAATTCATAACGAGAATCTCATTTCTACAAATTTGCAAATCATATTAGAAGTTTGAATGCTTTTCCTTCGCTTTTTCATTTTTGCTGAAAGTCAGTTCAACTTCATGTTCTCGTAAAGCAAATAATCCTACGTAAATATTGATTTTCTCTTCACCCTTACCTGTAAGCGTCGAACATTACACAGTGCCAAATAACTTCAATTAAATTCCAAGCACGTCCCGCTGAATCATCGGAATACATCGAAAAATCACAAATATCTCGCTTACATCTGCAAACACTCCACCAAAAAGTGAACCAGCCAAGCCGTTACACGATCTGTCCATGGATTAACCAACATAAGCGAAATGATAGCTTGTTTTGATTGCACTCAATTCAAATATCAATTCATGATGGATGGACGGTGATTTATTTTCATTTCTATTGCAGATTTCAACTTCACAAATTCATAAAGCTTTTCAATGTTTATTCCGAAAGTTTATTCAAAGCTTCATGATTCTGAAATGTTTACTTTACTGTGACGTTTTTAATAAATCAACGTTATTGACATATTTAATTAAAACCTTTTTTAACTCTTTAAATATTAATGAGGTTTGGCTTTAACTTAAACATTTAATCACTCATAAAATTTCTAATTATTTCTTTGACATTTGTAAAACTATTATCCTTGAAAGTTCTCAAGTACTGCTAACAGTAGAAATTTCTTAAAATTAATCACACAACTCACGTAAATATTTTATTGTGATGACATTTTATTATTGTGAAGATACACAAACAGGATAAAAGCAGCGACCATTATTTAAATTGTATACAACATCGGGAGTGGCATTTCCATTCTTCCATCTGTTTTGATCTGTTTTCAGAACAGATTCTAGGGACAGGTCACGTAGAAAATTATGATTTCACATCCTTCGGGATACTTTTTTTTATTTAATTTTGCGTCGGCATAAGAGGGAAAATTACTTCCTCAAACTTGTTCCCTGCAACGTCATCATCAGACAGCAACCGCATATGCGGAGAGAAGACAAGACTTTGTTTAACGATCTAACTTCAGAAAAATTGTAGCACGTAAAGTCGATGAATAAATGGAAAATTTTTATGCAACTCCAGTTATGAAAACTTGTCTTCTCATTCCACAATGTCAGTTAGTGAAAAGATGAAACCAAACGCTTTTCATTTAATGCTGATGAATGCTTTTTGTTCGTATTTAAAATGCATTTTCAACATCGTCTTGCAATCTACAACATCACATTCAATTGGAGAAATTTTAACAAGAATTTATTCCGGGAAATTGGATCCAAATGAGATTCTATTATTTTTAGACAAGTGACAAACATTCCACTGCTTTTTTAAAATAATTGCAGAATATATTGAAGTGTCATGTTAAATTTATAAAACGTTCAAAAAGAAATATTGAATAGTGTGAAAAGTTGAACATTTCCGAGCTGTTTTTCATCAATCAAGCATTCAATTGGGTGACGACATTTACAGAAATTTAATGTATTGTAGAAAATAAACGATCTATGGAAGCGGAAGTGGCAGAATTGTATAAAAATTCGAAATTAAAATCAAGCACAACGACAGAAAGCTTAATTAGTGGATCTTTCGGATGATAAAATAACCAATAATTGAACATTTTATTTGAATACATTGAGAAATGTAAATTAAATTGAATATTCAGAATGAACAGCAGACATCTAAATGTAAATTCAATTTTCATTCGATTTTCATTGAATGAAAATGAAATATTAATCTTATTTGAAAAGAAATTTAAAGCTTGAACTTGGAAAGTCGCATAAATATTTTAACTTGGCACACGACTTTGCATTGCATTTTAAATGTTGAAGAACTTCGATATGAACATGGAAAACTTTCTCAAGAAAATTATTGCTGATCGTATATAAGAATCAAATCCAATAAATATAAACTTTAACTTGTCTTAAATCTATTTTCTTGCCAATCAGACTGCAAACGTTTGCATAAATAAGACTTCTAACTTTTTATCTTTAGGCTACACATTTATGTAATTAAAATTATTTTCAGAACGACTAATTACAAGAAAATCACATCAATTGTTCCCTCTTAGATAATTAATGTCCTTGGAGGTCTAAATTACCTTCTCAGATTTCTCGCACCATAGAAACAAATTCCGAAGCATCGAAGACATTCCAAAAATGTTTAAATTTCTTTGAAGGTGTTTGTTATAGTAAACACGGTTGAAACAGCCTCGTAAACTTCAATCATAATAAAAATGTAAAGTTTTAAACGTTGCTGTTATTGAGATGCTACATAAATGTAAACAATCTCCTTATGTTCCCATAAAAAAATTGCATAACTTTCTCACCACAACAGGTTGGTGATTGATGAAGCTATAAAAAAAGTTCAATTTTTATGATAGAAAGTTGTGCAATGAAGGAATCGAAAAGATTTACGGGAGTTCTTCGTCTCACAGGTCTTTGTTTCAACACAACACGATGAACGGATGATCTTCGACGTTCAAATGTTTTGATTGCTGTAAAATTGACCCTCGAGATTAATTGTAAGTAACTTGAAATCACGTTGAATGCATAAAAATTTCTATGACTAAAATTCTTCAACAATGTTCGTTGCTGCATTGCAATTCTTCTCTCTGAATAACTTATTGATAATGAAATAATTTTCAGCAAAAACTTAAGTAATGAATTGCATTCGAGCCTTGTTTTATGATAGAAATAAAAGAAAATCATAACAACATAAAGTGTTAAGCATAATTATCGTGCACATTAAATTGCCTTTATTTCGCAGTCGCCTGTTGTTATTAAATTAAACAACAAAATTCCAATTCATTCGCGACAAACCGTTGGAAAAAAGCAATTAAAACTTTAATCTATTGAAATAGTTAAAGCTCATTGAACGAAAAACTTCGATGGAAGCGGAAAAAACCACAATAAATCTTTTTATGTGAAGCTTTTTACAATAAATTAATGAGTTTGACAACGTAAAGTTTGCTTTCAGGCTTCGTTTCTTTCGCCTTCGTCGTACATAAACATTCAAGTACCATTTGTTATCGAAACAAGAGGGCGAGGCAGGAGCGAATAGTTTTGTAATTTAATTTTAATCTATACGATGCGACTGCGAAGTTTGTTATTTTACACCAACTGCACAGACTCAAATTCAATTCCCATTCAGAAATTGTAGCAATTAAATTGTTATTTTTTCCTTCTTGTCGGATAGATTCATGTCTGGAAAAAGTAAATGTGTGGGAACTGAAGATTTCTAAATTTATTGCCGTTTTATTTTAATAGTCTTCTGAGTTATGTTAGAAAATTCTTTCTTCAAGGTGCTTATGCACAATGAGAGTTTTCTAAACTCAAACGTAAACCTCAATAGTGGAAAATGTTCTTGTTTTATCGGTTGTCCTTGAACAATAAACCAGAATAATTTTTAGTTTTAAATTATTCGACAGAAACCGCAGCGGAATTTACCCGTATGTTAAACATTCAGACATGAATCAGCCCTGATGGGATTTAAACGTAGCAGATATCATTTTAAAACCTTCGATCTATCACTGGATAAATATTTGAAACGTTTTGTAATTCAAGAAATTCTCCGAGGAAAACATGCGCATCTGAATGGCATTGAACCTTGTTACATTGTCTGGAATAGCCGCCACACAAAAACCTTTCATTTTTTCAATCGACATTATCAGCATAAAAGTTTCAACGAAGGAAATATTTTATTCAAACCTGACAAGCTGATACAAAAACGTAAATCAATAAATTTTGTTTATGAAAAATTGAAGTCATACACTGCAATGCAATGAGAAAATACATCTGACATTCATGAGCCATGATATGGCAAAAAATAACACGTCTCCTGAGTTAGATATAAGAAAAATTGTCTGCAAAGGTGATAAGTGAAAATCGTCTTGAGACCATCTTGAGTCTTTTTTAAACAAGCTAACTTGGCATGCATCACGTGTTGTTCTAACCCCATATGGATGAGTGGAATAAAAGGAAAACAAATAAAGATGATCCAATCAATTGACATCATCAGTTGGATTGTCGTAAAACCATGAATCCAATCTAAAATAAATTAAATTTTTATGTCCTGTCATGATTCCTCAGTTCTTTTCCTTTTTTTCACCAGGCATTTAGACAACGATATGACGATGGTATGATAGATTAAAGGCAAAAGCGATTATCAGTACCATCAAAATGCCATCAGCTCACGATGACGATAAAAATGGCTTCGTGATGATGCTTCGCTGATCATAAATCAACAACACAGAAACATTTCCAAGGGATGGAAACAAAGATGAGATGTGACTTTGCACATGTTTTTATAAATATTCTGTTGATGTTTAATCTTTTGTGTAGAAGGAGGTGACTAAGCCCTTTGTTGTTGATGTTTATTTTTTTATTATCATCTTTTTTGTAGGGAAAACTACTTGAGGAAGTTGAGTTAGTTTACGAAGAAAGCAAACGTCAGAGGTTGCCACCCTCAATATATCAGATGTTCTTCTCACTTTCCCAATTCCATCAACTGACAAATCATTTTTACTAATTTTACAACTCTTCATATCGTTGTAAAAGCATAAAATGATTCACGTGTAATAAATTAATAAAATATGAGAAGATTGATAATAAAACGTTCATAAAGCGACTGTTAATCATTGAAATAGCGTCAAGTTTTCTAAAATTAAACAAACGTTTTCGATGACTTCATTATGACACGTTTTCTGTCAACAATCTTTGATAAAGCTTCAATCTCAAACTGATTAACTCAAATTTAATATTTGATTTTATAAGAAACGAGCTGCTGGCTGTCATTGATGTTATGTTGAACGTGATGTTACAACATTTACTGATGAACAAAATTAATATCAGTATCATCTATTAACTATGATGTCAACTTTGAATTAATTAGCAACCTTTTTATCGTGCTTTCGATGTATTTAATCTATTTCAAGGAACATCACAATTTCGTAGCTGCCGCTTTATTGAAATTAGAATTTAATTTTGTTATTGAATGTCATGAGACGCAATTCACAAATTTGTATCTATGTAGTTAGAATTTTTTGATTAGTTTCCTTTAATTATCTTTCATATAAATAAATTTGAGTGACAACAGCCAATTAACAAAATATTTCACTCAAAATCTTTTGAATTTTGTGAATGTTTAATATGAAAGTTATTTGAAGAATTTTCATTTCATTTTTTCTTTCATTTATAGAATTTTCATTCAAGTATCAAAAGTTTAACCTTTGAAAGCAAAGAGTTTTATTGAAATTATTTTGTAATATAATTTTCAAGGTTGTCATTGCAATTGCCCAAGACTTATCAATCAGTTCACATTCCATACATCGAAAAAGTTGCTTTTGTTTTCAAAATAATCTTATTTTTAGAATTTCATTTCTTACTTTCTTTAATGAATGCTGAACTCGTGATGTTATGTACACAATCTTTCGTCAGTAAGTGGGAGATCTTTTCAGGTATTTTTAAAACATGTTAATGAAAAGCACTCGTTGGTATGCTTTTCATCAACGAAAAGTAATTTTGCTAGGATTAAAAGCTAAATTTTCTTATAGACATTTATGATTATTCAATTTAAGGCACTCATTTGAAGTCACCCAGGTGTGCTTACAAAATAAACCAACTTAAATCAATTAATATCAAAAAAAAATATTCCAAATCAACTTAAATTTGTTTGACTTCATCATGCAAAAATTTTTAGAAACGAGTTTTTATTAGCTTGATTCGCACGCTTAACATGTTTTAAAATGTCCAACAATTAATCTTATGATAATGTCTGACACAAACGAGTAGCAACTGGACAAGTCTGTTTTTGACTAACAGCCGTAATGCTTGCTGTGTTAACTTAATAATCGCTTTCAAAGTCATTTTAGCGACGACCATTCATAGAAAGTCACAGAAATTTTTTGCTATCCATTCTTGGTTTTGTTCCTAATTGACAATCTCAAATTAGTAAAAACATCTTAATGGAGATTTTATTCTATCCGATTTTTAAGTGATAGATGTAAGAATCTTGTTCTGAGTGTGATGATTCACTGATCAACAAGCAATCTGGTCCAACAAGATTATTAGGCTCGAGAACATCATAAATAAGAAAAATAAATATTCTTGTCACGAGACTGATCGATTGAATTAAAAGTGAAGCAACAAAAAAACTACTAACAAGGTACAAGCGAGATTCTCAATGAACCTACTGAATGTCAAATTTTACCGAATTATCTTAGTGTGCGCGTTGAAACACTCGAGACAGTCTGGAACCAGTAACAGTCAGAACACTGAAAATATTTAACATTTTGGATGTATTGAACGTGTGCTTAAAACATTTCTGAAGTTTTATAAATTAAAATGTGTCACCTTCGCGAAGGGAGCTCCCACAGAGACTTGGAAATAAAATAACAGAAAGATGAAAAAAAAACTTCAACATTATTGCAAAGTTAATTAGTATTCGCATTAATTACAGCTGACGAAAACGGCAACAGAGAGAAGCCGTCAAATGACGACTGCTTGTCTCACATTTCAAATCAAATTCTAGAAAAAATATTTAACTGTGTTTGTATTTATGAGAGATAAGTTGCATTCCTTAGTGATCTCACGCTTCGATTGAATTGATAATTTTTTGATAATTGAATTCTCTGAATATGAAATCAAATCTAAGGAATGTTTCGGACATTGCTTAATTAAAAATCCAACATACGTTCACGATGAGAAACATAAATCTGAATCTGTCTTTTCCAATTTATCGAATTAATTAAATATTTATAAGTTTTTCTTTGTCTCTCATTTCCGAATTCGCCTACACATTTCCTGAACAGCATAAAGTTGAAATACATTTCACTCGTTCACAAATTGTCGGTAATCAATGCAAGTTGATGGCAGAATTTGTGGAGAAATGTTTCATCAACTTTCCCAGTTTGAAAAAAAAAGTTTAAAGTCAATTTGAAGATATTTAAGATTCATAAGCGTCATATGCTTATTCTGATTCTCGATTGCAAATTAATTTTTGTATAAAGAATTCACATCTTGTACTGAATTTAAAATTCTATGAATAATTCCTATTGGGATTGATGGAAAAAAGCGATCCTAATTATGCAGACACAAGTCTTGACATTCATTTCTGCACGAATGCTTTATGAATGAATTTATTGAATGATATCGTAAATGTAAGATAATTGCTGTGAAATTTCTTAATGAACGCGTTGAAACCACAACGAAGAGACTATTTAAGTGCTTCATACAACTTTCAATGTATAAATGCAAAAAGAGATTTGAAATGTAGGCTTGAGATCTTTAATGGCTACACACCTTCTTCGTAATCACATCATCAGATGTATGTTTAATAGAAATTATTTTAAATGAGGGAGAAATGCAATGAAATCTGAATAAAATATTAGATTGGTAATTGTAAAAAGTCATAAAACTTAATGTATTTAAGTTGTAAAACTTTATCATCATTTGCATTATGCAAATAATCAATTGCATATCTTTATTGAGCTTTAATTACTTAAAGCTTGATTGGTTTTTGAGTTACCTACAATTAAATGTTCTCCTCCGACTATTTATTTGTCCAATCAAAAACACTCGGAATGCAAAATTAAAAGCAATAAACGATTCGTTAGTGGAACATTTGCCTACATTCGATAAATAATTTATGCTTTAAATCCAATCCTCCAGCACAGTGACCAGTACTGTGTGTGAGTCACACACTCAAAAAGTCAGAACTGCGTCATACGAAACAGTCGCAAAAAACCAGATTTTGTTATTGGAGTCAAGCTGGCTGTGACTACAATTTGCTGAAAATGATCAAACGACGATTAAAAGTTGGAAAAAATAATGTCTAGAGAAGCTTATCTGTTCAAAACAAAGTAATGAAGCTGTAAGACGACACAAACATGACTAATCGCCAGTGATCTGATACTCTCCACTTCACAACTTCTCATCAATTCATCCGCGCACGACGTTGTTTCTTTTTTTGCTTCTTGCAAACATAATCCGATCGATGATCGAAGAAATATTGAGAGAATGAAATTCTATTAAGAATGGATATTCCAATAAGATCATAAGAGCGAGACAGAATTATATGAAAACCGATTTGAGAGTGGAAAAGAAAATCAATTCTCTGCCTCTCGTTCGTTATTCATTCAACATCGCTTTGTATGCTCACAAATTCATTCATTTTTTTCCTACAAACGATCAAAGCTTTTTTTTTTCTTCTCAGAGTCTTTATTTCTCAACAACTGTTGAGTTTACTTTTAAGTTTTGCTTCTTAAGTCAGTCAGTGTAGAGACGTCAAGACGATCGGTCAAGCTTAAAAGTTAGTCTCAAATCGGTGGAAGTGATATATTTGTCTCAAGTTTTTCTCAACAAGGTGATGATTTTTTCTGCTTCTGCTTTTATGCAGCAGCGTTCAATGTGAATTTCCATTTAAAAAAAATCTCCAAGTGATAGTCGATAATTGAAAATGAAAAATATTTGAGTGCAGGAAAATTTTTAATAATACAAAAATTTTGTTAAGATTGTTGCTGATGTAATTATCGGAGAATAGAAAAGCGCAATCCTAAACGATTCGATCACCATCGGGACGACGGTAGGGTAAAAAAAATTTACCTTAATCTTCTTCGTGCGATAGCTTATTGAAAATATATTCAAATGAAACGAAGAAATTAAAATTAAAATTAATGAATTTGCATTAATTAATAGCGGGACTTGACGCAAATGGAGATGGGATGAGAGTTGAAAATGATGAAGAGCCGAAAAAAAAGTCTCAGGCATCAAAATGATGATTAGAATAATTAAAATAGCGCCAGGTAGTAGGCATCGTGCCTTACTGATGGCAATTTTGAGGGAAATATCAAAGATTCTGATTCTTATCTCTTCTCTTAACTGTTTAATGATTTCGCTAATCTCGATAAACATTCTTACTTCATCGTCTATCCACAGTTAAAATATCTTCACTGCCTCCCTCTGTCAAAACAAAATCAACAGGTGGTATTCAAGCAGAATGGAAAATCATTCGATTTTCGTTGTTTCAATGAACATTTTCGTATTCTTTAAGAATGTTTTTATCATTAAGAAACTTTAATGATTTGGGAGGTGGATGAACAAGAGTGTGAAGTGTTGTGAAAAGCTGGCGCTAGCAACCGACGGTCAGGCATTCGTTTCATAAATTAATAAATTTTATTAAAATTCATTTCTTTTTTCTTTCGGTTCTCGCTTTTACCATTCAACGAAAAATTAACAAGAATCTTTATGTATCACCTCTTGAGTGCCTGCCTGTTCAGACATCGCCTGTCGTATCGCTTTAATTAAAATCGGCTGTGAAATAAATTTTCGAGATTGTAATGCGATATGTTCTTTGGATCGAGAAAGAAACACGGCGGCGTAAGATTCTTTGAAATTTTAGACGATGTGGTTGTAAATTTAGTAATTTTTTTTGTTGTTGCGAGAATGAGATTTGAAACGGCAAGTTTTTATCTGTGATTTACCTTGATTATGTTCTGACAATTTTTAGCGAATAGCACAATAAAGTTTTCAATAACTTTGCTGCTGCAATTCGACTTAATCTGCTGACATAAAATTGTGATTTTGCCTCGATTTTGATCGCACTCATGCAATAAACTTCACAGTAAAGTGGACGTCGTGGGCTTTTTAACACTACGAGGAGGAATCGAGTTAGTTTGCTTGCCTTAATACGCGTCGTTGCTTCGACACGGTGGCGGAATTGCGAAAGCAACGTTATGCTAATTCACAATGTCTGCTGGTCAATAAAAATCTTCTTGCATGAAGGTAGCACGATTTCCGTTGCTCTAGAACCTGATCGAAAAATTGCATCTCACTTTATTTATTTATTTATTTACAAAAATTAATTCAAGATTATTTGATCAGCCCCCAAGCGTCCGGTAAGAGAAATGGTAGGATGCAAATTTTAAATTAATTTCTGCAGTCTGCACATGGGTTGGACTTCCGTTTCTCATTTTATTTTCGTTTCAATATCTTTTTCCATCAATAAACGCCTCTCGTAGCCACATGAGAGTTGAAAACAAAAATACATCGCATGCAATTAAACCCACAGAAGTGCAATCCGTTAACTAATGTAAACATGAAAAACTCCGCCGTTCACGATGAAAACAAAACTGCAGAGAAATTTAATGAAAATTTCTTCCAGTTAAACATCTCATCTTATGCGAAAAAGCTTTTACAAAGTTGATCGAAATGAAAGCAATTCAATTGAAGTCAAAGTCACTAACAAGCTGTTCATTGTTTGGTGCCACTTTCGGTTCAGCGAACCATAAATCGATTGAACTGCGCATATAAAAAGTTTTTCACTATTTCAATAATGCTTTCGAAATGAGACTCTCATGTATATTTATGCTTACATTTGTATTTATGTGAACAGGAGCACAACTGAAACTAAACACGAGTAAAAAAGCGTCGGTAGCCAAAGTTGATATTATTTTTTCATCTCTCATTCGGCTTCCGATGCTGTTTGTTAAAAATTGTTGTTAAAATCAAACAAATGTTATCGAAACATTTATGCAGTGTTTACTGCTCGTGTTTATTTATTTTTGCTGATTCTCTTTTACTTCTCAGCTCTCCATCCTGTCGATCTCAGTCAGCAAGAGCGTCCGCGTGATTGAATTTATTGAATCGACAGCAACGACGAAATACGAACATAAATTTCTTCTAACTGTAGTTCATTTAGTGTTGTTTATACAAGTTGCTGCCAAATAAAGATGTTTTTCTGTATAGCTTTGTTTTCAATGGAAATATTGCGTTGGTGGACTTTAAGCGAATTTGTAACAAATTTCATTTTATCGTCAGCCGATCAAAGAGTTCAGCTTCCCATGAGAAAAATTTTAATCGAGTGCTGCGTAGCCAAAATTCGTTTCTCTCTGTGTTGGTCCATACGATCCGTAGACAAGCTTAAACGACCCATTTATCTTTATGAATTAGGAAGCGATTGTTGTTCGTGAATGACTACAAGCATGAGTCACAGCGTGCGGCATAAGCTTCTTTTGAAATCGATATTTTGTTTTTTTCGGGCATTGGAGATGTTTTTGGAAATTTGGTTTCAATTTTCGTTTTATTTATAAAACAGAAGATTATTTTGAAGTCAATTTCGCTTCTTACAAATCAATATCACAACAACGACTTTCGCTTTATTTTCTGCCGTCAATGGGCATTGCGAGATATGAGTTTTCCTTTTAATTTGATTCATTGAATGTTTACGTCTTTTGAAATAAATTTCAAAAGCTTTAAATCATTTGGCCTGTTTTTCTCTCTCACTCTTCTTTTTTTGACTTTTTTATCAGATTTTGTTTAACATGTAATTTTTTTTTTCATTTTTTATCCGAGCTCATAATTCACCAAGAAAACAATGCCGACAGGCGAATTTAAACAAGCCAATGATTCTTGTAATACAAGTCGAGAAAATGGAATCACTTGCGTGCGTGTATTCACATCTTTCCCTCTCACTCTCTTCTATTTCAAGGAAATTAAAGCAGACTTCCGATTCAACAGAAGAAATAAATGTTTTGCTATTTTAATTGTTGTCTAACGCGTCATGTCCTAGAAAAGCAAAGTCTAGCGAGTGCAATATTGAAAAATAAATTTTAGATGAGATGAAAGTCTGAAATCAGCTTCGATTAAACGAAAGAAAAGAAAGAAATTCGAGCATAATTGAAGATCTTAAAGCAGCTTCAAGTCTATTGGGAAATTTCGAAAATAGATTTTCGACTTTTCTATTTTCCATTTGATTTATATTATTTGCATAGTTACCAACGTTCATTTGTTAATACTAATTGATGAACTTAATAATGATTCATGATAGGAAAATTTCTTTCTCTTATATTTGTGATGATGAAATTCAATTTTTGTGTCATTTAATCTCATTCAAGTTTAATCTACGACTTCGTTTGTGGATTTATGATGGATTACCAATTAGCATAAAGTTATTTATTATCCTTGATCATAAATAAATATCTGTTATTAATGCTATTGAATTTCCGGAAAGAATTGATATCTAACTGTTAACATGGAAAATATATAATTATAAATTCAAAGCGACTCAATCAGAAGCAATCATAATAAATGTGGATAAGCTTAAGTTATTGGTCGAAGCGAGTTCGTCTTCAGTGTCTGATCTTTGAGTTGATTAATATTTATGATGAAGATCGAAGAGAGAGAGGAAAAAAATAAAACCACAAACAGAATTCATCCAAACACAAGGAACGAGTGAAAATATTTCCGATATGCGGATATTTATCATTTCCAACTTAATAAGATGAAATGTAAATTCTATCAGTTCTTCTCGTGTTTATTTAAATTTCGTTTGATGTTTATTTCGGCAGACTAGGGAGTTCAATTCATTGATAAAAATCTCAGAAAGGAATATTTTTGCAAACAAAATTTATTCGCATGACATTGGAAGTGTTTTTTTTCGCCATAAAATTAGTCAAAGTTGGGATGACTGAACGAGTTGAAAGAATTTTTTATCAATAATGAATTCAATAAACTGAATTCAGCTTAGCCTAAACATATGTTTCAATTAATTGAAACTGCCGACTAAAACATTGATGGAAGTCGTGACGAGAGATCTTAAGCACTTTTAATCCCATCAAGCAGCCACGAGAAACCAGATTTCTTCGGCTATTTTTGAGCACATTGAAAAAGAATTCATTTAATTCATTTTGTTTTTAAGGGAGCTTAGTCTGTTTGATATCCTGATTTTTATATTTTTTCAATCTGAATCAACAATTTCCATGTTTTTGACACTCTTGCTTGCTGTTTATGAAATAAGTTCACTTGAAATCTACGAATGTAACTTGCAATTAAGTTTTTTCTCATTGCATGACTCACAAACTCTGACTTGATCACAGTCGTCAATAATTAATGAAATATTTCAATAACATCCGTTTTATATAACAATTTTGCTTTAATTACTTCAACTTGATCTAGGAAATTGAATGATAAATTATCATCAATCTATCATTTTAATTTAATTCTTCATTTAACTTACAAAGTATAAAAATTTAGTTCCCTGATTTGTAAATTTTCCATTCATTTTCAACGTTCACCGAACTAATGATGAAAAGTTATAAAAAATAAGAATAAAGGAATTTGAATAAGTCACAAATTTTCCAGATTTAGTAAAAAGCAAAGGTTTGTGGTTCGATTTTTGTGACAAGAAGAGGAAGAAGAGAAAACTAAAGTTTGAGAAGATTAATACAATCATTGAAGATTTTTTATATTTCTCATTTTATATTTGCGGCTGGCGGATATTCAACCAATAAGATAAAAATTTCCTTTAAAATGTCGAACCCAAAAGGCTCATTTCTAAGAAGAGAGTCGTAAAGCTAGGGAATAAAACTTACGCTTAGCTTTTATTATCTCTCATGATTTCTATCCTTTAATTCGATTCTTAAAGTTGAATTCTTCGTGGAAATGTTTATGAAGTAACAAAACTGACGAAAACTCCCAAAACAATCAAAGTAAAAACTCCAAAATAAACTTAACAGATGACATATTGTTTTATGAAGATTGGATGTTCAAACATCCTTCAATTTAAACTAGTCCTCGAGCAATAACTTCCCGGTTGGGTCGTAAACGTTTCTACCTATCACAACAATTTGAAAGTCAACATAAACATGAAGTGTTTCTTGATCTTTTTTCCTTCTTCGTTTGCTTTTCAAATTGAAAGAGCAGAAAGAATTGCTATCTAACAAATTCAATCTTTATGAGTTTTGTTAAGCGATTGGCGCCGCTTAATAAAACGAACAAACGAACGAACGAACGTAGAAAGATGAGCGAAGAAGAATTTTTGAGTGGCACGAGGTGGATTTAAAGCAACAAAGAAACGAAGTAACGATTCTTGCTGTCTTTGATGATTATTTTATATTAATTGTAGCTTACAAATTACTTCATTAAAGTTAGTTTCACAGTAGCTCGTGACATTGGAAATATCAAATTTGTTCTGTTTTTGACAACAGGATCATAAGAAGGTTTAATATCATTAACACATAGTTTAAATTCAGTAAACAAATATCATTAATGTTGACAACATCAACACAAAAGAGTCAACTAATATCTTGATTATAATAAATTTGTTATCGTCTCACGTTAGTTGATATTCTATCGAAAACAATTCTATTGAAATTGCGTAAATATTCACAATTTGTCACAGAAATAAAAAAAATTCCATTCAGAAATTTAAGAAAAATATTTACGACCTCACGATACGAAAATCGCATTCAAATGAGGCTTTTACGCAAGCACTGATAGTTCTTAGAATTTATGGAACTGAACATTCAATCAAGTTAAAAATATTTATTTAAATGCTTCTCGAAAGTCATAAAAATGTTTTCTTTATTAAAGGAAATTATTGTTATTGCCGTTTGATAGACTTTTAACAATTCATCCTAACGAGTTTCTTTCTTCCATTCTAGCTAAACTAAATTCATCAATCGTCGGAAAGTGTTAATACTTTGAACTTTCGAGATTTGTGAACATGCATAAAATAACTGAGAATGGATGAACATTCTTTATTGAAGGACATTAAACAAGAAAGCTTTCAATTGGACAATCTAATTAATATGTAATCAAAATTTAGTTAATTACATGGAAAATTTAATTGAGCAAATTTTATTAAAAAGCAAAAAGAAGTGAAATCAAAGAAAAATAAAAAAAAGAGAAGAGAATTCAGCGGTTTAAGAAAGAAAGGGAACCACAACAATGTTATTTATTTCCGTCTGCATAATTAAATTATTTCTCATCGCAACGTTGGCGAGTGGAGCCATCGAGCATAGGGGTAAGTGAATGAATGGTGTTAGTTTTATGTTCCATAGTTTATGGTTTTCTTCTGAAAATTCTTTTTCGCCTTAAGAATCATCAATTGCTAGCACGCTCTGTCTGAAAGTCGTAAATCTTTAATGGGATTATTTATATTTCAATTACACGTTAACTAAGTACCAGCCATAAAGAAACGTTACAATATTTAATGTTTATGCACATATATTTTTAAGTAAATATCTTCTGCTTATGATAACAGAAATTTACTTAAATTTTATTCAATTTTAGATTCTAAAATTTTCTCAACATTCCATATTTGAAAATAAATATTTTCCCTCACTTTAAAACTTTCTTTCATTCTTATTCAAATTCGAAATGAAATTCATGTTGATGTAACGAAAGCAATTTATGTTAAGAGAGTTAAATTTAAACTTCATTGATAATATTTCAAAGATGAACGTCACAATTATTTAATGATTAAATTTCTGTTTTCATTTTTGATCAATTCTCCCAATATTTTGTTTTTAAAAAAGACATAAATAATTAACAATCAATGCAAATAATGTTTGAATAACGAATTATTTATAAATAATTCATTGGACTGTAAGAAATATTTTATACCAATCTACAATATTTGCATAAAAGTTGACAATGTAGATATGTAGCATGTTTTTTATTGCTACGTTATCTTAATTAATCTAACACCTAAGATGAATTAGTTATTTATTCTGAAAAGGTTTTCGAATTTGCGGATAAGTCAATTTATTGTTCATATGTACATTCCACTCCATAAATCAGCGTGAGACGAGCGGTTTTGCTAGCTTTGTTGATTGGTTGATTCACTTGAATTAAAATGATTTCCTTTCAATGAATTAAGTAGTTATCGAGAGAATTTATTTTCCGTTTCGTTCACTTTTATTGTTGCTAAACAACAATTTGTAATCGTTCAATACACATTCTAGGAATTTTTTCGAATAGTCTTCGCGAGGCCAATTTAATTATTCCGCGAAAAGTGAACAACGAAGGCGATTTTATTTCGCATGACTTAGTTCATCACCACGCACATGACTATTACAATGAAGAAACAGGAGATTCAGAGGATCACAAAGTTCATTATCATATTGACCTTCACAATGAAACTCTTCACCTCGAGTTAGAGTAAGTAAAATGAAATCGAAAAATCTTTTTTTCCTAACTTCACCTAAATCGATACAGGCCATCAACAAGCTTCGTTGCACCCATGATGATTGTGGAGCGTCACAAACGTGATCTCCGAGAACGCCATAAAAAGTCTCATCATAAAACGCAGTGCCATTATCACGGTAAAATTCGCGGCCATCAGCACTCCAAAGTAGCATTATCCACTTGCAATGGACTGGTAAGCTAAAAATAAACTCCAAAAATCAAATTTAATAATTTATTTACCCAAAATCATTTCCACTTAAAACTTGAGTTATCAAAACATTTCAAATTAGCGCCATTAAATGTTTATGGCCATTAAACTAATTAGTTATTTTTAATTATGCAAACTTAAAGGTGACCACAAGTTGCGCTTGTTGGTTTTCTTCGTAAGAAGAAGAATCCAAATAAAAAAAATTCCCCGTCTTAAAAGTTAGTGAATGACACAAACAGCACAGCTACATTTACCAATAAACTGCATAGAAACTGCACAATCTGAGCAATTAAACTCACCTTGATTGACGGGTGGCGCCAGTATAAAAAACAAACGGCCGTGTCGCCATCGTATTTTTAATGGACTTGCTTTTAATTTCATGCGACTACGCGAGAAACTATCAGCTAAAAACTTAAAAAAAAGAATTCTTTACTTTTAAGACATGCGAACCATCATTTGACATTTTAATTGATACTGATTAATATTAAAATCTTTTAAATCCTCTTAAGCATCATTCACCAAAGCAGGTTGTTTATGAGTTCATCACTGTAATATTTTCCAATTAAATATTGAAGATTCGATAAAATATATTTCATTAGCTCGAATAATCTCCATGTCGTTTGTTTTCATTCCTTTTTTTTTCTTTATCATAACATTAGGCTGGCTACGTTCGTACGAACAAGAATGAATATCTCATCGAGCCATCAAGAAATCACAAAGTTTCAAACAATGGACATCCACATGTTGTCTTCCATCGCTCAGCCGTTAAAAACAATCACGAATCTGATAAAAAAGGAGCCCAAAAGAGACGAAAGAAGAGAAGAAAACGTCGCCATCACAGTAACTGTGGCACCAGGGAGCCAAGACGATCAGCAGACACAAAAATCGAGTGGCAAGCACAAGGAAAGGTAAATCTCTTTCCAAGAATATTGCACAGAATATTTATGACCCCCTAAAAAGATTTCGAAGGCAAAGAAACTGTTGCATTTAGAGATGTCATGCTGGTGGCAAAAGTTTTTATTTTGATGATATTTTTAATACCTCTTAGTTGCTTGAAACTCTATGCCACAATTCCTATGTCCATGAAGTTTTGAATTGCACATTTAAATGTAAACATCTGCATAAACAATTTTTTTCTGCACTCTCAACTTCTTTTTTCTCACCTAAAATATTTGCTAGTTTTGTCGAATAAGAAAACAAATTTCCAAAGAGCTTTATTATAGGTTATCGTTCAAGGTGGCCGAAGGGTAAGAAATCATCGTGAAAGAGAACGTGAACGTGAGCGTGAAAGGAAGCATCACAACAAGAGGCGTGTTACACGTTCCGTGATAAAGCCGAGACACGTTGAAGCACTTGTTGTTGCTGATCCATCAATGATGCAATTTCATGAAGGTGGCGATGTCGAGACATATTTGTTGACCATTATGAATATGGTTTCGTCACTCTACAAAGACCCAACGATCGGAAATTCAGTTCACGTTGTGGTTGTTAAGATAATTCTGTTGGAAGAAGAGGATGCCTACCAAGATTTGAATGTTACTCAAGTTGCCACTGCAACGCTTGAAAGTTTTTGCAGGTAAAACCACACGAAAGATTTTGCTTAGTTTTGCATTTTATTTATTCAAAACATAAATTAGATGGCAACGCACATTGAATCCCAAACAAGACGATGATCCACAACACCATGACGTCGCAATTCTCGTCACCAGACAAAATATTTGTTCAAACGCGGGTTGTGCCACACTGGGAATTGCAAATGTTGGTGGCATGTGTCGAGCCGATAAATCGTGTAGTGTTAATGAAGACAATGGCATAACTTTGGCACATACGATAACACACGAATTGGGTCACAAGTAAGTGCATTTGAGAACTCACGAATTGCAAACATTTTAATCGACATTTTGTCAACGATTTAAGTAAGAAATTTATGTCTAAAATCTGAGTACATTAATCACCATCACGCTATCCAATTTTGCATAATGATGCATTCAATGACTTGTTAAGTAGTTTTTCACGTCTTGAAAACTTTTAAGTCTTATGATTCAAGTAAACTGTTTGCTAATCCACTGAAACTTTAGTAAACACACAATCGCTGTGTTTGAAAAACTTTTCCATAACCGAACGATAAACTTGAACTTCAATATTGTTCTTAAGAGAAAAAATAAACTAGAACGAGTTGTTAAGTTTCAATCACTGCGATTGACTAGATTAAGATAAGATTAAATAAATTTATTTGCCTCGGAATATTGATTAACAATTAAAAACGTGTCACGTTTCATAATCGTTTTCAAAATATTCCCAACAGCTTTGGCATGTACCATGACACAGCAAAAACAGGATGTGACCATCGTAGTGGTCCAATTTTGCATATCATGACGCCAAGTTTTGAAGCGGATACGGTTCAAGTTTCATGGTCCAATTGTAGTCGTCGTGACATCACACATTTTCTAGAGTAAGTTTTGGAATTAAATATTTAAAAGTTTGTCACTTATTTGTTTTGCTTTCTTAGTCAAGGCTTAGGGAAATGTCTGGAAGATCCACCAACACCTTTAGAAGAATATCAATACCCAGAACTTCCTGCTGGTGCCATGTACAATGCAGATCTACAATGTAGATTACAATTCAACGCAACTGATGAAGACATGAAGGTGTGTTCGCAACTTGACGAAATTTGTTCGCAGCTGTGGTGTTTGCTTAACGGAACTTGTACAACTTTGTTGAGACCAGCTGCGCCAGGCACTCATTGTGCGAGACATAAAGTAATATCATAAATTGTACTTACAATTGTGCTTATAACATTAATTTATTAAATCTCTTAGTGGTGTCAAGATCAGAAATGTGTCGATATTGAAGATCTTCCAGCTCCAGTTGATGGTGGTTGGGGAAACTGGTCGGAATGGGGACAATGTTCAAGAGCATGTGGTGCTGGTGTGTCATTACAAACAAGAGAATGTGATCACCCAACACCAGTTCATGGTGGCTCATTTTGCATTGGCGAACGAGCGAGATATAAAACTTGTAACATTGATCCTTGCCCTGCTGATGAATCATCATTCAGAGCTCAACAATGTTCGAAACAAAATAGCAAACCAATCAAAGGACAACTTTATAATTGGTCGCCATTTCTTGACACTCATGATCCTTGTAAACTTTATTGCACTGATCAAGACGACACTTTGATTCATGCTTTTGATGCTGCTGAAGATGGAACTTCTTGCAATACTGGCACTAATGATATGTGCATTGGGGGAATCTGCAAAGTAAGTTTCATCACATTCAATGAAATTTAATTCATTTCTCTTAACTTTTAATAGAAAGTTGGATGTGATTGGATTGTCGGATCAAATACAACAGAAGATCAATGTGGAATCTGTGGAGGTGACGGTTCAACTTGCAGCACTATTAAAGGAGAATTTACGAAGAAGATTAACATGTCTGAAGGATATTACGAGATAACTTTAATTCCATCTGGATCACGTCATATAATAATTGAAGAAATGGGACCATCGAAGAATTTTATTGGCATTGGAAAAGCTGATTCGAAGGATTTCTATTTAAATGGTGACAGATTAATTTCAATGTCTGGTGAATATGACATCGCTGGTTCAGTTGGATTATATGAAAGAGAAAGTGAACAAGAGAAACTGAAAATCCCGGGGCCAATTAAAGAAGATATTTCACTTTATGTAAGAACTTTTAATGAAAATTCAATCGGAAAATTTTCTAACATTTTCCTCTCTTCTACAGATCGTTTTCAAAGGCAAACATAAGAATCTCGGTGTTCAATATGAATACACGCTTCCATCAAACTCAACTAATGACAAAACATATCATTGGAAACTTTCCGACTTCACACCTTGCACAAAAACTTGCGGGGGTGGAGTCCAACAGAGATTTCCTGTCTGTTACAAAAGATACGAAGGAATTGTCGAAGAAGAATTGTGCTGGAAGAATGCTGAAAACAAAAGGCCTGAAAAGATATCAAGGACATGTAATGACGAGCCTTGCTCTGCTTATTGGTGGGTTGGTCCATGGCAACCATGTCCCGTAACATGTCAACGAATAAGTAAATTGATTGATTGAGTGATAACATTGCCTTTATTAATTAATTTATTTCTTACACTTAGCTGACATTCACAAGCCATTAAAAAAGCGAACAATTCTTTGTGTAGATCAAAATGAATACGCTTTGCCTTCAGAACAATGTCAAGATCAAACACGTCCAAGTGACTATGAACCGTGCAGTTTAATTTTGCCTCCATGCAGTTTAGATGATAACATTTTAAATAACTCTGACTTTAGTGATAATGAAATCCCTGATACCATTTAAAATATCTTTTATTTAACTAACATTAATAGTAAGAAAGATAAGAAGAATTAATTTTTTTATTCAATGAAAGCTTTTTGCAATTTAAGTCACAGTTTATTTAAAATTATATTTCAATTGGAATGAAAGATTTTTGTGACGTCGGGAAGATTTGAAATTATCTACAATGTCTGTGAGTGACAACGAAATGGAATTAACCTTTGAGAAGTGTCATGGCGTGAAAGGTAAATTTCCCTACATCAAAAATGAATGATTTTAATCATAAATAAACTTTCTTTGTTATCAATAATTATCTATATTTGTATCAGAGAACATTAAGTTGTATGTTTTAATATGTGTCACTGTCAAAGTGATAGAGAATACAAAATTGATTAAAGTTTAGCTTAACGTACTTAATTAAAACAATATTTCATTCTACGCATATATTTTTGTCACATTTAAGCGGGTCATAAATCCCAGATTATTGTCATTATCGTAAAACATAAAGTGATAACATCAAACGTCGCTTCTTTCCCTTATTCAATTGAATGAGATTTCTCGCCGTCGTTTCCCTGAATTTCTTCTTTTCTCGATGTTTGACATTTAAATAGTTTGACACATGGAGTGCAAACACCGCAAATAATTCCAGCAAAGATTGTAGTCAAGCGAATTGTTTCGCTCAAGAAAGTGTAAAGGAAAGGATTGAGCATGCAATTGGCCATCACGACGATACCAAGCGCATAATTTACAACCCAAAAAAAGTTGTCTTGTACGATATTGCCCAATTTGTAGAGAGTATAAATCCAATTCGGCAGACGACAGACGAAAAATACTGCCATTAACACAAGTATCACTTTGAACATTCTCACTTGACGTTGCCTTCTTTCTGCTCGACGAGCTGATATTTCGGGCGAAACATAAGCGTCTTGTGCTCTCAATCCAGGAGTTGCTTGAGATGTTGAAGTGTTCTCCGCTTCACTGATGCTTGAAGCAACGTCAATTCGACGCTTCCAAACTTCCTTCGCCAACACAGAATTCAGCCAAAGGAACGTGATGAGAAGTGGGGCGAAGATGAAAGAGAAAATAATCGCAAAGAAGTATCCATTTTCAGCCTGGAATTTTTCAATCAATTACATTCTTCACCTGCAATCAAAGTCTAAAAATATTTCCTTACTTTGTCACTTCCACATAAGTATTGAACATAATACGTCAGCTGTGGATTTTCATCGTCGGGCTCAGGTAACGGAACAATATATATTTTAAGGTAATCGTAGATTGATAGCAAAGGACTTGAAACTCCCGCAGAAAATCCCCAAATGATAATACAACAAGTGATGGTGAACAGTTTACTCGGTTCCCATGATCCTTTAATGACTCTCACAACGGCCATATACCGGTCAAGTGCGATACAAACCAAGAGTATGCTGTTGACAAGAACAGCCAGTGTTTGAAAGAATGGGAGGAATGAACAAGCTGCCGGTCCCAATATCTTTAAAAAAGATTTCATGTGAGAATTTCTGAGAAGGTTGAGAAATTTTCTTACCCAAACAGCAGAATTTGCAGTGCTAAACTTGGAGAGATAAATACAGGAAGTGACAGCCACGAAAATCAAATCACTTATAGCAAGTGAAATTAAACATGCTCTGAATAAAAACCGCTGCTTCCTGTCAAATGTCTCGCTTTATTAATGCCACAAAACAGGGAAGAAGTTCATTACAAACCTTGAAATGTTGACATACAATACAAGAGAGTTCCCCACAACTGACACAAATGCGACGAGAATTGTCAGAGTTAGAAATATTAGCCTTTGAATATCAGTGAGTGGTTGAACTGCTGTCTCCCAAACCACAACGATATCAGTGTCTTCATAATCCCCATACTCGTCATCCGCATTTACCCTACTGATGATGGTGTTCTCTTCAAGTGGAATATTAATCCAGTACTCAACATTATTTAACATCAATAAATTGCTCTTATAGCTCATTTTGTTTTCACTTGTCACGACAAAACTTCAACAACGAGTGAAAGCTTGGCAAACGACGCGTCAACATTAAATATCATTTTGTTCGATACGGTTTAGTTGTGAAGCACCAAAACATTGATAAGCGCGACATGAGAAATAATTAAAATAATCGATTTTTGTGTTACGAACGCCGCTAATCAACACAGCATGGTACGTTCAGCAAATGCTTCTGGTTTTCATTAAATCTTCTTTTCTGCTTTTATCATTCATTCTATCTGGTCAACCAACTGACAGATAATTAATCACGTGTCGTAATCAAGATTAAAGAATGAAGCCAAGAAAAGATTTAGAAGGAAAATGGATTAAAGTTTGAAATGTTTTATGTTGTAGCATGTTGCACATTAATTATAGTGCATGTGAACAAGCGTTAATGTAACTTGTACAAGCCTTTTATACATGAGATTTATATCTAAATGAATAAATTTGGCTGACACCTCAATTGTTTTATGATGTATGCACGAACAATTTATGTGGAAGCAGTTAGAGAGATTTTCGGTCATAATTTCTGTTCATAATCCGAAGCATGTTCATTGATAAATAAATCAGAAAGGCAAGCACACCCTTGATAACAACAACATGTAAATCGCTGTTACTTTAATTAAATTCCAGATTTGTTCATTGCTAATCACTGATTGCTGATTGGATTGTTGGAAATCAAATATTCGCAGCTATTTTAAATATAAAAGGGAAACTTAATGATGGAAATTCATTTAAATAAAGATTAAACCTTCAACGATTGTGGTGTGGATTATTCAGTGTTGAAAATAATTTATAGAAGTTCAACAGCAAACCATTTAAACCATCGTCATTTCTAACTACAGCCATTACCAGAAAATAATGAGCGAGAATTTCAATCGAGAATATCGAACAGAAATGCAAATTGAGAATGATGCACCGCAGACGAATATCGTGTGGGAACATTTACTGAAGAATTTAAGTTTAGTTGAGAGGATGACGTTTCTAACGCTCATCTGTTTGGTTACCGCAATAGCATTGATTGGAAATATCCTTACGATTTATGTTGTTCTCACGAGGTGAAATTATTTATGATTCTCATGCATCGTCTCTGAATTTTAAAATAATGAAATTTCATAGAAAGCAGCGTTTGTTGTTCAAGACGTGTTTGCTATCGTTAACGATTAGTGATTTGTTATATGTGCTTGCAAGTGGAACATCTTTTATCTCCAAACTTTCAAGAGAAAATTTGCCACTTTGGGTAAGTGTTGAAGTGAGAATTTATGAACATAAAGTAAACAATCTTGTGATGTTCCTTAAGACTTTGGGATCGTTTGGATGCACAGCAATTCCATTTGCTCAAACACTTTCGGTTCTGGTTGGAAGCATGTCATTAGTTATCATCGCCTTCGATAGATATTTGGCAGTCATGAATAAATCTGAGGCGAGAATCTTACAAAAACGAACGACTTGCATTATTGGATTTTGTGTTGTGTGGTTTATTGGATGTGCTACCAGCAGCCCAACTCTCTTTGCTTATGAAATCGTTCCAACGATTGTTGTGCCTTTTTACCATCAAGATGATTTCTTCGAAGCTTATTATTGTTGGACTGACATCGTAAGTTGCAACTTGTAATTTTTCATCTTTTCAAATTCATTTTTCTCAATCCAACCAGGATGAATCTGCAAATTATTACATCATTGTATTCACATTTATTTTTGCTCCAATTTTCATTGCTTTTCTTTGGCTCAACACGATAATTGCGAGGGAAATATGGAAACGTCGTCATGCGCCGGGCTTTCAAAGTCAACCGAAATCGAAAAAAGCTGACGAAAATTCATCAACTGAAGAAATGAAAGCTACTGACGAAACAAACACAAGTTCGAATGTCCGCAAAAATTCCACAAAAATCTCCACAAAAGAATCAAAAAATTCTGCTGTCTCATCAAAACCATCGCCTTTCATAATTCAACCTCCATCAACTCCAGTTAACAACGAGACTCGTCGCAATGAACGGCAACGACGACAAATGAGAATGTTCAAAGCTGTTCTCGTCCTTATGTCAGTCTTCATCATGTGTCGTCTGCCAAATCAGATTTTCCTTCTCTATAAACTCAACAACGAAATAGATGGTCGACTTAACTGGCTACTTTATTACAGCTTCGGTTTAACGGGCCTTCTTAATTGCATGCTTAATCCCATGCTTTACACGTTTCTAAGCGAAACCATTCGCATTACATCTCACGTCGCCAGCTTTTGCTATAAATTCTGTAAAATATGTCGACGCACAAAAAAAACTTCGTCTCATTATGCAAACAACCAGACGATGTTGTTTGCAGTAAATATTCCGAGAAAAAGCGATGGGGGTATTTATTTGGGATCGTAATTTGGCGGATGTTTTTCAATTTTCAATTCTATATGTACAAAACAAAAAAGAAAATTTTGAGGGGATTGAATGTGTGGGTGGTGATGAAAGCAGCATGAGAAGCATACATCGAACGGAAATGAATGATACTTAACAACATCGCTGACAACTGAATGAATAAACAGACAAATTATAATTTTTTTAACTCTTTTATTTATTAAAGAAATAATAAAGTGAATGTTAAACTTAGTTTTGGCTTTAACAATATTGCGGTTATTGTTATCGTTGGAAGCTTTTACAGAACTTTGTTTTTTGGCATCGAAGATTGTTCAAAACTTTTTCTTCTTTCGACACTATCGTGTCTAATACTCATCATTAGAATCTCGTATTATCGGGCATCTTAACAAAATAAGCAATTTTGTCGTCTGGCACACGATAATTATGAATCCATCGACTACCTTTACGTAACGAACCATCGACGCCATCTTTCCAAACGCCTTGCGGTAAATAAACTGAAAATGAGAATTTCTTTTAATTTCTTTTCGTCATGAAAAGTTAAATTAACTTTTTCTCTTACCTTCACGGATCGTTTTTTGTCGTTCGAGAATGGGTGCAACGATAAGTTGTTCACCAACAGAAAACTCGTCAACGACATTCAGACAAGCGACATCATGTGGATCCAACATCCACAATGGACGAACTAATGGCAAACCTTCATTCATTGCATCGCTTAAATATTTTTTCAGTATTGGAGTGACAGTTTTTTGTCGAATCGCTGACAACTCTTTCGCAATTTCTGTGACTCTCTCGTCTTTGTAATCAGATGGGAGATGAGTAAAGCGAAGCACTGGTAAGAACGTTGCTAATTGAAGCCAACGAATGTAAAGTTCTTTTTCTGGTAATGAAGTCATCTCTTGGATGGTTCCATTTGCGAAATCGATGTAATCACCTCCAACAGCACCTGACATGATGAACGGGTAACCAATGATGCCATAGTTGAGTGCACTCGTTATGACCATTTGCAATCCCTCCCAACTTGAATTCACTTTCGGAAGATTCAGAAAAGCTGGCGGTCGTGGAACAGAAATAGCACCAGACACACCAAGAAGATTCATTGACTCTGAAATGCGATTCATGAAGATTGTTTTGTAATGGTCTGGATTGAGAAGTGGTGATTGACATTCATAGAATCGCGGCATATCGTAAGCTGATCCAAATTCGAGATAAAATGAATCAACCAAATATTTCTTGACAGTTTTGTCAATTTTATGCAAAAGCCATGGAATTGTTTCATTGTTTGTTGGATCTAAAACACCGACACTTGGTGCATTCTTAAATTTTGTCAATGCTGGAATTGTTTTCGCTGTTGATCTCTCATACACCAAAAGTCTTTTGTTTAACAACTCAATAAAGTTTTTGCTTTCAGTTGACACGAAAGGTTGAATTGTTAAGGAAATTCGAAAGCCTCGTCGATGTAGAACGTTGATGGTGTCATTCAACGCTTTGAATCTTTCTTCGTCCATCTCGTAGTCACCGACAAAATGCTGCCATTGTTCGTTAATTAGAATGTGACCTAATCGGAAGTAGCCTAGGGCAATGACACTGTCTGTAAAGTTCGAAATAGAAACGTCAGTCAAGCTTCTTCCCGTCACTTCCCACACTGGCTCATCAAACATCGTTTTAATGACATTGATGTCAAGCTCCTTCAACCCATCCCAAAGATTCTTTTGCGTTAAATTGTGATGAAGAATTTTCATGTCGCTCGCGGTACAAATGCGATATTTTAACGCTGTTGTCGGTGTTGGACGATTGATGAAGGCAAAATTATCGTGCTGAGCTTTTAAACAGAATTGCGATGGATATTCTTCGTTGATTGAAATGTGAAGTGGAGTAGCTTCATCTACTTCAAGTGCGACACCGTGAGAGTTGATAAAATAACGACGAACGGCATTACTCCATTGATTAAATCTTTTTTTTTATATGGAGAGAAATGTTTTGAAAGTTAATTAATTAATTTAGTAACGCTGACAAATCAATTAATCGAATTATTGTCACCTGATGTCACCAGAAATGAACGACGCGAAACTGAAAGTTGCTCGATCCAACTGCCAATCAGCATCTCTCGTCAACCCACCACCATACCATTGGCCACGTTCTTCTCCGATGTTAAAGCAATCAATCGGTTCAAAATTCTCATCAATTGACTCCCAACGAAACGTGTAGCATCTTGTGCTTGGCATTTCATCGCTGCTCACACCTGTGAACTTTGAATCAAGATTCACGTAGAGTTTCGCTTGTCTCGTCCATTCCCAACAGAAGCTTCCGTCTTTCGGTTTATCTTTGCACGAGAACGGCTTGCTATCGAAAAGCGGCACGCCGAGATTTCCACTAAGCACGTTCCTCTCTTTGGCATCTAAAATATGTAAAAGTCGATCAACGCCGTTGAACTTAATGTGATCGAAATAGAGACGAGATGTGACTTTGCGATTGTACATTATGTAAGCATAACCGACCTTCAAGCAAAAAAATTCAGATAATTTAGTCAGAATTTTAAATTGATTGCACGAATATTTATGAAAACAAAGGAAGATTGTTCACGTACTAGAAAGACAATGACGAGGAAAAGAAATGCTGTGAATGCTCGCAACTTATAATCCTTTGGCTTTTTACGTTTTCTAATCATCGCTGGCAATGACTGCGAAAAGAATTTAAGCAAATGAAAATATTTGTATAAATAAATTAAATTTAAAATTGAATGAATATAAATTCAAGAATCTATTGCTGTAAATAATCCGACTTACTTGTATTTTCTCCTTCAGAAGACTCGCAAGCGAATTGACGCTGGTGATTGACTGTGCATTGCTATTCACACTCTGAGCATCATACTCAGCATTCACCATGATTTCTCCGTTGACGCGAATTGCAGGGAGTGGATTGATAGAATTGCGGCGCTTTGAACGAAACTTCTTCCTAAAGAAAGAGATAAAAGAAATACTCGAGTGTGAGAGAATGAAAATTTCTTATTTATTCATAATGTGATTGAAACAAATTGGGCGACGTTGCCAAACTTTCAAGAATTATAAAAGAAGAAAAAAAAACCTTTTTTATCATTGTGCAAGAAACTTCAACGTGAAAGTCGTCTAGAAAAATTATTTACTTCCGTCAGATGAGTTATTTTGTTTGATAAGTTCACACAACACCAGAAGAAATCAATATTTATGTTATTTTCCAACATAAAGTTTCATTTGACGATGCGAAACAATTGTCGAAGAAAATCTACACCATGTGACTGTTGATTGTGCTTACGACTAAACAACAATCAGAAAGTAATTATCACAATGCAAACAATCGGAAAACACTTTCAACAAGATTTTAATTAGCGGCATGTTGTTCAAATACCTACAGGCACACAAGACAACTTTCAGTGAATGAAAACGAGAAGAAAAAAGTTAATTAAATTTTCAAATGAAGCGACGTTCCTTTAAACTGATCTCAAAGCTGGAATGGAATGACCTGAACTAAGCAAACAAATATTCACAAAGCGTGCTTTGCTGTGCACTCATCGTTGCTGCTGATGATGAGAGAAATAGAGTGAGGGAGAGAGAGAGAGAGAGAAGGTCGAATAAGCTGGAAATGTGTGTTGCGACGCAAACATCAAATGTTGATGACATACAGATAAAAGTGATAATAATAGATCTAGGCACCGATAGCTTTGTTATACTTTTTACCCATCAACTTCATAATAGGAAGAATCTGAATCATCGCTATAATCTTCAACAATTTCTACTGTTGGGTTAATTTGTTCCATGATGTGCACTCTGGCATTGGTTTTATTTTACTGATAATTGTTGAATGGAAATATTCGAAAATTATTTTTATCGGAACGATTGATAAGCAGTTAATGGTAGATCAATTATAAAGTGATTTTCTGTTATCAAAGTTAGTTTTAAAACCAGTAATGTTAACTGTAGCGTTACTCACCTAAACATTGGTTCTTCTTCAGGAGTTATTGGTGCTTCAGTCTCTATATCCGCAAGGCTACAAGCCATTGATTCTCCCGTCTCATCAAGAACCTGAAAAAGACATTAAAAGTCAAAATTAAACTTCTTCTTGTTCAAATAATCGATCACATAACGCATAACACAAACTTTTACATCGAGGTAATTGCTTAAGCTTTCAGCCACTGAATTGATTGAATCATTATCATCATCAATCTTCTTTTCAACATCACTCATGCTTTTCTCTTGCTGTGATTTTTTGTGTAAGTTTTCGATGTAACTTTGATACGTTCTTGTACGAAATCTACTCGAATTTGGAACGGTCGTCATATAATTTTTTTTCTGTTTTTATTTTAAAGTTACTCATGTTAGAAAATGACTGACAAAAAATATTTTTCCAAGCTAATCAGCTTTAAACGATGATAATCCTAACCATTGGTAAAAAAATGCTTTTTTCAAATTTCCGAAGCGTTTTGTCGTAACGCTTGCTAACAACTAACCGTCCGGAACTGTGAGCAAAAAATTCTGTTCTTCTACCTTTGCTACCTTGTCGGGTATTTTTTCTCTACATTATCTCTAAGATGATTAACAACGACTGAATGCTTCCATACTGATGCACCCAATAGTAGTGCATTCCTTTCAAAAATAACTTTACATTTAATTTGTAAATAATTTTGTCATTAACTCAAGTTAAGGCCTGAATTGTGCATGTGACTTCAAATTATGTTCAACTAATGCATTGTAATTCATTGAGGTTTCTGTTAAGTAAGAATAATATTACATGAACAGAAAACCTCCAACAATCAAAATTTACGCAGATTATTGATTTAAGGGATCAGAAAAAATGAGTTGATTAATTTCATTAATCAGAAAATTATTTTCAACTGTTTAGCAAAATTTTAGCGGAAGATTCAAATATGAAAATTAATTTCATTTATTCGCCTTAAAGTTATGCAATTGGGTGCACTTTTTGAAGGTCCAAATTTAAATATCTAATTTAAAAACCGTTAAAATTTCATCTAAATTCTTAAAACTTACTTCAAAGATTTGTTACGTTTATTTATGAAGAAATCATTAATACGCAGCTTAAAAGCTCTTAAGGCAAGTGTTTGGAATTAGACAAGGCTAAAAGAAAAGCAAGTGACATAAATTTTATTGGTGCAGGCGGCATCAATTTTGAAAACTTTAAATTGTTATCATATTATTAATGTCTGTGTCATTGATAAAAATAATTAAAAAAAGAAGCGATACCGTAATGATAAAAGAAATTGATTGATGTACACAGACGACACAAACAAGTTATTTCAACTCACCTTTATTTTTGTTAAGCTTTCTTGACTTCCTTCCTTACTGTCTTCAAAGTTGTCTTCCGTTTCAACAGCTTTCATATGCAATGCTCGTAATGCATCTAATTGATTATCGTTTAGAGTAGGCATAGAAATAGAGTTACGTCTCATAACATCAAGGTTAGAAGTTTCTGCGAATCTCACTTCAGATGCCAAGGGCATATGTTGGTCATGATGTTCAGAATGTGTCGATTCACTATCACTTTTATCATTTGCATCTGTGAATGCTGCAACTCGCCTTCGCGAATTCATGTTTGGTTTTTCAGAAAATGATTCAAGACTTTGTCTACTTCCATTCGAATTTTCATCATCATCGTCTGCGAAGGGAATATCAGAAGTTTCATCAGCACTTGCAATGCTGCGAAGGCTTGAATTGAAATTTCTTTTTTCGTTGCGTTGCAATGACATTTTTTCAAAGCCTCCCAACTTCCCAACAACCGGATACACAAATTTTTCTATACGGCAATTAAAAAAGTGTAAACAATAAATTTTTTTTTCGTACATAAAAATGTCAATTTATTTAAATTTATGCATTAAAAATCTAACGAAATTGTTTTTTAGATTCTCTCGAAATTTTTCAGTTGCATTTTTATTATTTAATAGTTGACCAGTTATCGGTTTAATTGCAATTATATTTTAAATATCTACATCATAAATTACATTCAATACTTCAATGAAAATTGAAACAGGATTTTTTATAATACTTGGAGGTTGAGATGGGAAGCATTATTGTGGCAAGTTTGGTATAAATATTTATGTTGCGTTTATGAGTTTGTGGTCATTTTCCCCAAAAATATTTAAACGACATGAACATTTTATCATTTTATAATTAGACAAACTGAATATATAAACTATTGAAATATGACAGGAAAGCGCTAATTATTTTAAAATAATTTTAATGAAAGAAAAATACAGAAAAGGTTTCAATTGCAATGTCAAGAATATTCAATACAAACGAACAATTGTGCAATGATCGAGCTTGCGGATGGAATAATAAATGATGTTAAAGTAATAAAATTATATCTTCAATTAATACTTACATTCAGTAATATAAAACTCCGTAATTTAATTTTCTTATGTAATTTATTTGAACAATAATGGAATTGATTTCATTTCACTTCTTCAAATCTTTTTTTTTAATTTGTCTCTGTGTTTGTTTTCAATCAATAAAATCAATCGAAAAATTTGATTAGCTCAATGATTCTGTTTGATAACAAGCTACAAATTTTATTGTGTTTGATTGATTTATTAACTGTTTCGACTTGTGACTACTTAAGTGCTTGTTTATTTCACTTATTGGAATGTGTTATCACATTGGAAACATATTTCACGAAAGATATTGTTCTATGATGAGAAACAGAAGCAACCTTGAAATGATCACGATGAAGTCTAGGTGAACGTGAAGTAACGTTCAGTTACACTTTCAATTGGCTTTAATTAAACAGTTGATCCAAATCTGTTTCTTAACGAAGGTCGCTCTTTTGATTTCATTTCAATTGCTAAAACATAAACTCAAAACTTTTCTTTTCGTTTCTCAATTATTCAACACTTCAACTTTTTTTTTTGCACTCGGATGCTTAATTAGAAGCGCTCATAAATTAAATTCAATTAAAAGCACAATTTATATTCAACAACATTTGTTTTCCTTTTCGTACCGATTTTGTTTCGTGTAGAAATACGAAAAGAGAACTTTGATAGTCGACGATTATCATTAAACTGAGTGACTCTATGGAGTTGAAAAACTTTAAAGAGCGAAGATACGTCGAGTCGAAATCAACCACGACCACAATCAAAGTTGGAGACGACATGAGCGACTAAATACTTCTTTAAAAAAAATGTCTTGTTTACTTTTAAATTTAAAATGCTTTATTGAATTTTACCTCGTGCAAAACTACAGTTGCATGACGAGATTATAAATGATGATGTGACGAGATTATTCATAATGTCAGGGCTTTCATTAATGTTTTATATTGTGAATAATTATAAAATAATTTTAATGAATGAACATTTTCTGCCCTTTCAGAACTAAACTCATTCTTGTTCTATCAACAACAACACACAAATAAGAATTCCATTCCGTTATCTCTCCTGGCACGTTTTTAAAGCCACTCTCAGCTGAAATTTTTCTTATCAATGACCAAGAAAGGTTCTCTCTCTGTTTCTCTGTGTACTGCACAAATTAATTTAACAACTTGTTTGTATTTATCTTGCTACTGTTGTTCAGAATCATCAGATAATTTTGCAACAATTAGAAAAAAACATTGTCAGAATATTTGTGCAAAATAAAAATCAGCAAGCTGAATTTTCACGTTAAAAATAAATTTAAAGGAAGTCAAAAAGTTCTTGATTAATGTTTCGTGTTATCAACGTATGTTGATGCATTCAATGAAGATTATCTAAATTAATCTTTAAATAGAATAAAAGTGTATGACCTTAAGATGAAATCAATCTGTGTGGCTTGCGATTGTTAATTAGTTACTTGACAATTCAGATGATTTTATTTCCAGCTTCTGAATGTAATTGCTGGCATCATGTAATAAACTCAATTCCATCTTTTCAGCTTCTTGAATGTGAATGAAAGTGTCGTCATTTTCCTGCCGCCCTGATATCCTATTGAAAGGCCAACCAACAGAAGTTGGTGAAAATAAATCTCCAGCAACTTTACTGCATTAAAATAAATTTTCATTGTAATTTATTTCAATGAGAGTAATTACGATTAATTATGTAAGTGCTTCAAACCTTTTTCTACCCTCCATGTAGCCCATTTTAAACTCTTCAGGATATGTTCCAGCAGCACGTTTTGAAGGACAATTATAAACATTTTCCCACGCCAAGAATGTATGTTGAAAGGCGACGTTGTAGAAAATTGGACACAAACCATGACTTCCCTTCGGAAACGGCATGGCACCGACTTGTGACCACCCACAATATCCCATGTTCCAATTTTGTGTACAATTTCTCTTCATCGTCCCATAAGTATTGCTTGTATGAATGCATTGAACATTCTCAGCTGCAAGTGACGCGTCTGACATTGGGAGATGTTCAAAACCAGGTCCAGCTTAGTGTGAGAAATAATTAAATTCATCTGATGATTTCCATGAAAACTTATGTTACTTACCAGGATCACAAACTGTGAATAAAATAAAATCTTTTAAATTTATTCTCACTGCAGTGATACAAAATAAACATGCAACATACCATCAATTTCCTTAAATCGCTTGGTTCCAAATTTGGTTGCTGTTGTGATAGCCAATTGGGCGCCAAATGAGAATCCAAACATGAATCCTTTACCAAAGTCGAAACCTTCATCCTCCATTTTTACCATAAATCGCAAGAGCATGTCAGAAAGATTGGCAAAATGTGGCGTTAGAAGGAAGTAGTTTAGGTTCACTGAATAATTTGAATAATCCATGACGATAATGCAACCGCCCCGGTATTCTGTTAGATTACTGATAAGATCCTGAACCCATTCTGTGTTGAAACTTTCAAGCCAACCATGCACGATAATAGAAAATTTGCCAGACGGATTACATCCCCGTGAAGAAAGATCCTCGTCATGTGTTGCGTTAAACACCGGCAAATTTAAGCTAATAACAACATTATCCGATTTAGAGGAAACTGCTGAGCTTTACATGTACATAAAATTGTTTTCCTTACCCGGGAACGACATAAAATGTTACAGTGTCATCGTCAATGTCAGCAAGACTCACAGCTAGATAAAATGTAATAAAAACTGTGGAAAACCGAAGCACTTTTTTAAATAAATTCATTTCAGATCAGAGGCTGAACAGTGACTGTAGCGTCGTTTTTGGTTGAGTTTAAATATAAAAATCTTCAAAGAACAGTTAGCTTTATCACGTGAAAGTAAATTCTTGAATAACAAATGCAAATATTTGTCGTCAAACAGACGTTAATAAATATTGGAACATAGCAGAAATCTCTTAAAGATATTAAACGAGAGTTAATAAGATAATTTGTATTTTATTTTGACTTCTTTAGGTATTAAAGCACGTCACATCGCATTAGCTGCTTTCTCATATCTTATCGATGTCACTGTCATAATTTTCCAACAAATTGCAGCTATTTTTAATTGATTGTAATATTTATAACTCAATGCTATTGTTGTTTACATAAAGTTTCAACATTATCAATTCAGTTCGTTGACATTATGATGTTTAAATATTTTTGACACATTTGATCAATAAACATAATAAACTTCATTTGACAACATCTCTTCATACAATAGCACAGTTATTTACATCGAAAACTTTCTGTTTAATCTTGTTAACTAACTTGAAATCACTTCATAATTCAGTTAGAAATAATTTAATATTTTTGTCATTTAAATGTAAGTAAATCACAACACAAATTAATTTAATAAATTTTCAGTTAGATAATTAATTTAAATTTCACTTTGAATTTGCTGCTGAACATTTTGGTTGTTCGAAACGTGCCCTAACATGAATTTGTCTTCTTCTAGCGAGTTTTCTAAGACCGCGACCTTCAGGAATGGCCCCATTTCCATTGAAATAATTATAAGGATAACATTCACCAGTAGGCGAAAAAAGATCCCCGTAAACCTGACTGAAATTAAATTTATTCGCCTCGTTAGTGATTCATTTATGTTGATTTATCCTCGACCCATTCTTACTTCTTTCTGGTTTCTGTGTAACCCATTTTAAAGGATTCTGGGATGTTTGTTGCGATTCTTCTCGAAACACATCCAAAGATATTTTCCGTCGCATAGAAGTCGTGAGAAAATGCCGAGTTATAAAAATGTGGGCACAAACCATGACTCCCTGTGCGAGAAAATTAATTAAGGAACGATAATCAAAAGAAAAATAAACAATGACCGTTACGTATTTGTCTTACCTCTAGGCGCTGGTCCCGCAGCTTCTTGAACCCTACCACATCTTCCCATCATCCAGTCTTGATGACAATTTCTCTTTATTGTTCCCTTATTACCGCTTGTGTGTATACCTTGAAATAAATTGGCCAATTATCGTTTGCACGAACAGCAAGAACGGAAGCTTACATTGGACGTTTTTGGCAGCTAACGTCGGAATTAAATTGGGTGAAAAAGCAAAGCCTGGGCCTGAAAAAACGTTGAGATGTATTTAAGCTTCAGGCTTAACATCTGTTTCTGATGCAAAAATTATGTTTTTACCTGCTGGATCACAAACTAATTTCGATGAAGATTAGTCAGATGTTATCAATAAAAATATGATTTGTATCTACAAATGTTACCATCGATTTCTGCAATTTTATTGAATCCATATTGAACACCGGCATTAATCACCAATTGCGCTCCGAAGCTGAAGCCATACATGAATAAGTTATCGGGATTAAATCCTTGAGTTTCCAAATGATTCAGCTTATCCAATAGCACCTGTGTTAAGGGATTGAACTTTCGAACAAGATCGAAATAATCTTGAGCTATTGAATGATTTGAATAATCCATGAAGATGATACAACCGCCTCGAAAACGTTGCAAATTATCAATCAAGACGTGCACCCAATCGGTATCAATGCTTTCCAACCATCCGTGAACGACAATTGCATACTTTTCACTTGAATTGCAACCAGATTGAATAAGCTCATTGTCAAGCAATGATGGAAGTTTTCCTCGATCTCTGAAAGTTATGAGAAGAAGAGAAGTGACAAATTACAAGACAAATTAGTTTTGATTGAGAGAGTTTCAGCAGAACGACAGAAGTTCCAAGCCGAAAGTTCTAAAAGTAACAACGAAAGATAAACTTTTGTGTCACTGAAACTTTTTCGTTCATCTTTTCTGTCATTATCGAGTCATAAAAAGTAATTAACAAACTTGTAATGACAATAATTTTATGCTCTACGTTTAACATATTGCCCTGAGCAAGCTTTAATTACATATTTGAGATTCTTATGTAATGATTTTTAAAATCTTGTAAACAATAAACGAAGAAGAATCTCTTGGGAACTTGTTTGAATTTCAATATTTTATTAACTTAATTACTATGAAAATTGTAAACAGAACGTGGCAAACTTTACTTTGTAAACACTGTGAATGTAATTGTCTCATTAAAGTCTCCGAAAACGTTCACAACACAAAAGATTGGAAGAAGAAAATTGCGAAAAGCTTTCGGCAACATCTCACAGCACACGCAATAGTTGTTGTCGGATTTCTGAGAAAATACTGAAACCAGCTTGATGATGTTTTACCTTTTTATGAGGTCCAGCGAATATTTCCCCTACCCGAACTTTAATGTTGTGAGAGATAAAACTTTACAAGACAAACAGCGGGAGGTTCAAAACAAGCTCTTTTATTATTTTTCTCTTATATTGCGTTGTTTGTGATAACTTTGTGACAATTTATTGTCATTACAATGAAGATTTGATGATTTCATTTCATATTCCATTCGATAATTGCAAATTTAACAACTCTGAATTAATTATTTCCTAATTCTTTAAATTTATTACTTTAAATTTAAATAAAATTCTGCAAGAAGTCTAAACAAAGACATCAACAAATTTATGACTTTGAATCGATGTTGGACATTGGAATTTATGATTTCTTTTTTATTTCTTAATTCATTTGAAAATGATTCAGCAAAACTTTGAAGAATTCCGATGTTAACATGTCTAATGATGTTTTGATTTCGTTTTCGAGTTGGCTCGATTTAAAAAGATTGAACATTAACTCTCTGATATCACTAAATATACTCATTTGCCGCTCAACATATGACCTCACTTTACGATTTAGATAGATTCTCACCACGTGTTCTCCCATCGTTGCAATGCCGGCTTTTTCGTTTATTAAACTTACAACATTCGTTTCTTGTTTTCTCCCTTCCACTTCTCATTTCATTCGCATTCATTCATAAAATAACAAAACCTAATGTTTTCTGATTACTTCAAAACCACAAATTGATAATGATGAAAGAAAGTTAATGAAAAAAAAATTACATAAATTGACTTTCAAAAATTCTCCACCCACGATCGAAAATTTCTTTTTGATCTTTTCTCGTTGAATTTCGGATGAAGCATCAAATAGAAGTAGATATGAAGTTACATAAGTAGCAAAAGAAGGAGGTAAAGCGATCATAGTTGAGTAACAAACAAGCAAGCAAGAACAGAATGTTACCGAGAAAGGTCGAAAATGGATTTTTAATGGCCTAAATCTTCCTCCCGGTCTTTGGTCGACGGTCTACCTCGAATAAATTAATTTAAATTGAAGTCAATTTCTTATCTCAATTTCATTTTTCATTTCTTGGGATTTCAGCATAAACGATGAAGTGGTTGATGCATGTTTTCAAATAATAGATTTATTTGTTGGAAAATCAGACGTTAACTTAAGTTGTTTCAACCAGATGGCCAATTTTTGTTTTATTTCATGTCAATATCTCGACATTCCGGAAGGACGTAAATTTCATCTGAGCAATTTAAACAAACTGCAGTTTATAAATAAAACTAAGAAAAGGTTCTTCTCCGGCTAAAGTGCCCATTTATTATTCTATTTAAGTATTAATAGGAAATGTTGGAGAAATATCAAGGAGAAGTGAGATGTGAACAGAGGTCAATTGTGCGGACATAATTCAAAGGTGCAAAAAGGGAAAAAGACATAAAAGTATCCAATGAATGGCACAGGTAAAAAGTCAGCAGGCATGGAAGTATTTAAGAAGAATAACTTCGCACGTAAAACATATTAGCAAGTGAGTCAATCTTCGATGGTTTGACAAGCGTTTAATAGAATTAAAGTTTGCTTCGTTAAGTCATTTTCTGCATGAAGATATTCATTATAGCTTTAAAACAATTATTTATGACGTGACGGAGATAAGATTAATGTAACGCCGAATATCTTTAATCATTTTCCCGTTTTTTAATAAAATTGATTCACAAAACGGATGAGACTTAAAAATTGGAAGATTTTAATGAGAAAAATGGAAATTTCTACTATGACGTTATGAATTCTAATGAAGTAAATTAAGCCAGAAGGAATGAATTCACAAGAAAGCTTATAAAACTAGATAATCGTTTAATGCTTAGCTGACTTCTCATCTAATACATAAACATATACAGCAGCTTTAAAATTGAATTTGCCTAATGAAGTTTGATGATGATCATTCATTCGGTTCTATGGAAAATCAAAAGAAATTCTCTTTCATTTTCTCGCACTCAAATTCATCTTAATTGACATACATTTTCCTAAATAGTTTACGATCAATTTCCATTTTCTGATTGTTTTCTTTATGTCATAGTTTAATCGTTTTGAGTTTACTGTTTTAATTTTATTCATAAGAATTGTGTTGCGATATCAAATGAATAGAAAAAATGCGTAATTAAGTTGTTGACATAAACAAACTGCCGATGCTGATATTTAGTAGCAATAACAAATCGCAACTCGATATTATAATCGAACTCGATAATGAAATTTAATACTTTGTATGACTAATATAGAACAGCACAAGGCGAATGAAATTTCATTAATCAATATTGCTTTTTTGCATTTACATTATCTAATTGAATTGTAAATTTACTCATGATCAGTGACGACATTAGCAAGTTGGCCAAAGTCACAATGCAAGAAGCATTTAAATGCACTTCAGCTAATAAAACTAATATTTATAATCATGCAAATGTCCGGTTAGAGTAAAATTGTGCGATCACGAAAGCATTCAACATCATTAAGACTTAAAAAATATGAAAGTGATGTAATAATGTAATCAATATCGCACTAATGTAAACAAAACGCTTTTCGTCGTGTTTAGAGCTCATAAATTTCTTCACATCGTTGCGATGTTAGTAATGAAACATTTAATGGTTTCATTTAGGGCCAATTCATTGTTTTCCTTTCATTGTAGCACGCGATCTTTATTATTGTTTCTGTTCAAAGCTTAAGCATAACCATCAAAGCAATGTTTTCCAATGACATTTTAATTAAAAAATTAATGTTTTCTGAAAGAAAATCTTGTTTTTTAAACGATCCATTAAATCGACTTCTTCTTGCAAAATTCTTCTAAAAACTAATTTTATTGAAGCTTACAGAAAAGTTAAAAGAATTAAAATTGTCGTCTTGTTCATTGCTTTAAAACATTCCTTGAGAGTGAACAGTCAAACATTGAAGAATACGTAAAACATTCTGCAGCACCAGCTGGCGCTTTCCAGTCGACACACGATCAGTTTGCGTTGAATATTCGTCGTTATCGCATGATATTTTCGACCGCGTAAGATTATTATTTACACAAATATATTTCTTTTCGAACGGATTTGGAAAAGTGATTTTCAAGTGCTATTTTTTGTGTGAAGAAAGAGGTTTTGTGGAATTCGAAACGTTTCTAAGTATTCATCCGTGCTTGTGTGTGCCTAATTAATTAAGCGGAATTCGCAAAATTTGTTATAAGTGCAAAACAAATATTTTTATATTTTCTACTAAAATTGTGTTAGCTAAACTTATTGAATTTCTCAAGAATTCGATTTTTGACTAATGTTCAGTTGCAAGTAAGAAAGATCGACGAACGTGATTTCAATTCGATGGCCCAAATGAATAAAACAATTTGAAATTGAAAAGAAAATTAGAAATTGGAAACATTTGTGCGAGTTTAGCGAACTGAATCATTAAATTTTGAAAAGGAAAAAAGTTGATACTAAGGTGAGGCTTCTCTTCATTGACTCTTCATCCGAGATGTGATTTGTGCTTTGGATACGGTCCAACAGACAATCTGTCTCTGGGTAGGGAAAACGAGTGAACAAAACGTGACAGACGTCTCTAGTAGAGGCGGAGATGTGAATTCATTAACATCGATAATCACAGCTGAAACAAAAGATTGATAGAATCGTCATAATTTCGCAACCTTCACCTTCTCTGATGAACAAAATGAAGCAAAATTTTTAGCGTTGAATCGAACAAACATAAACAACCTCGCTGATAATAGCTTCGCATATTCATGTTATCAACGAACTCATTTGTTTATGCAAATATAAAAGGCGGCGGTGATAAATTAATCAAATAAGTTAGCTTCATGAATATTCAAGGCAACAAATGTGTCGATTTAAAACGCAAATGCAACTTTCATTTGCGTTTAATTATTTTAGATTGAATTTGAAGCGTAAAAATTTTTTTAATTCTTCGTCAAAACTAAAATTGTTGTAAAGATATCGCGTGGGATTTTAATGAATCATTAATAAATAAATAATCAAAGGCAACCAAATGAATTGAAAAGAAATTCTCACAGTAATCAAATTTACGACTATTAATGGGAATTTATGTTAATTACAAATATGCTACGTGACATAAAATGTTAAAAAATCAACTGATAAGCTTTTGCTCATTGTCTCCATTTGAAGGCAAACAGCGAGATTACGCCCCCGCTTGACTTATATGAAATGAAAAATAATTAATCATTTTGCCATACACATGACGTCAAAGTGACGAGTCGGTTAATGGAGGGAATCTGTTTTCCTTCCGTGATTTACAGCCGTAAAAAAATGGCAAACATAAAGTAACTGCGATATAAAAGTTAATAGCGAAATTCATACTTATTTACATATACACACACATAACTTAGTTGATGCTTAAATGGAGAAAAATGAACGCAGAGAAAATCAATAAAACAACAGAATCTCACAATTTAATTAAATATTCCGTGATTGTTATTTTTGTTCAACCCGCAAGCCTGCAATTCTTCAACAACAGATCATTAATCGTAAAACTTTACGAGGCTGAAAATTTTTTCTGCATGTTCAATTTTTCCGAGCAATGGTGCTTTGATTGCGCGACATTAACAAACAATCCGTCATAAATGAAAATAATTTACAAGCTTGAATGACATGAAACGTTAGGACATTTTGCCGTAAACTGTTATGGCTGTGAGAATAAAAGGCAATTTTTTCTTTTATCATGCTTTTCATGCTTTGATTTGTTAAAGCGACTTTGAATAATTTAAATTTGTGTTTTTTATCCGACAAAACTGTCGAGTTTCCGAAATAACTGTTCGCAGCTTGGTATAACAAGAACATGTTCGTTCAGTTACGCAAAATTAACTTTTACAATATTTCGTTAATTGAAACATTTTATTCAAGTGTCGTGAAATGATGAAGTCTCAATGATCATCAGCTCCAACGGTGCAGAACATTTGTTTAAACGCCCGTTCTTATATTGCACACGCAATCTAACCAACATAAAGTTAATTCTCTTTCTTTCTCGTCAAGTCCCAATCCCAGACCCAACAATTGCAAAGAAGAGAATTCGGACAGAAAATTTACTGAATGAATAATTAATTAGTGAAACAAAGGAGAAGTTTTCGGTTGAGTGGTTAATAAATCTTAAGAGTAAACAAGTGAATATCAAATTGAAACGTTTTTCAAGAAACCAGACGAGTTGTAAATAGTCAAAGCTTAAGGGAAATTGCTTTCTCAACCAGAAATCTTCCACCTCTCATCAACTAAGATCTCTTTAAAATCCCAGATTAGTCAGTGACCGAAAACAAATCTTTCTCGTTCCCGTTCTTAGTTTCTTTCTCAGTCTGAGTCTTTGAGTTGACATCTTGTTCCCCCAAACATCACGAAATTCGACTCTTTTGCATGTTTTCGCTTCCGAACTTATAATCTCGGATTACAAATTTTTGGTTCCCTTAAAAGGCAACAAATCAAAACTAAAGAAAGCACATTACATTGTTGCATTCAAATGATTTGGGTTCATGACATAGACACTACCGAAAAGGGCAAATGCGGTTCAATCTGCAATCACGAAGATTGCAAACAATAATTTTGTTTCATTGTAAAATATTCATTTTCATCGACACCTTTGATGCTTTATGTTTCTGATCCTCAACAGTAAATAAACAAAATGTTGAAGCTCGCAAGCGCAGCACTATTATTTATTTACTCTAAATTTACTCGCCTTTCAATCACTCAATCTCTCAAACAAAACAATTGTTTCTCATCGGTAGCGAATGGTTTAAGAATTAAAAATCCGATAGAAAAGCAAACTAACGTGTTCGAATGTGTTAAGTTTGAAACGTGATTTTTCCCTGGTTTTGATTCTCGCATAATGAAAACAAAGATCGAATGAAGTTTCAAATAAAACCAAAATATCTCAAATGGATTTAAAAATAATTCAAAAATTCGTCGCGGAAGATTTTTTTTTGCATATCAATCTAGCAAGAAATACGTGAAAATTTCTTTGATTAAAAATTGATTTTCATTCATTTCTTTTTCTTTGTGATGGTTGAGAAGTGGAAACGTGTGAGCGAACATATGCTCATATAAAAAGATTTGAGTTGAAGAAAAACTTGCATAGTTTAACGACTTCTCAAAAGCGAAGATGAATTCTCATGTCATGTCTTGCAATGATCTCTTAAACATTACAAATTTACCAATTTTCTCTACTTAACTTTTGAATGGTCCCCATCAGCATGAATTTTGTATTTATGGATGAGCGTAAAATTGAAAAGTCATTGCATGGTGACCAGATGACTTTCAAAGCTTTTCAAGTTCCAATGTAAGGAGAGTACATACGAATAATAATTGTCAGAATATCAAAAAACTTGCGTGAATTCATTGGAAAACCTTGATAAAGCATTAATAAAAGATTGATCAATGTTTTCGAAATGGAATGAGATCGATAAATCTTTTGAATAAGTTCTGTGTGATCTCAAGGATTTCCAGACATCAATTGCGTGATCTAATAATAAGCAGTTAATCCACACAAGACGATTTTCGTTAGTCGAAATCTTAGTTTCCATGATTCAGCACACTCTATTCTGTGGAACTTCTCTTTCTTCTATTTTTAGAAGAACTTACATAATATGCTTTAAATCATTTTATGATTCCGAAGTGCGAGATTCCAGAAAACTGTGCCACACAAATCGATATTCAATTCCAATTCCGTTATCTTTCATTGTAATTTCTTTCTGTATCCATTGTCAAATATTGAAATCAACATTAACATGAAACTGGCTTAAACATCCTACGCAATGGCCTTCAATAGCGCAACACAAACTCACTTCTCAATTCTCCTAACTAACAAATATTTATTGCCTTTTAATCTCGATTTGTGCGATCTATAATTGAGTGACAACAAGCGGGAAGAAAAAAAAAGTTAATCCAACTCAACTTAATTCTCTTGCCTTGCTTTGCTGTGTCGATTTCATCTGTTTCGATTTTAAATTCTAACACAAAACACATGCAGCATAGCAAATGAAAGAAATTCCATTCATTTATGGAACAATTAAGAATATAATTCTCATCTTTAGAAATTAGTACAAAGTATGAAGTTTCATTATGAAACGATGGCTTGCTTGCTTGCCTTTCCAAGTGAAAACTACTTTCAATTCAAGTCATTAAAGTGCCTCTCATCATAGATTTCGAAATCATTTAGATGAGAGAGATTAAGATGTTAAATCAATTGCATTTCAAGAATAGAATTCTGAGAAAGAAATTGTTAGTGATTTTTGATAAATTGCTACGTGTTAATGAAACTGGTTCGACTACTTCATTATTCTTCATTCGACTCAGTGGACTTCTTCCATTAAGATCTCTTGTAGAGTTCTTAGCATGAAGCGTTAAGAAAAACTTTCTTTGGCTTCTGCAATGAAATGAAAGCTTCTCAATTGCAATAAATACTTCACACTGTGGCTTTAATAAATTTACTTTTTTTATCGTTAAATGATTATTCTCAACATCACAACAGGCGAGTGAGATTATAAATGTTGGCTTAAGTGTAATAAAACATTCTGCAAGTCAACATTTTTTATCAGGGAAAGAAGAAATGGAAATCAAATGTCGAGCATTCGAAATTGAATTCAAACAGGTTTCTCCGAAATATTATTTAGAGATATTTTAATGTTATTAAGTTGGTGTTTATAAATGTCTAAATTGCTTAAAATGCGTGAGTGGTTTATAGTAAAATGTGGTCAGTGAATTTATTATCGTCTCAAATTTGTCACAAAGCTCATTGTCATTCAATCCCGCAAAATGATTTTAGCAGTTTTGATTTCAATCTTTGTGTTCCTTTAAATTTAAAAAACGATGATGTCTCTGATGTTTATTGTGTGGTTTCCAAATAAAAAAATAATTTTTCATTCTGCAAATGTTAATTCGTTGTTAATGGAAATGAGTTGAAATGATGTCATCATCAATAACTTTTTTTTTCTATGAGATTCAACAAGCCAACAAAAAGATTTGAGGGGAAAAAATGAGAAATGCCGACATAGTTTTTGCTTTGAACATTCATTTCCGACCATAAAACTATTCCAAGAATCCCTAAACCATAAATTTTTAAGAAACAAGAAATGACTTCACAAACCTTTTCTCATTCATCCATAGAATATTTCAATAAAAATTTATTGTGACGCAAATCGAAAACTATTTTTTTTATTTCATTTCAATGTGCTAAAAAAGGCAAAAATTCTTTTTTCAATTTTTGGGGACAACAAACAAAAATATATTTTTGAATACCGTACAATGATTAATCACCGCAATGGAAATGAAAACACTCAATTCACATGCTCGTATATGTATCGATTTCCATATGTAAACATTGTAGAGAATTTTGAATCAATTTGATATGTTTCGGAACTAAAACGTTGAGACAGAAAACTCCAAAAACTATGATTAATGATCGTTAACATGTAACACCATAAATAGTTGATGACTTTTAATTAAAAATTAATGAAATGAGCTCAGAAAATTACAGTGTGCGTGATAAATATTTACAAAATCATGTTGTCATGTAATGTGATTATGAACTCGCATAAATCGCATTTCCCGTTGTATGTATAAACAATCTTCAAAAGGCTTCAAGGCTTCGCATCATATTAATGTATCTTGTTTTTTCCCTTAATGAAATCAATCAATTACCATCTTTAATGCAACGTACTTAAGATGAAAACATCTTCAAAGCATGAAATTGAACGCTAAAATACTTTTCGCAGTCTCTTTGCAAGAACAATCAAATTGATTGTCAATGTTGGTTGAAAGCTGAAGAATGAGAATCTCTTTTCATTATATTTTTCGACCGCAAATCTTTGGTTTAAAAGCAAGGAATGAATAAACGTAGTGAAGCAATTGAAAAGTAATTACTAAGTTGTAAGAACTCATGTTGAAGTCTCGTTGATGGCATGAATGAGTTTCAAGATAAAACAACTTCCTTGTGGTTTAATATTTTTGCGGCAACGTTTCAGAATGTCAATCAACTTGAAAGGAAAACAAACGACACAACGATATACAACGGTGTGAATTGTCAAAGACTCAACTTCGTAATGAACACTTCGTTTCAAAGAAAATCAATATGATGATTAAACATAATTTTTCAACAGTTTAATTTATCGTTTTGTGTTTATTCATATGGAAATTGCTGCTGTTAAAAAAGAGATATTTGGACAAAAGAATCATTAAATAAATTGATGCGTCAATTCACATTAGTCGGATTTGTAATGAGACAAATTCAGATTTATTCTCTTAAACAGAGTGATCGATGTTGAACAACAGTTTTGAAACTGTTTTTTGTTAATGTTCTATGTTCGAATCAAAGTGAATTTGAACGTCAAAAAATGTTATTTAATTCAAGGACTTACCACACAGTTCAAAGTGAGATAGCAAGCATCATTAAGTGAAAAATAATTTTAATAAATTACCACTCGCTATTAATAATTCAACTCGAAACAAAAAAAAATTCTGCGAAAAAAGCAATGAGAGAAGAGAAGTTGAAAAAAATGAAAATTATCGTCATGTCCAGTCGATGGTGATTATGAAGACCATAATTTTGGGCAAGAACACTTGAGCGATAATAAATCGTTTTGGTTTATGACTTGACGTTATATCTTTAAAGTTCACAGTTCTCATTGATGATATCGAATTTACATAATTTATGTCATATAGCGTCGTGTAATCAACGAAGTAAATTGATCACCTCGTAATAATTGCCATGTCAATATTTTTCATTTTTGTTCGCCAAATAACCATCAGCATATCCATCAATTTAAAAGTGTAACCATTAATCATCACCTCAATTCAATCTTGAGTATGTTTTCATCAAACCAAATCATATCACTCGTGTTTCCATTTCCTGATTCGATTTAGCCTGCTGCCCTTTTTTCAATTATCTCCTTCAAGGAACGTTAAGGGGAGCTACAAATATTTACCTCCTGACGAGTTGTAACCCTAATTGGCATTTCAATTTGTACAAGTGAAATCACCGACAGTAACATGAGAATTTCGTATCATTTCTATCATCGCGAAGGGCCACAAAAAGAGTTATTTTCCTCCTAAATGAAATCGCGTGATAATGAAACATCAAAACGGTAGTAAATTTCATTCTCGTATCCATTTTCGTTTCCTGATAATTTTCGTTTTTTACGCTCCTTTATTCCCATCTGATTTAGTGCTTGGGTCGTGAAAAAATTTTTATTAAATTGAATCAATCGTGGCGAAGAGCGCGAAAGAAACGGCAAAAAAAATGAGGAAGACAATGAACAACTCTTCTGATATTTGGTCAACGTCGTCAGTGGGGAAAATGAAGTCGAAAAGAAAAATGTGAAACAATAAAAAAAAGGTTTTAGCAAAGCACAAACGGCTTAATTTGTTGAGCAGAAATAGGGAAAAAATTGTGACTAAACAGAAAATGAAAGAAATCATTCAAGATCACGATTTCTCGAGTCTTGACCGAATGAACGTCGCAATTTATTTCAATTTCCCGACACTTCCACTTCATTAAATTAACTTATGAAAAGAACTGACCGAAAATAAAAATGATTTATGTTTCTGATATGTTTCGTCATCACAATCTTTAATTAAATTGTGATCTTGACTCAGGCATTTCAATTGACTTTGTTCGTTCAGTGGTCGAGATTTCATTGCATTTACATAAGTTAATATGTTGTGGTCGGTCATTGTCAGATGATAACCTCTTGAAACATATTTCTGATAACATATATTTGAGTAAATATTTATGACTTCTTCTTAATTAAAATTAATGAGGCATTTGCAATAATTCATTAAAGAATTTACTCGATGTGGAATAATTCAAAAGCTGAACTGTCTCGTACGCGCATATTTATCATCATATGAAATGAATGAGACAATGCAAAGCAACATGAAGAAAGTTACTTTAATTGGACAATGCTTAAAGTTGCAAACATCGTAACAATGGACTCATATTGCGATATTTTTACGTAGTGATCTTTCCCATCAACTCTCATCTTCCATCATTTGCGGTCATAGCAGATTATTTATGCTCACGTGAGAACAGAGAGTTTCATTCGAATTTCCTGATACACAGTCAACCAACAAATCAATATGACGATGAGGATGGGGAGGGGGACGAGATAAGTGCTTTTTGATGAATGCGAAACAATGCTTTATCGATAAATTCTTGTTAAATTGCTTAAAGGGAGAAGAGAACAATGTTGACTAATAAATTAAGTAGTTTGCATCCAATGCACCACTTCACGATTGCATAGTAAAGACAACGAATAAAAATAATGAAAAATGCGGAAAATAAGAAGAAAAACTTCTTCCTTGACTTGAAGGTACTACTAGTCTAAAACAAGTGCATAAAATGAATATTGAAGATCAAGATCAATAAGCAGCACAACATAAATTATCCAACATCATTACCGTATAACTCCCGTTCACTTTTTATTTTACAAATTCTTCCATCCATTCTTCTTAATCGAAATATTGCGCGTATAATTATTTTCACTCTTCGTAACTTTACCGTTTAAATATGTAATCGGCTTGGCATATCTTTAAAAGGCGAAACCAAACCATTTAAGCTCCATTTATAGCCAACCAAATGAGTTGAAAGGAGCGATTTGCAAGAATATTTTGCACATTAAAGCGTCGAGTACTTTATCATAAAGAATTTCGCAAAGCCGAAACTGCCACATGAATATTTATGTAGGTATGTTGAGCTTTTTAAGAATAATGAATTTTCAATTAGTTCTCGCGGTTTTCGAATGAAAGAAAGAACATGCTGGGCATAAAATTATTCCATTAGATGAAAGCATTCATAGTGCCATTAAATATCTTAAAACATGTCGATTTAATCGTGAGAGATAAACTGTTACTGGACGAAGCACATCATCGTATTATCATGACAATTAGCAATGCTAATTTGAGGTCACACGAGCAGTTCAAGGGCACGTAAGGGAAAATTTATTGGGATACGAATACGTGATGATTATAATATAAAAGGAGAAGAAAAAGTTTCACTTAATTCATTCATATCAGGCATTCGTCTACTTGTTAACATTTGAGTGCGTAAAAGAAGTCATGAAACGGACAACGATCCTTGTCATTAAATTGTATTTATATCGATGCCCACAAACTTCAGTTATCATGTGAAAATTCTATCTAAAATAGATTATAATGTTAATGTGCGAACACCTCCACCTGAGGCTTTTGCCTTTTTTTCTTCTCAGGAAATAATTTCATGGGAAATTATGGAAAATTTTAGCTGTAGGTCGCTCAAACTGTTTTATTTTCATTGAAACTTTTAATTGCTTCTTGATTGTTGTTTTTTGTTGCTTCAACACAGCCGCTGATCATTAATAACCATTGGAATTAAAATAAATTACCTTTTATATAAAATTAAAGATTAAACACGAGATAATCGATGAATGTTACATCATTTATAGATAATCGAAATTTAAGATCCGTTTTTGTCTTTCTCTATGAAAAATTCATCAAAATCAATAAATTTAATCATTTGACTTTTATTTTCTTCTCTTTCAGAGCCATCATAAATATAGCGTCAAAGAATTTCAATCTATTTCGATCACAGCACGAGCAAATATCATAAAAGGCTAACCCAACGACTGAGAGGGATATTGAAAAAGTGGACGAAACTTTATGAGTGAAAACGTTTAAAAGAGAAAAAAGGAATAGATAGATCAAGCTGGGCGCCGTTTATTTATTTTACGCGTGTTTATTGATTGATGGCAGTTGAAATTGAATTTTTGCTCGCTCTGCTTGATTGTGAGAATGCCACATTTAAAGTGACACAAGAGCGGTATTAAGACAGACAAAGCAATTCAATAAAAAGACGACGAGCTTTTCTTTCAATAACAATTCAGAAATAACATTTTAGAATTCAAAAGTGACAATTAAAAAAAGTTCCATCTTGACACAAACTAAAACTATTCAGTTTAAGTGCAAGCGCAGCAGACGACAACATAAAAGAAAAAAAAAGGAAAATGCTGATGAAAATCAAAAGCATTGAATTGATAGAAGAAAGCGAAGTGGGAAAATTAAAATTCTCATTTTTTCACAATGTGATGTTTCGACATTAAAAGAGAACAAGTGAAATAAAAATATAAAATAAGGGCGACATTAAAGTAAAAATTGTTTTGATAAAAGAAAAGCGAACATTAAAAACCAGAAGTGCAATGGCACAAAATAAATCAGCGAAGAATGGCACAAACAACCATCACAATATCAACAATAACAACAGCAGTGGAAGCAGCACATCGACGCGAAGTAAGAAACAACCACAAAAACAAATCAAAATAAAGAAACCAAAGACACGAGATTCAGACTGCTGCAGCATAAACTTTATAAAATATGTCTTGATCATCGTTGATATCATCTTTTTTGTAAGTAAAACTTCTTTTTGATGAATTTACGCGACGACTGTCTTTGTTTAATGCTTGGTGAAATCACTCAATTGTGTAGATTCTTAAATGTTTTGATTCATAAATAATAGGACAGTCAACAGAGCAATTTGAAAATGTCAACTTATAAAGTGACACAATATTTCAACTCTGCCTCTTCCTTTTCTAGCTTCAAAATAACTTCCTCCCACGCAGAGAAAATGTCTTTGACATAAGCCTAATCGTTCTCATTTCCGGCTATGAGGAAAATGAAATTGGGGAGAGAGAAATAATACCCAAACCTACTTCCTTGGCGAAAGCTTTTCGCATTCATTCGTGAAATATGAGTTTTGAAGCTGCCTTCGAATCGCTTCATAAATTCTTCTCCATAAATATGGTTTTGGCATCAGCTGGTAAATTGTCGACCAGAAAAGAAAGGTCTCTGTACGCCTACGCATTCGTTTTTTTTGTGTGCCTTTTGAAAATATTTTTGTTTATTAAACTCTCAATTTGGTGATGATCACAAATTGAGAATGAAAACTCAATACACATTTCACATTTCCCAATAAAGTTAACGTTGCCCATCTCAAATTCCAATGATTTGCCTCAAAACGAAGAGAATTTTGTTTGAGAAATATTTGAGTGGACATGTTGTCATTTATCGTCAACATCTAATCTGTTACGCATTTCTCTTCCCTGTTTAGGTGAACGATGTTGATTTAATTTTTTTTCCTCTTCTTCTTTTCCTTCGACTGAAAATATCTTCCATTCATGTCTCTTGTACCTGTTTGGCTTGAGAAAAACAAAATATTCATGTCCATTAGCAAAAATAAAGAGACGAGAATACGAGCGGAATTCGTTATATTGCTCGACCTTCGTTTACATCGACATAAATTCCGTCTTTATGCTCAATAAATTTCATTTGAAAGGTGCTCTGTTGGCCTGCATTCTTAATTGATAAGTTTTCTCTTCTCGAAAACATGAATGAAAGATTCGATTTCAGACAATGAAGGAAAATAATAAAAAGAAGACGCATTGAAGACCAATTTTGGATGAAGAAATCGAAGCCAAAAATTAGCTCACTCAAGCTAAAAATAGAAATTACTGAAACGTATGATTTTTAAGCAAGCAAACAAACGTGTTGATTAGTGTTTAACAAGAAGATTATGCAAACACTTTAAGATGTTAAACTATGAACTGAAGCATTCAAAACCTCATTTTATAGAAGCTGAAGCTAATTTAATTTTACTCTCGAATCTGCGATGGTTCATTAAAATGACAAGCATTTAGTTGAACACTCAAACACACACAAACACACTCATAAAACCAGAATCTGCAATCTTCAAGTGGTTTCATGTTCCTATTAAAAGCGATGAAAAACAGCAAACAGATATTGTTTTATTTATGAGACACAACAAGCGAACATCATTGTTACACTTTATCATCATTTCTTCACCCTGAAGATGACTACCACATTTCTCATTTCTCGTTTCTTTCTCTTCTCCCCCACATCAAAAAGAAATTTTATAATCTGTCTCTTGCATCATCTTAATCTTCGTGAAGAAAAAAATATTTTAAAGCGATTATGTGAAGTCAGTAATTGTGTGCCTTGGGGATTAATTCTCGATAAGATTCGATTCAATGTGCGTTGTGTTTATTGACTGGTGTTGCTCCCCTAAAGGCATTGAACGATTATAAAACGGACTTAATTATTGAATTAAATGATCTGGGAAAATAATTGACATAAACAAGAAGAATATAAATGTTTTGGATATTTATTTCCACATGACGACTTAAATCTCTATGGATTCATCTTTGTCAAACGTGACAATCACTAAGCTCTTTAGCATCAGAGATTTTCTTCGAATTTTTTGTCTCTTTTAAGTCTTTTTCATTTAATTAAGTTAAATATTTAATGTTTTTTATCTAACCACTTTTCTGTAAATTTTTACGTTAGCTTTTTGCAAATAACCTGACTTTGAACTTAAACAAACTGAGATCATTTAAACCGTGTAGGCTGATTTTGAATATTTTTTCATCTTCTTGTTCATTTACCTTCCAAAACAAAGAAAAATTCATGACATCATTTTTGCACAACACTCTGAAGTTGATAGAAAAACAATGAAAACTAACACTTCACATCATCTCGTGTCATGATTTGGCGTTTCTTTAAAATCATGAAACATCAGATTGAAAATTATACAATTTGATGCAGAAAAATGTTTCAAGCGAATTTCATGTCTTGAAGATTCCCATCGGAGTTAACCTTAAACTTGAACTCTTTGTTCAATGAAATGTTGATAAATATCTACCTGGTATTATGCAACATTACAAGTTGCTGCACACCTCTTCCGCTAGTAAATATGTTAGTCAGATTCAAAGCAGTTGATTGAAAGAAGGTGAATTGACTTCGAGATATTTTATTCCTAAAATTACACACAGACGTTCTTTTTAACAAACGATTAGTTTCAAATTACATTTCTATTTACAATTTCTCAAGTATTGTTTGGATAGCGCTTGAAAGCCGTTATGGTCAGTATACGTACAACAAACCTTTGCTTTTATCATTAAAATGTCCAAGCAAGCTAGAAACAATATTGATTCATTCAATTTTCCATCATGTTGAATTTATTATTAAAAAATTTCTAACATATTTCGGTACATACATCAACATAAATATCTTCAAAGAGTAAATGAAATAACTTCGATGTTATTCAATTTATTGCGATGTTTAACTTTATGGAGAAATTTTGATTACCAGAAACATTCAAATGGAACCAATGAGATTGATGTCATTTTAAACTTTTCAAATTATCGTCTCAAATTGGGAGAGTTTCAAGTTTTTGTTACTAACTTAAATTGAATTCAACTAGAGTAGATAAATCTCAGTTCCCTAACGCAAACTCTTGAAATCAACTCTGATTCTTCAGAAATTCTTCACTTGAAATATTTTCTTGAAGATTCTTTTGATGTTCGTCACTTCACTATTGGTCATGAAAAATTCTTCGAGATCTCTTAAAATGTCGATGAGAATTTCAGGCATTCTTGAATTTCTAAACATCTTATATCAAGTTTCTGTGACTTTTCTGAAGGATTGAGCAGATCAGCTTATCATGTTATGAGATATTCTCTAATTTAATGACGAAGATTTTAAGTGTTTTCTTAAAATTGATAAGATCGTCGACAGTTTGTTTACAGACATGTCAAGTGCTTGAAATTCTTTGACATTCTCCAATAGATTCGAAGGCAAGCCTTTAGTTGACAATAACACAATTTAAAACTTTTTGCTCTCAAACTCTTCTGAGTCACTCAGAATACTTAAATCAAGTAAGTTAGTTAAGCTTACTAAGAATATTAATTTTTGTCTGTTCTTAAAAACGAGGTTAAAAAAATCGTTTAAAGTTATTTACATAAAAATAATTCAACAATTCAAGGCCATACAATGCTCAAATTATACGATTAACGCTTTCAGTGGTCAAAATTAATTTATCTCTGATAATTGAGCTTCACTTGATTTTCAACATTTTCAATGAATACCAATAGAAAATGTTAACAAATAAAAATTGTTCAATCATGAAAAATGAAATCATTCAACAGTAAATAAATAAATAGCGGGAGCATCAATCACACATAGAAAGTTTATGTTAATTGACTCAACAAATTGATTTTGAAATCAATTTATGTACATGACTGTTTAACACTTCGAGATAAAGAAAGAACGAAAAATTTTGATTTCTCTTCTTATGAACTTGAAGTCATAAACAAGATTAAAGCTTAAATTTCAATCATAAAGCGTTGAAAATTATTCAATGAGTTTTTTGTACTTTATATGATACGCCAGAAGGTATCAAAATATTTATTCGTAATAAAAAATAATCTCAGTTAAAGAACTCGTTGAAAGAAATTTAAGATTGACTTTGAAATTTCGCAACGAGATATAAATTTATGTCCACCTCCTTTCTATCGCTTTAAGCGAAACATTTTTCTTCCTAATATGTTACTTTCATTCTCAATCAAAAGCTATTAAAAATTCTCAACATTTTTCATTCGAAGAAGGAGAGAAAAATTGCTGTTTGTATCGGTTGCTGTCAGCTTTGATTTTAAAATAACAACAACATAAAGTCAGTCTGATAAATTACATAATTAAATGACTAAAGTTATAATTACAAAGTTCTTTCATTCCATACATGTGTCGTATCGAATAAACCAAACATTCTTATTTTCGTTATTGAAAAATATCTTCGAGAAAAAGTCAGCATAATTTATGATTATCCACGTTATGTTGAAAATATCTTTTATGCACTGTGCTCTGGAAATTTTCAATTTAATTTTCTTATAGAATAAAAGAAATGGAATTTGAATGCATGAACCAAGACAGTGTACATTTTAAAAATTTACATAAATTAATAACATCAACCTGAGATTTTTTAGACTTTTACGGAAAATATTTATGAATATAATGAGTCCCTGATGTCTTGAGAAAAATATAAAAAATGGAATTATTATCATCATGAATAGCTTACAGGTTATTATTCCCTTTCAATATTTAATATTCTTTCTTTCTTATACGAAAACATGCTTGATGTAAAAAATAAAGAAATTAACTAATCTAGATTACTAATTTCTCGAAATAACCTTTAATTTATGTTTGGCAGCATAATGTTTTAGGAAAAAATTGGAATGAAAACGATTGGATTGGTGTGGAAGTGGAAATGAAATATTATTAGGATGAATGAATGAAGCCCAATAAAGGCCAAAAAAAGTAAATTGAAATATTAAAGGAAATAATTAAGGGCTCTTTTGCGGAGGGCATCAGAACGTAATTGTGAAGGAAATGGAACTAAAGTAAACAAGAAGAAGAACAACAAGAAGAACAGAAACAGTTGAGCTATAAATTTATGAATACCTTCAGACACAAAACATTTCTTAGAGCGCAACAATCCTCAAAGCAAAACTTCGTTTTAAATTGTAATAAATCAATGGTTTTGTTTCCGAGGCATACGCTAGAATTAATAGTACCATTAGTGGAAGGCGAATAATGAATTAAGAGAACGAAAGTGAAAATTAAATATTTAAGAAGTTTTTTCACTTCGTTTCTTGTTTTATTTGTTTCCTTCTTTCAAGTCATCAATAGCAGGAAAGCAAGTCATTCTGTTGATGAACCTTTGCAGTGCATGGATTTTGACATTCCATAAGATTAGTTTGCGCCCTAAGGACAGGTAAAGTAAACTTAAAGAACCTTTGATTTATGACTTCGTGCTGTTGCGCTACGTGAATGATTTGTCGCTTAAATTAACTTTATTCAGATTACACGTGACTAAAAAAGAAATTAGAAATGAAATTCTCTGAGACATTTTTATGAAGAAACGAAGAAAAAAAAGAAAACATCAAGAAACTTGTCAAAAATTATTTTACGACCACCGAATCGATTCAAAGGAACATCGGAAAACAAATACTCACAAAAGTACGTAAAGAATCAGAATTAATGATTTCTTCTCTCTCATTCCTAAGATTTCTTGAGCCTTTAAATATTGACTTTAATGTTGATTTAACAAATTGTTCTTCACTGCTTGGTGACCGACCACACAGACAACGAAAAATAAAATTAGATGAAGAACGATGGTCACGATCAAGTCACTTAAAGCATGGAAATGATTACAAGTTACGTCAAATGAGATTGGATATTTAAATATCTTTTCTAATCTACAATGTATTTTATTTTTACGGCTTCACAATTTGTCAATATGTAATAAAAAAAGAAGTGGAGGAATGTGAAGCATTGTTGAGCTAAAGATTGATCGGATTAAGGCGGATTTGGGTTGACTGAAGCTGAAGAAATAAAAAACTAAATAAAAGCCTTCTCTGTGTTAATTCATTCAGTCTTTGTGAGCATTTCAGTTGAATAGTGTTTGAGATTTGCACGATTCCCATCGGCTTTCTTCACACGATTATCGATCAGTCAATAATTTTATAGAATTATCTCCTATGTTGTATGTGGCATTTATCAATTTGACTTGCACGAGATAATTGTTATTCAAAATTTCTCTACCGTTGTTTGATTGACACTGATAATTAATAACCATTAGACTACATAATTTAATATTTCTCTCTCTTCATCTTGTGTATCGTTGCTAAATATTCGAAATGTTTATCATTTCAATCAGCAATGACTAAAGATTAAGATGTTTAACTTCGCCTTCATCATCATCATCATCACAGTCACTAGTTAGGCAAGATTTGAACGATGATGATAAAAAAANGAAAAACTAAAAAAAATCTCATTGAGAATTGAACCCGCATCGTCATATACAACCACCTGCAAAATGTGAACCGTACAAATTGTACTGCATCACATGTTTTATTTATTTTGCCTTATATTATCTTTTACTGTGTTAGTGTGAAATGAGAAAAAAGTGCCCAGCAGGTGGCGCTTGTGTTGAAAAGTTATGTTAAAAATTGTTCAACTAATTAAAAATCCATTTAAG